ATTTACGTAGTATATATAAATTTTTATCTTATTAATCACAAGAAAAATATATTTTTATGTATTATATTATTTTAAGAGATTTTTGCGCAGCAAAATGAATTTAATTTTTTTATAAATAAAACTGAACAAAAGATAGTTAATAATAGGGAATAGAAACTTAAAAAAACAACAAAAGATTCGCATCCATAAGTGGAAATAATTTTTGTAAGCAATTAATTTTTTAATTAAATAATTACTCCTTTTTTAAATAAAAATATTAAAATTGTAATTAAATCCTGACTAATAATAATATGAGGAAAAATAAAAAATGATTCAGACATTATTATAATATACAAAAAGGAATATAATAGAGGAAACAACGCATTTTCCCTTGAATCACGTGTTAAAGCACGTGGTTCTTTGTCCTGAAAAACTCTATAAGACGAAAATTAGACCAATTTATGTTCTGGTTACAAGCAATTGAAAATAATGGTCCTTTACAATCAGAATAGTACATTTGTGTTTCAGTGAAGCAAATTTTTCTTTCATTTTAAGAAACAAAAAAACTTTGACTTTTAATTTTTCCACTAAAGAGATTAATAAAATTAAAATAATAAAAAAATATATAAAAATTAAAAAAAAAAAATTGCAGTTTATACCGATTCTGATAAATGATACATAAAATTTGCATAATCGTAAATTTCATCAATTGCAATACAAGGAAAAAAATTGAACGATATCCGTAAGGTTAAATAAACAAAATAAATCACCATCAAACTATCATTAATCAAGTATTCAATAAAAATTATTTAATCGATATTAGATTAATTAAATTAGATAATACTTTTGGTTTGAAATTAAAAGTTTTATCTTAGTTCTTTAATAAAAAAAATTTTTATATTTTTAATTTTTCGTAGTTTAGAGTTTTTCTTTGTACCATTTTCTTTTGCGTCATTTCAAGAAAATTTTGTTTACGCACAAAAATGTATTTTTCTTGCGTGGGTCGTATATATATATATACATATTGAAAATGGAATATTGCGTGACAGAGAAATAAGAGTTTCCGTTTCCGGTCGATATCGAGATTCGCCCCCGCGTCTTTGGTTTGTCTCTCTATACAGGGTTGTCGACCTCATTTTCAACCCCCTTCGCAAATCGAACGAATCTCGTCGCGACGCCAAGGAGGGGTCACGCATGTGGGTTACACACATTTACACCCACAGTAACGTAACGTTTATTATCAAAACCCCCCACCATCTCATTCCATGTACTTTCAATTTGTTCATTTTTAATAAAAATCATTTATTGAGTTCAAAGAGAAAAAAAAATTATTAGAGCAAAAAAAAAAATCGATTTTAACTTTTGAGGAAAAAAAATTATTAAGGGCATGTTCACGACAAACAGCGCCATCACAATTAATTCAAATAGCAGAATTATTTTACAAAACTAAATTTTCTATTAACTACAAAAAAATAAGGAATTGTGAAATAATAAAAAATTGTTCGGAATTTAGAATAAAATAGAAGTGTAGAAGAATTTGGTCCATTAGAAGATCGATAAAGTAGATTTCCAAGTATAACCTCAAAAAAGTGTTAGGCAAATTTTAAAAGATAGGGTGCAGTTTTTTTGAAAAAAATTTTCTGATAACGAAAACTAACTTCAAAGTCCATATTAAAAAAAAAATACTTGAAGCTTATTAATTCTATGAAAGAAAAAAAGAATTATTTACGCCCCTGTCTATATGTATTAATAAAATGTATATACACAAAGATTGGCGTAACTCTATATATGACACATGCGCATTGAACCCAGACATAACTGAAGCCCGGGAATCTGCTGTACAGCAAAGTTCACATTTTAACCCCAGGTCATGTTCAGCGAAACGTGTATATAACGTACACTTTTTTTTTTTATAATAATTTAACACTTTAAAAAAAATATATATATCAAGAGTTTTGGCTATAAATATAAATTCGGTTTAATAAAATTTTTGATAAATTCAAATTCGGTAAAGTAAAAATAATGCTAAATACAAATTTAGCGAAACAAAAATTCTGCTACATACAAATTCGGTAAAGTAAAAATAATGCTAAATACAAATTTGGCGAAAAAAAATTCTGCTAAATACAAATTCGACAAAATAAAAATTCTATTCGGCAAAATAAAAATTCGGTTACATGAAAATTCGATTAATTAAAAATTATGCTAAATAGAAATTTGTCATTTATAAAAAGCAAAACCATTGGAAACTCGAACTAATAAATTTTATAGAGAATATTTATTTATCCACTTATAAAAGTGACAATCATTGAAATAATACAATAATGATATTTAGAATAAATTTAAGGGGCAAACAAATTCTAATTATATAATACTTTGATATATATACAAAATGCATTAAGGTTGAACCAGTAGCCCAGACTACGCGTTTTCAATACCCTTTTTGTACTCTCTATTCTTGTCTTTGTGTCGAGTGTAAAAATTGCAGTATCACGTGGTCAATTTTATGGAACTTTGCCAACTCGTAAATTTTGTCTTGTGAGTTCGTATACTTAAATCTTTCTCCTACAGCTAAATTTAGTATTTTCTTTAAATTTGAATCGTTATAGAAAAAAAATTTACTAATTTTAATAATTATTTCCCATAATACTTATGAATCATCTTTGAACTGAATTATAACAAATAATTAGTTATATGATAATGTTTTTTTTCAAATCAATAATTATATTTTAATTAACCTTTAAAATTATAAATATTACTGATTGTTAGATTGTAATAAAGAGTTCATTAATGTAATTGAACCGTGTACAATATAAGAGATAATGACGTTTTTCTTTTTAGTCATACATGATGTGTTATAAAAAGAAAAGAAAATCATCTTCATTAATATTATTCTATTCTACACCTGCGCTACAGGTTTATTTTGAAAAAAAAAGCGTGGATGCTTGATTCGTCATCAACAAAAACGTCATCTTAGTGTTTCGAGATTTTTAAATAGCAACATCCGTTTTACGTAACGTTTTTGAATAAATTTAGCAGAATTCTTCATTCTTATCTTTTGTTATTCATTATGTCACATGTTCAATATAATTATTTTTTTTATATATATATATATATATATATTTCATTTACTCACGTAATTGGCTAATTTAAAAAAATAATAGAAAAAAGAAACTTTTTTTTATTACACTGAAAAAAAAAATTTATTTCAATTCAAATAATTACTTTATTTGAATTAAATAAACTGTATATTTAAACCAATAATTTCTATATATTTGAAACAATTAAAATTTAATTGATTTTATATAAAAATTATTTGTTTCAAGGAAATATTAATAACCAATTATATTTGAATCAAATAAACTATTTTTTTAGTGTAATAAAAATAGTTTTTTTTGGGGGGGGGGCACATTATCTATCATGGAAAAACAATCTTTATCTGGATCAGCGATTTATTTTACTGAAAAACAGATAAAGTTTTCGCTATTCTAGAGAAATATATTTATTTTCAAATTGAATGAAAAATAAACATCACAAGGGGAATACACGTGGAATCATTGTTTTTTAAATAGTTTTTTATGTGTAAAAAATAAAATATTTAAAAATCGAAATTTTTTTTAGTTTTAAAATTAAATTAACTTTTTAAAAAAAATATATATAAATATACGGATAATTATATAAAAAATATTTTTGTGTATACAAAAAGCTCATGCGGCACGTGCTCTCTTTTTCTTTTATTTGTCTTATGAATACAGTTATTTTTAAAATATTTGATTATAAAGCATTTATACTCTCGCAGGTTTGCCAGCATAATAAATACATATAAAAAAATGATACAGATGTGCATATAAAGGACACGTGTTTTCAAAATGGCACGTGTAATTTATGATAGAAAGGATTCCACGTGCCAATTCCCACTCATGGCGTTTCTCCTTGATTTTATCCTTCGAGGATAAAGATATATCTGCATCGAGCATAAATTAATCTAAAGTTGCATATAGTGCAGTGAAGAAGGAATATATTGTATGTTTAATGAGATTCCACTTTATAAAGTATTATATGTATATATAATTAATTTCAAGTTGTTTCAAACTTGAATTCGCGAATTCATTATTATTTTATTGTGAGGACTCTTCTAATTTTAATTTATAAAATTGAAATGAAAATTAATTTCTTTTGAATTTTGTCAATTACTATTATAAATACTATTATAATTATAAATTACTATTATTAATAGATTAACCTCAGATAAAAATGATGTTCAAAAAAAGAATCTCTGGGTCGGATTCCAGGGATACCGAAATGCAAATTTGGCTCACGGTCAACGACCTTCTGAAATGTTGAACTTGGCCTCGTCTTTCGACGAAGATTCAAGCATCTTCTTTTTCCGGATACGGTTTCAGAATAAGGAATATATTTTTAAAAAAAAATTTTCAAGGTTTTCAAAAAAAAAAATTTTTTTTTCTTTTTCAAGATTACGAAAACAAGAGTCCAATCGCAAATTCCATTGGTATAATAGTGACGTTACTTTTAGTATTATATATATATAAGAAGCTTTCTTTCAGAGAAAGTAAAAGTGGAACGCAGTTTGCCAAGGCAACACATATGTATGTTGAAACAAAACCAGACGTCCTCCACTCGCTACTGAATAGTTTTGTGTTATATATAGTTTGTAATCATTAACAAAATATTTAATTGAATCTAGGAACATTTATTTGGTCCTAAATAAATTAATTATTTCAGAATTATAATATTTTGAAAAAATTTACTGGAATAAATATTTTTCAGAAGCAAAAATTTAATTCCTTTTTTTTTGTAGTAAAATTAAAGAATAAGATTTTAAAATTTTATTCCGAGTTCCTTTGATAAAAATGTGTTTCCCCGGAATAAATATATGTATATACATATGTTTTATCAGTGACGCTTATTAAAGAAAGTGTAAGAGAAGGAGAAGGAATTTATCTGACAGATGAGTATAGAAGAAATCTGAAATTGACAAGTGGCTTCTCTTTCTGTTTCAGTTATCAATTGTCACGCAAACATGTCGGTTACATCTGTTCAATCCGCTAATGAAAGTCTTTCTCGTCATGGGTAAGCATAAAATTTCCCCTCTCAATTATTATTAAATTTAAAAAAAAAACAAAATTAATTATAAAAATTTTTAATTCTAATCTTTGCACAAAAATTCAGATATTAAAAATTTATTTATAAATAATTTATAAAACACTTCAATTTTTTTTTTACAAATTAGATAAAAGAAAGTATAATTAACATTTTCCTGGAGAAATTTCTCTTTGTCAAATTCCAATAGTGTGCGTGAGAATATTGTTTAAAATGACATATCTTTGTGGAATGTATATATATATATTTTTTTTAAGAGTGACGTTCATTTATTAATGAAGACGTCAAGAATTTAACAACTCATTTAAATTCCATTGTTTCATTTAAAAATTATCTCGTAATTAAAAAAAATTTCATTCCAAAAAAGAAAATAGAAAAAAACAACTTGAATAAAAAAATTAAACTCACAAAGGAAAAAAATTGAAAATTTTATCTCGAGAAATTAGTCGGATTAATGACATTTATTATTACTACAGACTTGTATTAATTTTTACAAAAGGTCTAAGTAATCCATAAATTTTTCTTTCTTTCATAAACCACAAGTTTAAATGATATTATAGACACGTGTATCATAGAATATAAAATACCAGTAAAAATTAACATAAAATTTCCTGTTTTATTTACTTATCGAAAAAAATTAAAAGTTTTTATTTAAAAGGCACGTGTAAGTAATTTTGGAAAACAATATAGAAATAATAATCTACTGATAATTTCTTTTTATATGTAATTATTATTATTATTACTTAAGTTATAATTTATTATTATTTTTTCTGTATTTATATTTTTAAAAATATTTTATTTAAATAAAATTATTAAAATTAAATAAAATGTGAAACATTTTTTTTCTGTTCTTTTTTTTTTTGAAATCAGTATTGATAAGAAGAAAAGAAAAAAAAATCCAAAATGTAACAAACTATAGTTTAATGACACTGTCTCGAGGAATTATTTTAATCATCATTTCTAATATCATGTGATGTACAAAATTATAATTTTTCTTTTTTGTTTTAAAAAAAGGCAAAGAAACGTTATCTACAGCTTGTATAATTATATTGACAGAGGTCATCTTCTCTTGGAAACGTTAGGAACACGTGCCTTCTTTAATATATACATATAAAGAAACTTTCAAGGAGATAAAACATATATATATATATATATATATATATATATATATATATATACACTCACACAATTCATGGAAAATTTAATTATTACTTTATTGAATTAAGATTTGAGTTTTTTTTAATTATACGAAAATTTCCCTGTCTTAGTTGGAATAATTTAAAAAACATTTAAAAAAATTTTTTTTCTATCATTGAAATAAATATTTTTAAGTCTTTTATATTAAAAGAACTAAAAGCTTCTTAAAATATGTACAGAAAATTTAGAAAAAAATTTTGAATTTTATTAAAAATCTATATAAAAGGAATAAAATGTTTCAAAAATTGAAGTTGATTGCTTGAATAAATTATATCAATGAATATTTACGTTCAGTAAAAAAAAAAATTATTACGTTTTATCCATATGTTATCGCGTGAGGAGAAACTTATGATTTTTTTTACCGTGTACGTCTATATAACTTTCAATATGAACTTTAATACTACTGTTTCAAGTTCAAGGTTTAATATTTCGAAAAAAAAAATTTGTCTCTTCCCTCCATAATTTATTCATAACTATTCTCTTCAATATATTATATGAATAAGAAAAGTAGTGAGTAATTTAAAACAGTAATTTAAAAAAATTATAATTTTTCATGAATAATTTGGTATTTAAAAAAAAAAAGAAGCTACATTAGATAATTTTTCAAAGACTGTGCAAATTTTCAATATTTTTATCTATCTCACACTTTTTTTTTAATATATCAAGAGATTTAAAAAAAAAAAATTAAAATTACTTTTTTTTTTCTTTTTTCTATTCATGCTTTGTCATTAAATTAATGTACTATGATTACACGTCGGCTGTCAATTTCACGTGATTATCAAATGATCATACATTCCAAGAACTTGAATTGAGATTTAAGAATACACCTTTCGATTCATTGAAAAATTTTCTTCTAATTTAAATATTTTACGCGTTAAATTATCTAAATCGTAAAACAAAATATATTTGAAATTTTATTGATTAATATAAATGAATTTCTTTCCGAGTGTAAAAATAAAAAATAAAAAAATAAAACTTTTATGAAATGTAATAATTATTTAAATTTCAGGAGCAATGTGTCCTTGTGTCACAGTTTGTGTGGTAGCGTTGACGAAAGTCTATCGGAATCGCATCCACAATATCAGGATACAATTCTCACGATTGAGGAACTTCGAGCCCAATTAAACTCATGTTTTACGTAAGTCAATTTTTCTTTTTTATTTCCTTTTTTAATATTAATATAGTTCTAATTTTTTTTATAAATTCAAACTGATGGTATAAATAAAAATATTTAAAAATAAATAAATTTAAAAAAAAAATCAGAATTTTTATAAAAAATAATTTAGATTTGTTTCAGCAAAGAATTTTATCTTCAAATTGGTTATATAGAAAGTTTATTATAAAATTGAAATTGCTTCTTATAACGTCATTCAAATTCTTATGTGCGCACATCATGTAATAATTACGAAAAAAATGATGCAAAGTCAAGTCATTGATAATACTCGGCAAATATATTGTATATGTATACAAGAATTGTCTTCTCATGTACCATAAAAGTATATTGCACATTTTTAATTAATTTTTACGAAATATGAAAAGAATTTGAAAAAAACGACCATGAAATTTTTTTTCTCGAAAATATCGTTTCATAAATAGTAAAGAAATTAATTAATTAACATATATAATTCTTGTAACTTATAATACAAACGGAAAATCAATTTCAACAAATTTAATGGTGAGGAAAAATCAAGATTAAGGGAAAGTAACGAGAAATCAAGTTTGTTTTTATAATAAATTCATAAATATTGAAATTAATATTTAAAATATAAATTAAAGTTTTTTTTTTCCTCATACAACTCAATAAAATTTTGCAATAAATTATTTTCTAATGTCAATAAAGTGTAAATATCAGCAAAGATTTATACTCCAGAAAGTGAGTGTCCTAGATCGCGAAATATATATATATATATATATATATATATATATATATATATATATATATATGAATGCGAACAGATGAATATTGCACAACTGAAAACCCACACGACAGGACAATAGAATCCGGTGAGATCCAGAGCGAGACAATTGAAACTAGTATATTTTCGTTGTTAAAGATTTAACTTTAATTTTAACCAATTTGAAGAAAAAGGCCACTGAATCATTATATTAAAATGATTTCATTATATGTTTGTAATTTTTTTTTTTACTTCCAAAATTATGTTTCAATTTATTAATTCAGTAACTAAAAGATAAAATAAATTTCAAAAATAAAAAAGAAGCAAGATTTTGAATATTTAAGAAAAAAATTTCTATTAAGTTAATATAGAAAAAAATACAAAAAGTTTTTTTTTTTACGAGATACGTAATTGAGCACGAAAAAAGGAGGGAAACGAAGATCATTTTTAGACCTTGAATTTATGCGTTTAAGAAAATGCGTTATATAAATTATTGTTTATTTATTTATAGGTGCGGTGTCTCTTGGAGTGAAGATCATGTTTCTCTGGATTGCAGTGAATGCGGTGGCTACTCACTTCAAAGACCCTGTCCATTATGTGATGGACATTGCCATTCGACGTGGAAACGTGACCTTACTATGGTAAGGGTCGACATATATATATATATTCTTTGACCTTTAAAAAACCGATCGAAACGTTTGGCACGCGAAATAATTTTCATAAAATCTAAATTTACAGAGATCACCTATTATTTTATTTAAAAAAGTACAAATTTTTTTTTTTTAATACGAAATAATTCATTTAATTTCCTGTTTATTAATTCAAATATAATTTTATATTCATGATTAAAGAACCAAGATTAAAAAAATAGTTTTAATTTTTCTTTAAAATTTTAAAATAATGTTTTAAAGCAAATAAAATAATTAATTTTTTTTTTTTTTTGACAGTCCCACGCAAGTGGAAAGGCAAGGTGGATTGGAGAATGTGGATTAAGCTGTGGTCCATCTCTAGATGAATCTCTTGTTCCAGCATTGGAAAAACTTCGAGCTACATCGTGAACTCGTATAAAAAACGACATCACAACTGTGCACAAGACTTAACCATCACCATCCATTTAGAGTTATAATCATTCATCAATCACCACCCGAATGAATTCGAGAAGACGACTGAATGAAAAAGATTCTTGAAAGTGTGTGAGAGAAATTTTTGAATGAATGAACAAAAACAGAAGAGAAAGCGACGTGATGAGGAACCCCATTTCCTATATATAGAAAAAAAAAACTAAAATTTGAAAAATCAGGGTAGATAAATCCTTATTTATCAAAAAAAAAAAAAATAGAACTGTTTCCTTTTAATCCGAGAGCAAAATTTAATTCAAAAATATCGAATAAAAAGGCGAAGAGCTATGCGAGTTCCTTATCACATCATCGATTTCCTATATTTCAAAAAAAAAAAAAAAAAAAAAAAAAAATGATAATAGAAATACAATAACGAAATAGATGTCTGAAATATAATTTGGAAACAAATTATTTGTCAAAAGCAAATGCTTTGATATTAAATGTCTGTATAATGTTAATTCAATGTATGTCAACAAATTAACAAATAGAAAGATGTTTAATGTTTAAAAAAAGAAATAAATATATAGTCAGGAACCCACATAGCTTTGAATACTTCTGTAAACTTATATAAGCAGGAGACTTGCTTATCGCCTATTATCGAATTTAATCCCCCCCCCCTAATAATAGTATTCAGAATAATAATAATAATAATAACTGTAAAATCATTAAAAATTGTCAAATATTGAGAAAAAAAAGATCAATTAATGAAATAAACCGACCGAAAATATATGGCTTAAAATTTTAGAATACAATTATATTTCTATATATATTTATGGTGATAAGTATTATTCTCTTGATTCGAAATTATTTCGAACTGTCTTTAGACTTTCTATATTCAATAAAGAAAGAAAGAAAGAAAGAAAGAAGAAAAAAATACCGAAAGAACGTTAAGACTGCCTTTAACTTGTTTTGTTCTGCTGTTGCTTCTTTTCTATAATAGCGATATGAGCGATCAAGTTCTTAGTAAAATGATTTTAAAAAAATGAAGTAACTCTGCAGGAGATATTTCTTCAAATTTGCTTTGAAATGAGTAAGCAAATTTTATCGAGAATTTAGAAGAATTTAAAAAAAGGGTCTACTAGCAAGAAAAAATTAGAGTCGTTACATTTTTAACATTATTATTTTTTTTTTTTTTGATTGAAGAAATGTCATAAAAAAAAAATAATAATAAAATGTTGCGTTTTTAATTTTAATAAAATTACACTAAATTGTAAATTAGTGTAATTAGTGACTCGTATTGAAAACGGATTTTTTTTCGGAATCAGGTCGTATCCACATTTCTCGACTCTATTTCTGTATTATTATTTTGTTATCACAAAAATACACGCTCAATTGTCTACGTTCTAATTTTGTCATATTTAAAAAAATATATATAAAAACAAAAGAAATATATTTTTTCAATATCTTTTTAGGAAATAATATAGGAAAATTTGTATAATAAATAATTAAACAGAAAGAATGACAAGTTTTTTTTTGAGGATACGTCTTGTATGTCCGATATTAAGATTTAAAAAAAAATGAAACAGAAAAAAAATAGACAAAAATTGTCTTTAGCAAATGATAATAAAAAAAAAGAAATTTTAGCTCATTGGAATAAACAATAGATGTAAAAGCATTTATGACTGTGGCAAAATAATGACTGTTATATATGAATATCATTAAATATCATTTTGCTATCACTGTATAATTCATCTCCATTTTCTTAAGTTAATTATCGAATGAAAACGCATTAGAAAAAATTTTCAATAGTATTACATTTCCATTGTAATACATTGAAAAATCTCTCTCAAAAGAAAATAATTGTGTAATTTTTATTTAATGTTCAAAATTATTATTTATGTTCTTAATGTTGAAAAGTTATGGGCTTAATAAACGATATACTTATCAATAATAAATATAGAATTTGATTTTTCCTTTCAAACCTACTAATAAATAAAAAATAATTTTAATTTAATTGTAATAATTAAAAAAAAAATATTAATATTTAATAAAACGTTTCGTAAATATAAATTTATTTTAAAAAAATAAATTTATTCACGGTCTAATTTGACATAAAATAATTTTCAGACCCTAAAAAATAGGAATCTGATTTGATAGATAATTTGCAAACAATAAATTAATTTATATAATTTTTACAATAAAACTACTTTGTAAATATATTAATATGAACAATAATTTTTTTTATAATACCATGGTTGAACCAGTTACCGTCTATTTTTTTTTTGAAAATTTTGTTTTATTACGAAGTAAAGTTTTATAAATAAAAAAATAATGTAAAAATTAATTGTTTACTCAAGATTCAAGTAAAAAATATATTAGTTTTTATCATTAATATAAAACTAAATTAAAATTTAACAGTAACTAGTTCAACTATGGTAAACATTTTTAAAATATTTCTGAAAAAAATGATTAATAAAATTAAAAAGATAAAAATATTTCTCACCACGATGATTAAAACTGAAAATATAATGATAAATTAAACAAATATAAAGAAATCAGTAAATTTTAAAACAACATAGTGACAATAATATAATAAATGTTTTAAGAAAAATATATTTTCACTGGTACTCCAGTTACTTTTTTACTCACTTTTTTTCCTAATCCCGACTTTTCCTACCTATAGCTATATTTAAAACGAAAAAAAATTTATACCTACACTAGCGCGTAAAAACAATTCTTTCCCGATTTCCCTACCTACAGCTATATTTAAAACGAATTAAAATAAGGATTTTTACTTTTCCCGATTTCCCTATCTACGAAAATAAATTTACTAGCCCAGGTGCAAATTATACCTACACTAGGGTTAACGTCCCGGAACGCAACCGTCACCTGAGCGGTCTTTATCTGAAAAAAAACTTTTAATTAATCATTTTATTAAAATTATCCAAAACTTAAAATTTTTAACTTTTAATTTAAACAATTCAAAATAAAGCTTAATATTTAAAACTACAAAATCTACACGGAGAGAAATCTGCTGCGATTTGCGCATGAGCAAGTCCATAGGAATATAGCATGGACACTTCCAAGCAAAAACCATAAGATTCCATCTGAATATCAGGTGAGACTCATACAATAATACCTCGCTCACTTAGGATTTTTGCTTGAAAGCCTCTGTTACTATATTCCTAAGGACATGCTCATGCGTAAATCGCACCAGATTTCTCTCCGTGTATATTGTTAAGAAGATTAAAAATGTTACAAATCTAGATTTAATTATTTAATTTTTTAAAGAGAACGAAAATTTACTTTTACTCATATAAAAAATTGCAAAATATTAAATATTAATCAAATTATACAATATAAATGCTACATATATAAATAATAAAAAAAAACATTGACAATAATATTAATTTACGTAGTAATAAAGGATTATCCATAAAACATGTGATATTTCAGAGTGAAGGGAATACAACAATTGGGAGAGGGAAAAATTTTCAAAAATATTACATGCTTTTTAGATAACTCTTAAAAAAATACTACAAAATAATAAATTTTTGTCAATGCTGTCACTATGTTGCCAGAATTCCTTCCCTGTTTTTAAACATTTTTAATAATATAATTAAAAAAATTAAATTCTTAAATTAATATCCAAGCAGATTTATTTTTAATTTATGAATTTATTGCAACTGAATTTAAATAAACGAAAATGATTCTAAAATTGTGTTAAACAGGGAAGGGGTTAAATTAAAAAACGACTCAACGATCGGCGATCCCACGTTGAAGCAATGACAACATTGCCCCTAGCTTGGCTTCTTCTTGGACCACCCCCGAGATCCCTGTTTGTTTCGTGCACTTCTGCACAGGTCGGGAGCTATGTGCCATGCAAAAAATAAAATATAAAAAAAAATAAACTACATTTGGAAAAAAATGGCAACATACTGGGGCCACTTTTCTTCGTCCACATCCTTCCTGTCCTTCCAGTTTGTTAAACTGAAAAATTAAAAAAATAAATATATTTATTTATATTCAACAAATTATGTTTAGGATTTTAAAAACTATTAATATCTTTATTAATTAAATATGAAAGAAATTACTAAATTAAAATACGTAATTTTGAAATTAATTAAAAAAATTTTGTATATAAAACTAACAGCAATGAAAAAAAGACTCACCACTATTTATTTCTTCTTGATGATTTAAAGATACGATGGCAGCATATAATATCCTCTCTTTAAACAAATGAATCATTTCTCTCGTGGACCAATTGCCTGAAAATTGAAAAAAAAATTAATTATTGTAATATAAATTTGTAAAATAAAATATATTCTAAATTCGGATGCACTAATTGATTTTGTATTGTATATAAAATATTTATATTATGTTTTATAAATGTCCAAATATAATTTAATTATTTTAATGATTATTAAATTAATTTTAAATTAAATTTAATACTTAAAAATTCAATTTAAATTGCATTTAATAATTAAAAATTTAATTCAATTTGAATTAGATTTTAATTTCAATAATAATCAATGCTAAGAATAATAAAATAATTACTGAATAAGAAAGCAGACGTAAACAATAAAATAAAAGGACAATAAATTGTGATGGCAAAAAATAAAATGGCCTCATACACATAGAAAAAAGTTTCATACTGGATTATATTGGTTAAGTCTCGCGCCTTTAATTCAAAACATATATATATATATATATATATATATATATGTATTGTATATAAATCGGAACATCTGTCCCGTCTTTCTTTCTATATGTTCATACTTGTTTTATACTAGATTATAATTATTGATTACGTCTCGCGCCTTTAATTCAAAATACACAAATAAATAAATTAAAACTTAACTTTAAAATAACTTGCACCGATTATTAATTTTCAAAGTGTTTCTATAATGATATATTTATACAATTATTAAATTATTTAATCTTAATTAATAATTTGATATTATAAACTATTATAATAGTTTTTCAATTTTTAGTTAAATTTACTAAAACAATTATTGAAATATTTTTTAAAATATCATCATTCAAATATTTATTAAAATATTATTTATAATTTTTTCTTTAGCCATTTTCCTTTTTAGCATCTAAAAAATGAAAAATGTAAATACAATTCGAATATTTGTAAATATTCATAAATTCATGAAATAAATAAGGCTTCTACTATGTTTAGAAATATATTTCTAAATATTCATATCAGTTGTCTACTTCTTGCTCATCTAGTCAAGTGTCAGTTAAACTAATTCTTGAGGTTAAGCAAGGTAGATCCTAGTTGGTATTTGAATGTGGTATACGTTCAATATAAAATCACACAATGATGAACAAAACGGCACGAGATCAAAATTTATAAGAACTGATCGTTTTGATCAGAGCTTATTTGATCTGTGACTTTGCTATGTCATAGTTACTCTGAGTGTGATTGTTTTTCTACTTTTTTTTTTTTTAAGACATCAATAAATAATTTTCATATTATATTATGAATACTACCAAAAATGTTCTTAAAAATTTATTGGAAACCAATTTTTTTTGCAAAAAATTTCTCACTTGTATTTATTTTATTAAAAGCTTTGCGAAAAAAATGCAAAAAAAACCAAGACAAATTGCACAGATTTGTCACGTGACAAATCTGCAATTTATCCTTATTACATATTTGTATTATTAGAATATTTATATTTATCAAAAGGATACACAAAATAATAGAAATGGAAATCAATATATAATCCTATACTGATTTGTATGTAAATTGCAAAAAAATAAAATAAATCTGAAAACTCTGCAATGTAGTTTTTGAGGTTATGTTTGCAAAATTTCAACAACAATTATTATTAACCTCGAAATTAGCAAAAATAACTGTTAGAATCGATAAAAGCAAAGTATTTACGAAGATTACATACGAAAATATATGAAAATAATTAAGAATATAAGAAAATATTACCTATTTTTGTGGTAGATGCAGGAGATACAACTCGATCGTGCACAGGTCATTGTAGGAATGAAACCGGCTTTTCCATATTTGCTTGGTTAATATTCTAATTGACACTGCATAAAATAATACTCAAGTAGAAGCAGATTCTAGTAAAATATTGAAAAATTAATAATAATAAAACAAAACGCTACCTGTTTTTTCAAAAAAGTATACAATTAGATTGTCACAAATTGAGACACACTGTACAATGAAGCCGGCTTTTCCATATTTATGGACTTTACACATCGATATTTCGTTTGACACTCATAACTTTAAGAATATTGCACTTACAATATATTATTCTAATTTAAAATTACTATTAAAATCACTTCATTTTGTAAAATAATGTCCACAAGCTATGAAAATAACAATATTATTGTCGTTTACATTCTGAAATTACCCAGCAGTCTGTGCGATAAAATGGAAAAGTCAGAAACTGCTCTGATTGGTTACAAATTGTACTTCCGTTTTTGCCAATTCAAATTTGCCAATATTGTTGAAAACAATTTTTATTTATTTAATTATATTATTTCCATTAATTCTTTAGATATTTTATTGAAAAAAACTTACTTTATCATAGGATGATAAATTTAATTAATAAATAATCGAATATAATTAGAAATACAACATTTCCGAAAGAAAATCGTAGAAATATGTGGATAGAGTGGGACAAGAAAGAGAAACTGCTCTGATTGGCTGCAAAGTGTACTTCCGTTTTAGCAAATTCAAATGTACCGCTATTTTTAAAAACAATTCTTACTTATTTTACTATATTATTTGTGTCAATTCTTTTTGATAATTTATTAACAAATACTTAATTTAATTTTAAATTTAATTTAATTTAATTTTTTTAAAGGAAATTTCTAATTGGTGGACTGGAATATTATATATTTTTTGTAGCCAATCATAGCACACCTTATATTTAACTAGAATTTTGTATAAACATTCATTAGATACAATTATTTATTGTTACTTTAAACGTATTTTTCATTATGATATACCTGTTTTATTAAACCAGTGATTAGATTTAGTTTTAAATGTTAAAGTTATTTATTTAATTAGTGAGATATTCAGTTTTTATTTATTTAAATAATAGTGTTAAACATTTGTGTTTGGATAAAATTAATCAATTGACAAAGAAAACGATTTAACCTCTCTATATTTATAAAATCAGGTAATTATAATTATGTATTAATTTTAGTTTACTCTAAATAACATTATCGAAAAAGAATTTTTTTTTGTTATTAAAAACGAGATAATTTTTATAGTTATATTTTTAGTGTAATAAACATAACCCCGAAAAATTTAACTTTGTTCAATAGTAAATTCTGTAAATTTTTCATTTTATATAGATATAGACTATTATTTTGGTGAAAAATATATAATAAATATTTGAATGTATTTATAATTAAAAAATAGCCCCCAAGTTGTTAATATTTGCTTTTAAAAGTTCAATTTTAATATTTTTATATAGTTTTACTTATAAAAATGGAGTAATTGAAATATAATTTTTTTAATTGATTCCAGATTAAATTGGATATTGGCCTCTAAATTTTCTCACCACCCGTGAGAATTAGATCTTCAATATTTGTAAGTCAATTAATTCATTTTTAACTTCCTCTAATTTCGTTTCTCTCTCAAAAAAAAATAAATAAATAAAACAAAATGGAAATTAAGAAACAAAATTTTCATGAATAAATATTTATTCGCACATTATTGGCCTACATTATTCGGAATATACACGTTCAATTAACAGTCAGTAAAAGGTGTAAAAACATAGCAAATACTTTAATGTCCAATACTTTCCCGAGTTAATTTACATGTAGTTACTGGAATCCTGGACATAAAGTTTACAACGATGTTAAACACACACGCTGCGCCAAGCACATACAAAAAAATTTTTTTTTTCTTCCAATTTTATAAAAAAATTGTTCGTATTCGTAGTTTGGTTTTTTTTTTTTTTATATATATATAATTTTAGTCACGCCAATTTAATTACATTTTCTTTAAGGCGAACACAAATTAATTAAATAAACCAGTATATAGTTAAAACTGTACTTTCATTAACTAAAAGCGCGTTAAAAATTAAAATCCTATATATGCAATTTATTTTACTTTTTTCAATTTGTTTGCCTGGGCAGCGATTTTTTTTTTTTTTTTATTATTATTATTAATTGGGGAATCTGAGTCTTTTTCAACACTGGATTATGTCAATGTCTTCAGAAGAAACAAATAAACTTCATGATTCTGATGAATTTTTAAAAAATCAAGTAAAAAACAAAAAAATTTCTTCAAAAATGAATCCTCTAAACTGACTAAAAAAAAGAGGTATTTTTTTTATAAATTGACATATATATTATATGAAAAATCAGATTCACGTGTATATTTGTATAGTTTCAAATTTCTACGTGTGTACAAACATTCTGAACTACATTGGTATAATTTCTCGGTCTTTTTTTTTTTGGAACACGACGCGGATGTGCGAAATGTTTTTTTTTTCGTGTGTACATATATAGCTACAGAATTGTTCCTATCCCAGATGAAGAAATACAAGATTTACAATCCACTCGGAAGCATCGACATAGATGCTAAAATTTTACTCTTAAGATATTAAACAATTTTCACAAAGTCAAGTTTTAAAAAAAAAATTAATAAAACATGCAATTTTTTCATAAATTAACGCTAAAATTTTTAACTATTGTTAGCAATTACATATAAAAAAAATTTTAGGAACTGTTTTAAATTTTTCAGTCTTCTTTTTTTGGAAAAAAAGATTGATCAATTTTTTTTAAATTATTCAAATTTTTAATGACTTTGTGTAAAATGGAGACTTTTTTTTTAGCAAATCTAGTCGACGCTTTCGACGTTACATTTCCAAATGAGAATGTTCCGTCCCGCGAGAACAGTATTATTATTATAAAAATAACATAAATTAAAGACTTGACACACGTAAATTAATAAAATGTGTGTACGTTTACAAAACAATTGGCCTTAATGTGACAGCGATTTTTGATATTTTTATCTCTCTATTTTATTTTTTATTTAAAAACCAATTGACACTATTTTTTTTCTTTAATAAACAAATTATTTCACGGGGGTTATTTTTTAATTGACTGTTAAATTTAAAGCGTCTTTCTTTTTAGATAATTATTCCCAATGTGCTGCAAAAAAAAAACGAACCGAAAACAATTAATCCTCTTTTTTTCTCTTGAAAATCGATAAACAATAAAAAATATGGGCCAGGAATTAGAAGGGTGATTTTAATTAAAATATTTCGGTTTTGTGATCCGGTCTTTATTTCCAAAAAATACCTTCCTGAACCGTCTCTAAAAATGCCTGTAAATACAAAATAAGACACTTTAAAATTGATTTTCCAAATATGATTTAATTTATCACTTAAAAAAAAAAAGAAAAAAAGTTTTTGAATAATAAATAAGAGAGATACAAATACCATTTTAATTATTATTTTTTATTCACGTGTTTAATCTAGTCAGAGTTTTCGTGGAAATGGAAGAGCGGATAATAGAAAAAAAAGAAATAAGTTAATAAAAAAAAAATTTATAATAAACCTACAATTTGGAGTTAATTCTCCTTCGACATCGTTTATGATTGAAATATCCTCTCCAATATCCAACTAAACCTCTGCTTAGACAAACGTGTCGCAATCTTGGTAATAAAAGTATCGAAAAAAAATAGTCGAGCGTTGATCGCGAATTGAAGTTGTATACAATGAGGAGCGCATCTTCGGCTGTTATGGATCGTATCCAAAACGGAAGTACGGGGCATTTTAGAATTCGAAAAATAAAGAAATTCGTCAAAATAAAAAAAAAGGGTTGCGAGAGAAGAGTAAAATTACACTCCCCATTATAACCCATTGGAAACGCTGCAAAAAGGCAGCCGCGAAGGGCCGCGCTTTTCTAAACGTTTTTATAACGCCGTCGGGATTGTAGCCAGTGTTAAAGAATTATTAATAATAAGAATTAATATTAATAACTATATAATATGAATGTTGTATTATTATTATTTTTTTTAATGATATTATATCGATGGTATTATTATTATTATTAGCAGTGTTGGTTTGTTGTAGTACAACAAAGGCAAATCACTGTTTCGTTATTTCCTATTATAGAAACGAAAGTGGGAATCCGGCGAAATTTTCTCAGATCGCGTTACACGAGCGATATGAATCACCGATTCACTCTCTATATACTCACACACCATGAGAGATCAGCTGAGAGCTTCTTTTTTTTAGTCACTTACTGTTTTAATATTTTCTTTTTTGTTTTTTTAATACAAATGGCCTTTAAGTGTCGACGGTCGATTTTTAGATCAAGTCGGCGACATTCATTGGCATTTCCTCGATGCGGGTATTATAGAAATGTTCGATGTCTTTTAACGTTCTCTTGTCATCTGCCGTGACAAAATTAATGGCCACTCCTTTACGACCAAAACGACCACCACGTCCAATTCTAAAATTATCATAAAATCATTAGATTTTTTTCCCCTTAATTTCCTTAATAATCTTTTAAAAATATTTTTACATTTCAATAAAAGAATTTAGATTTTGAAAAAAAAAATGTTTCTTCTGTAAATAAAGTATTTTTGTACAAAGTATGATTAAAATTTTTCAATTTTGGGAAAAATATTTCAACTTACCGATGAATGTAGTTCTCGCGATTAGAAGGAAGATCATAATTAATGACCAATGATACTTGTTGCACGTCAATACCACGAGCCAATAGATCAGTGGTAATTAAAACACGCGATGATCCCGTTCGGAATTGTCTCATAATTAAATCCCGTTCACGTTGTTCCATATCGCCGTGCATTGCCGAAACAGTAAAATCACGATTATGCATATTTTCAGTAAGCCAATCGACCTTGCGACGTGTATTGCAAAAGATTACGGCCTGCGTAATACTCAATGTATCGTATAAATCGCACAATGTCTCCAATTTCCAATCTTCACGTTCAACATAAACGAAAAATTGCTTGATACCTTCAAGTGTCAATTCTTCTTTCTTCACGAGAATACTAATTGGATGTCTCATAAAGCATTTTGATACTTCTAATACATCCTGTGGCATTGTAGCAGATAACAAAATAACCTGTTTAAAAAAAAGAAGAAAAATATTTTAACGATCAATTCTTTCCAATTAAATCAAAAAATTTAAATTTAATTAAAAATAAGTCTAATTTTTTGATTTTTCTAATTTATACCTGCACTTCAGATGGCAGTAGTTTAAAAACATCGTGAATTTGTTCCTTAAATCCACGTGACAACATTTCGTCAGCTTCATCGAGAACAAATAGCTTAATGCTATTAGCGCGCAAAGCCCGTCTGTTAATCATATCGTAAACCCTTCCTGGTGTTCCCACAACAACATGAACACCTAATTCCAATTTGCGAATATCTTCGCGTACATTCGTTCCTCCGATACATGCATGACATTGAGCATGCATAAAGTCACCAAGAGCAATCACCACTTTTTGAATCTAAAAAAAAAGAAAACCAATTATTTTTTTAATTTTCGGAAGTACTAACAATTTATTTATTTAAATTTAATTAATATAATGTTCGAAAAGAATGTAGTTTGAAACGTTACCTGCTGAGCAAGCTCACGAGTTGGAGCAAGAATCAAGGCTTGACACTCAGTAACACTGGTATCGATTTGTTGTAGAATTGAAATGGAAAAGGTAGCAGTCTTGCCAGTTCCTGAAATTTAAAATATTTCCCCAAAATTATAATTAAATACTAGTTTTATATATTTATTAATTTTCATTTAAATTTATTCTTTCTTAAAAATTACCTGATTGAGCTTGGGCGATTACATCGTGTCCCTTAACACAGGGCAAAATGGCTCGCTGTTGAATTGCTGAGGGTTTCTCAAAACCATAAGCATAAATACCACGAAGAAGTTCTTCCTTCAAGTTCATGTCATCGAAATTATCGACAATCTAAAATAAAAAAAAAAAGAAAGTTTTTTCATTAAACAATTTTTTTTTTCAAAATTATAATTATGAAAAAGACAAAACTTTTTTTAACACGATTTTTTATTTTTAAAAATATTAACTGAAAATTATTCATTATTTAAAAAAAAAAAAAATTAGAAGCTGAAATTTTAGAAAAAAATTCCTTAAATATATGGGCGTTAATACACCAAAATAAATAATAGCAAAAATTCTAAGTCACTTTAAACAAAAATAATTATCTATTAAGAGCTATTTGGAAAAGTTTCGAAACTATACTCGCCAGGTAAATTGGCAAGCAATTACCTGTCTATTCTTACAATTAAACGTAAAGTACTGTACCTTGGAATTACAGTAATCCTTCAAGGAAACAACATCCAAACTAAATCACAATTATATCTCAAAGATAGAAGTGTGTAAAATTTTCTTTTCACACATATAAATGAGTATTTTCCAATTTTTTTTTTTCAATAAAAACAAATTTTCTTTTACATAAAATACCATTTGATTTTAATACAAATTCTTTTCTAATCATAAAAAAATAAGTGTTTAAAACTGTTTCGTCCACTTAGAATAATTTAAAAAAAATATATAATAGCAAATTAATTAATCTAAATCAAGATTGACACTTGAATTTATCAACGAGTTCCGTCAAGGAAACATTCTTCCAAATTTTTTAAAGAATTTAAAAAAAAATAACTTGAGAAAATACTTGTTAATATAAATTCCATTAAAAATAATTATTTGCAAAAAAAAGAAAAAAAACTTACGACATCCCAATTTGTATCGATGATACCCTCGGGTTCCATTCCCGGAGGTCCATCGTACACCGGTTGTTCGTTCGATTCACTTGGGCCATTATTAGAATCGCCGACCCATTGCTCTTCCGGTCTGCAACATTTATGAAAATCGATTACAAATTTCCCCTTCCAAAATGCGACACTTAGAAATATTAAAGAAAAAAAAAATCAGTAAAAGTTGCATTTAAAAATTAAAAATTTGACAGTAAAAAAACTATTGTTATATTTTAAATTGTCACCTAAAATGTTTTCTACTAATAGAAATTTTAAATTTTTTATTAAATAATTTACACTTTCACTATTAACACTTAAACATTTTTTTTTTTTAATTCAAATACAAGAAAATATGTGGATGTAACTTTTCTATCGATCGTTTTACTGATTTTTTTTTTCTTAAACAATATAAACAAAAATTATGTAAATAAAATTCCAATATTTAAAAATTATTTATTATTTTTCTTTCACTTCACTAAAACAGTTACTTTTCTTTAATATTGATAAATAGTAATAAGGGAAATTTTGACAAATTTCAAAATTTAGACGCGCAAATGACGCACAAACAAAAACGACACTTGATTCAAAATATATTCTCATTTGTGGAAAAAAAATTGATAATTCAAAATTCTCGATCAATAATTCACTAAAAATTTTTTTTAATTCAATTCATAAAAATTATTTTTAACACAACAAATCTTTAAATTATAATAAGGAACATTCTCCGTCTTTCAAGCACAAAATTATTTTTCCTCAAACTCTGAAATCCACAACAACGAGGAAAAACTCGATTAACAGGAAAATCAAATATACAGTTAAAAACATTCACAACTTTTATTATTACCCCTTATCTTGTGATTCGGATGACATTGAATGAACGAAAAAAAAAATAATTCAACCAAATAAAGTTATAATAAATGTGTGTTAATGAGTGGTCGAGGTTCACTCGATTGACAGTGACTCACGAGAAAGCATGACCGTGAGGGTGATGTACACGCCGTTTTTCTCAAAAATTCCCCTCAAAAGTGGGGAGATTGTAGAGGAAAGAAAAAATAGGGTGGGGAAAACCACAATGCATACCATCGGGAAATTTTATGATACTCGAGGTCAAATATCACGTTAAAATGCATAATATTACGTAATTTCTTAGAGAAAAAAAAAAAAAAAAAAAAGAAAAAAAAACGAAACGAAACTGAGAATTGTTCAAGGTAAATGATTGGGGGCAGTGGAAAAACGGAGTAGTGTCTGGCACGTGTTACAAACGGAAAAGTCAAATAACTCATTTTGATTGTAAAACATAATAACGAAACACTAATAATCTGTTAATGAAAAAAAATGACAATTAAAGAGAGTTATTTTTTTCTGAAAAAATAATAATTCTTTTCGATTTGGAAAAAAGCAATGTGACAAAAAAAAAAAGAGTGAGCACACACACGCCATGTTGTCAGGCCGAGACCCATGCAGTCGTCAGATGCCGAATGATTTTTCCTGAAAAATGTCATGCAACAGATGGAGTTGGAAAATTTTAATGGAACACACTGAACGATATATGATTAAGCGTACCTTGGGATGATTGTTTTTAATATTTTTACAAAAGGAACACTATTTAAAAATTCGAACTTACCTACGTTCAGGCGTATACGACATGTTCCACTCACAGTTGCACGGCGGAAAGGCTGATATCCTGGTGCGTCACGAGGAGAATTACGTGGTTGTCACCAGATAGCGCTACAATCACCACTGTCTAGGCGCCTTTAATTTCTTCAATTAGAAAAAAAAAATTTATTTTTCTTATTAATATTACAATTCTGTAAAGTTATTTTTTAATATTTAATTTCATTTTAATGGAAATATGCCAATTTTTTAAGTTTTTGATAAATTTTATTGGAAATTTTTACTTTCGATTGAAAGGATATTACGTCATCTACCCAACATTCAATGGGGGAAATGAATAAAAGGCGGTAAAATTTGAAAAGTAAATTTTTCAAGAAATATTAAAAAAAATGGTTTTCTTTTCAATTTAAAAATATAAATACGAGTTAAATTGTACTTTTTTTTGAACTTCTTTGGAGAAACGAAATTTTGAGGTTAATTTATTATTATCACATTTCCAATTGTAATTTTTTTATTATCTTCTGATTGTTTTTAATTCTTTGAATGATGAAAAGTATTTTTTTTTTATTTTCTTCAATTTGACAAATATATACTGAAAGTAACAAATATTTTAGAATGTTAGTTACTTTTGGAAAAATATTTGATATTACCTTTATTATATTGACAAATTCTTTATTTTTTTCCTAGACTAAATGTTTAAAAGCAGGAAAAAACAATAATTTTTCGTTTATTATAAAAGATCCAGAACGTTAAATGTTTTTCTGGATTTTTGCTTGTCATTTTTTTTACTTAAATTGCTTTCTCTCTTGTTTTTCATTTTTAAATTAAATTTTTCGTTTGTTTTTTTTATTTTTTACCCTTTAAATTGAAAATCTTTTTTTCTAATTTAATTTTCTTTCATTTATTTTTTCGTTTATGTTAATAAAAATCGTAAAATAAAAAATTAAATTACTTTATTTTCAAAATAAAAAAATTCATTAACAAATTTCTGATATATATATATATATATATATATATATATATATATATATATATATATATATATATATATATATATCATCAAGTGTAATTCACAGCAATAAAAATGAACATTTTGTTTTTTCTTTAAACAAATGCACAACTGAGAATTAAAAATAATACTGCAATGGGAAAAATAATATAAACTCCCATTCGAGGAACACATGTTGAAACTAATAGTGAAATATCATCCATTTCATGATCGATTCCATCTTTTGTTGGTACTTCAACAATAACACGTTCTGATGTTAATATTGGAAGTGGAAATGTACATTCTGTTTTATTAATACATGCCAATGTTACGTTTTCATATTGTAATGTTGGTTTGTAAATATCAAAAACAGCATGAATATCATTTGATACTTTATCATTGTCACTGTAAAATATATAATAATAATAACCAGGTTCAATAACATCGTGTCTTGATTGCATATGTTTTCCATTAATTAAATATGAAACATCCATACAATGTTCAGATTCATTAAATTCTTGGGCAAGAAGAACTTGTCCACCGTAACATGTGAATAATCCATTTTCAAAACTTGAAATCGATGAATCTTCATCGTTATTAATATTACTATCGTTAAATTTTTTTGCTGCATTACCACCGTGTCTTATACCTTGATCTAATAATTTTGGTGGATCAACTGGTTCTTGATGTCGTTTATGTCTTTGTGGATTTAATTTTTTTTCATCATTTTCCTCTTTAGCAGTGTCAGGTATTTCTTCGAGAAATTTGGCTTTTAATAAATTAATTCGTTTTTTATTGTTCATTTCTGAAATTTGTAAATTATCTTGTGATGAAGTTTCGTGAAATTTATTATTATTTTGTCTCTTATTGTAATTACGTAATTTTTTTGAAATTCTCTTTGTATTCTTGATTTGATTGGATTTTGTAATTTCTTTTGCTTTCTCCTTTATGGGAATAATATTTAATTGTTTCTTTTCGGTTATAATTTCAGTTTCGTTTAATTGCCTTTGGGAAAATTTTCTTTGATGAATTTCTAGTTGATTTTTCGATTCTTTTGAATGTATTTCTTGTGCATTTGATTCAAAAGTTATTTTCACTTGTTGATCGGCTTCTGGTAAATAAATACCAGTTGCTCGAGCTTTATTTTTATTGTGATCTAATAATCCACATGTTTTTAAATTTCTTTCACCTTTAACGACAAGTATCGATGCACCCTCAAATCTAAAAACAAGATTAATCAATGATTTATTTTAATTGTATTTATTTATATTTTTTTTAAATTATAATACAAGATAATAATTACTGTATTAATTATATAAAATTTATCGTAATAATATTTTGGTGTTTACCTCGAGCAAACTGATAAGGCAACAGTTGCTCCTTTTAAAAGATAAAATCCCCAATATTCCAGTGTATCATCAGGAAGTGTCATACTTTTTTTTAAACGTATGTGCTTTCTATAAGACGTTGTTTCCGGTCTTCGGGAAACTTGAAATGAATTAAATGTTTCATTCATCTTTAATTTGTGAGCCTGAAAAAAAATTAATGAAGTTCTTTTTTTTGCTTATCTTGGTTGAGTTTTTATTTTAAATTCTGCATTTTTAATTCAAATTCATTTTTTAAAATCTTACCGAACAAAATATCGACGAAACTCCATCCTTGATTTCTAAAATATCTGATTCTGTTACAGCATACGTAACATCAGCATAAACAACATGTCGTAAATATAATGGAAGAATTAGTAGCAAAGTTGGTAAAACGGTTGTTAAAATACAAAAAATTATCACTCTTCTAATGCCATGCATTTTATCTGCAAAAAAAATATCGAAATTATTAATATTATTTTAAAAATTAAAAAAAGAATAAATCAATTTAAATTAAATAAGAAATTGAACTACAATTTTAAAGAAATTGCCTCTTTCTTAATACAATTCTTTTTATCAATTTATTTTTTGCTCTGACCTAAATATTTTTCTAAATTTGTCAGCAGAAATTTCCCATTGTTGAAAATTTATTTGAAAATTCATATTATATTGTAGTTTAATGGGAAATTTTTATAATTATTTTTTAAACACTTTATTTGAATAAACTTTTTCCACATTTTTGAATTTAATATATTTAAAAATTAAATTCACACTATTGACTATTGATATAAATAAAAGTACAAAAATATTTAGATTCGATTTTTTTTTCTGTACAGAATAGACTAGGTTAAAAGAGAGATAAAATAGATACTGAATTTCTTGAAATCTCATTGGATAAAATTAAATACAATACTATTTATTGTTGTAAAATTGTTCTATCTTTGAAATTGTCAAGAAAACAAGTCGTATATAAAAGCCATTTAAAAAAAAAAAAAACTATAAAGAAATGCTATTCGAGGAATTTAAGATTTATGTGGATTAACAATAAATTCCAGAATTTATTGTCTAGATAGAAAAATATAACAATAAAAAGAAAAAAAAAACAAATAGGTTCAAAGTTCTTGCTTGAAACGCATGCGTTCTTCGTAAAGATTGCAGCGCTTAGTTTTAAATTTAATAGGAGAAATTTAATTTAAATTTTGTAAAAAAAATTCCTTTTTCAATATTTTATTTTCTTTCTTTAAAATTTGGAAAATTTAGAAAAAAAACTGTAAATATATTGTTTAGTGCATTTTGAATTAGATTAAGGAGAATATTTCTTATCAATGACGTCAGGAGATAAAGTATAAAACATAATTCGAAGCTTCCTTAAAATGATTTTCTCTTTTATTATTTAAAATATAATTTTATAATTTATTTTTTTTGTAGGGTACTTTTTAATTAAATAATTTTTGAATAACGGAATTGACAATATTTTCTTTTTCTTTATTAACTTTTTTTCAGTGAGGGGAAATAAATTTTTTGTATTTATATATAAAATTGTGGAAAGTTTCTTCTAACCTGGATAATTCTATTTTTAGGACACTGTGATTGTTTGTTATGTACATAGATTATTTTCTGATTCATAATCACGTATGTCGTAATTAAATATTATGTTTTAATTTGAAGATTACAAAAAAAAGAAAATTGTCAATTTTTAGTTATTCTTTTTTATTTAGTTTAAAAAAATTATTTTGTTCAAATTAATTTAGTAGTTTATTTTCTTTTTTTCCTTTTTCATCTTTTTTTTTTTTAGAAATTCTTTTCTTTCTTTATTATTATATTTTTATTTATTTCTCTGATAACTATAAATTTTAATGAAAAAATTAAACTTACTATGTAGAGTATTCATTGAATGGTATTTGTAAGTGTGATAATATCCCACATTGCTAACAATTTCCTTCTTCGCTGCATACATTGTGACTATTTTTATTATTATTTATTTCTTCTGAGCACCACACATTAAAAACAATTTTTTTTCTTTGAACTTGAAATGAGCAGCATATTAATTCAAAGTTAAATGATTAATTATGAATGTTTTCAAAGTTGTATAAAAATTCAAATAATCCAGGTGTATTTCATTATAATCACATCGAAGCGTTAGTTTTTATTCTCTTTTTTTTACTCAGATTAGGCAAAATTTAGTTGTTTTTTTTCTCTCTCCTTGTAATTGATTCACAAACAGAACTTTAGTTCTTATCACTATCGTATAAAATTATTTTTTTTATTCATTATCACATTGTAGTATTAAATTTTTTTTTTTGACATTAATAATTAATAGAATCGTTTCGAATGATAAGATTAAAATAATTTATTTTCATTAACGAAATTAAAATAAAATTTCCGGTTTTAATTTTGTATTGTAACCAAAAATTTGTATATGTCATTCAATGTGGAAACTTTGACGTTCTGTTTGAGGCTGTTGAAAATTGTTTCATGAATGTCGATATGACAATGGAAGAGTAAATAATTCTTTCTCAATCGTGCTATTAACCTTATCAGTAACTCCATTCTATACTCGTTTAGAAAAACTTATCTGTCATAATAAATGACTGTATTAAAATTAAGCTATTTTCATTGAAATTATTATTTGTATAGAAATTTTATTGAAAAAAATATATCATTTCTGTGTAGATTTTTCTTTTCAATATTGATAAAAAAGTTTCTTCATTTTTGTGTATTTATTAATTAGAATTTTGTAATTGATTTTTTTAAATTAACTTTCTCCGAGAACGATCTTTCCGATTGATTTATAATAACCACTATCGTCTACATTAAATTGCGACAAATGAATTATAGACAACTGAATTTTTCCAAAATTAGTTTCCTTATGGGCCTGAAAATAAAGTTACTTTAAAAAAAAATTTTTTTTTTATCTAAAATTATTAATATCTAATAATAAATATTTTTATTATTAATTAATTAATTTCTCGATTATTAACTGATATTTACAATTTTACCTCAATTATATTAGATGCATCAAAAGTTTCACGTTTTAATTTGCCACTTTTCTTTCTTTTTCTTTCTTTTAAACTTGCAAAGAGAGTATTCATTACTGTCATATGCAGTTTTACATTTTCTGATTTCTTTTTCATTAAACCTAAAAACATATTTTTCTTATTATTTATTACAAATTTATATAATTTTTAGTTAGTTACAATTTTTAATGAATTTTATTAAAATTATTTAAAAAAAATTCTTTTACCCTTTTCTGCAAAATAATCCACGATATTATCTGATAATTCCTGAAGAAATCCCTGTTCATCGACAATTCCTGCATATAATATATGCACTTTAGTTGGATCATTATTCATACAAGTGACACCTTTTGCTTCAATAGTAATTGGTCCATTTTTGTCAATAAAAGGTCTGAAAATAAATGGTAATAATAAATGGTAATAAATGGTAAAATAAATAAATAAATAAAAACTTACTGAATAATTTCATTTCTACATGAATTGAGAATTTCCATAGCCTCACTTTTTTCTTTTTCATCAAACAACCATAACACATCGAGAGTGAGATGTAATCTTTGTTCTTTTTGAAATAAATTTTCTTTCATTCCTCTCGATTCTTTGCCACTATTTGATAAAACTTCATTTTTAAAATTATTAAAATTACTAATTATATGCTCATGATTCATTGGTATAGAAATAAAATGTGTACATCTCACTTTGTGCCTTGATTCTTTTGTTATAAAATCAATTTGATGCCTTGCTGATATTATTTCTTTGCTTTTTGAACCAATGACAACTAAAAAAAAAAATGTAATGTTAATTTTAACTTTAATAAGAAAATAAAATTTTAATTTTTAATTATATAAATTTCTGTTATCTTTGCCAGTTATAGACATAAAGAAATTTGTGCAATAAAAGATACTTTTATCTTTATGTTCTTTGCGCACGGATTTTTTATTAGAAGTATCTAATATTTAATTGACGATTTACGCTATATTGTACCTATATCACTATCTTGTTTTCTTTCCGGTATCAATATTGATGTATTCGTTTCAGTTTCTATCCTCTCTTTCGTTGACCCTTTCGGACCCGTGACTAATGACAACAATCCCCTGTAAAGAATTATTATTTCAAATTTTTAATTATGCTTCTTGATTAATTAATTTTTTATATTAGAATCATTAAAAAAATTTCTGCTAAATAATGTAGATTTATCCCGAAATTAAAAAAAAAAAGAATAAATTTAATATTTATTACCTTGGAACATAGAATGAATGTTTATATTTTCCTTCAATATGTGAACAAAATTGAATTTCCGTGACACTAAAATCTTCTTCGTTAATTGATTCCTCATTGGAATTTTCAGAATCTTGAGAATTATTGAATTCAAAAAATTTATAGTATTGTTCATCAATGCGAATTAATTTTCTTTTAGGCTCATAATCCATTTTTTTAGTTGATAAAAAAGTTGATTTCGTTAATTTGGGCAAAAAATTTATTATTCTTCTCCAAATATTTCCCATAATGTATATTTAATTCAAATTTGATTTAGGTTTCAATAAATGTGTAAAATTATAAATTGCACACATTTTATAAGATATACACATATTGTTAATAAGTTTTTTAAAATATATTATTCATTAAATTTTTTAATGAGAAATTATAAATAACTGATGATAAATCCTATAGAAAATTCTATGATACTAAGAAATTTTGCTTATTTTTTTTTTTTATTTTTAATTATTTTTTAATGGATTTTATATTTAAATTCTTTAAAAAAAAATGTATTTTATATTTTAAAAAAGAATTTTTTTTAAATTTAGTCTTTTACTCTCTTCACAATATTTTTACATAACCTCCAAGTATAAACTTTAAAGAAGCGCGTGCGCTATTCTTTTTATTTGAAAGAATCACAAGAATTTAAAGAAAAATAAAGAAAAAATATTTTTTCGCGATGTAAAGAAAAATTATGTTTACGAGATAAAAATTATTATTTATAATAATATTTATTAATATATTATCTTCTCTTATTAAAACTATAATATTTGTATTAATTAAAATATGATATACAAATATTTTTAACAAAAGGATAAAATGAATTCTTTAAGAAAATACTTAAACGTCAATTTTGGCTGTATCCTTATAATAACCAAATTCATTTCTTGTATTTCTTTGAGATAAATGAATAGTCGATAGTTTTACTCCTCCGAAATAAGTATCTTTATGAATCTGGAAATAATTTTGTTTTTAATTAATTATTTAAAATAAAAAAAGTACTTCTGGAATTTTTTTTTTTTTAAATGAAATTTTATAAGAAACTTACTTTCATTATGTTTGTGGCATCAAATGTACCCCAATCACCTTTTACTGATTCTTTATCATCTTTTAATGCAAATTTGGTATTCATTATTGTCATGTGTAATTTTACACAATTGTATTTTGGATTAATTAAACCTAAATAATAAACAAATTAATATTTGCTTCAAGTATTCTAAGTATAAATATAATTTTAAAAATTCATTTACCATCCTTAACAAAATACTTGACAATATTATCGGCTAATGTTTGAAAAACATTCTCCGAATCAACTACTTTTGCGTAAAGAATCTTTACTTCTGAACTATCATCGTTCATAATTTCAATTCCCTTTATCACTAAATTTATAGGTCCATTGTCTTTAAGGAAAGGACTAAAAAAAATTGATTAAATAAATAATTAATTTTTTTTAAGTTTAGAAAAAAAGTAAAATAACTTACTCTATAATATCTTTTTTGCAATCGATCAATTTTTTTGCTGCTGCTTGTCGTTCATTTTCATCCATTAATTTTAATACATCAAGAGTGAGATGAAGTCTTTCTTCATTTTGAAAAATTTTCTCATTTACTCTTCTTGCTCCTTTTCCAGTTTTATGGATCACATCATTTTTAAATTCTCTAAATGCATCAATTATATTCTTATCGGTCAATGGAATAGACAAAAAATGAGTAAATTGTACTTTTTTTCTCGATGATTCTACAAGTAAATCTATTCGATTTCTCGCTGAAATTATCGATCTACGACTTGTACCCAATATTACTAAAAGAAAATATTTTTATTATAATTATATTAGGTAATTAAAAAATAAAATCTAGACTCCTTACCAATATCTCCTTCTTGTCCCATTTTTGGTACATGAATATTTGTTTTTGTCTCGACTTCCAATCTTTTTTTAGTAGCACCTTTTGAACCAATTATATATGCAAAAAATGTCCTTGTATAATTATATTAATTAATAATTATTATTTTGTAATATATTATATAAAAATGATTTAATATAAAGTCGTTTAATAAAATACCTGGGTACATGAAATGTATGCATAAATCGCCCTCCAGAATGAGCGACAATTTCAATATTACTTTCATCGCATTCTTCTTCTGAATCATAAATAGGCTCGGATTGATCTTCCTCGTAATTTCCGCTCACATTTCGATATTGAGTCCAAGCAGAATTATCAGGAAATCTGTAATTTCTTTTATCAACTGTAACTAATTTTGGTCTTAATGAATCCATTGTTATTATCCAAATCGAAATATATGTATATTTCGAGTATATTTTAAATATAATTGAAAAACAGTAGTTTAATAACAATTATTTAATATTGTCACTTTGATAAATTATTTTTGTTTAAAAACAAAAAAATAGATTAAAAGTACTTTTTTGTAGGTTTTAAATAAAAAAAGTAAATAACCGGTTAAAAAAAACAACATAGAAAGGAAACTGTTGTTGAAATTGTCGTCGATGAACATGTGAAGTCGCCTTAAAGTTTTTGACACTTGACAGATGACACATATTAAAAGAATTAAATTCCATACTCAACTGATATTAAATTATACACAATAAATAAATAATCAAATAAAAAAAGTGAAGGATAAAAGAAGAATACAATTTTTCACCGGATCATTTTCATAAGAAACATAACCTAGTTAGTAGACCATCAATTGCCGAGTGACGTCGTCCTTTCTGTTACAAATATTTAGTTTCTGATTTTATTTTTTAATTAATAAAAAATAATTCAATTGGAAATTTAATTAACACTTCAATTGTAAATAAGAAATTAAAGAAAAGCACTGTCATTTGTTATATTTTTCTTATAGTAAAAATTAAAAGATGTATAACATATTGGAATGATGAAATTTTTAGTATTTTTATAAATACAAAAAAAAGTAATGTGAATTTAAGTGAACATATATTGTTTTAAATTATATATTATTCTATATGGCGACAAGAATTTGGTTGCGTCTCAATGATGCAACAAATAAATGGTAATTAAATTGAAGGTTATAATTTTTTTTTTTTATATATATATTTACATTATTCTTGATAATATTTTTCAATGTTTATTGCTTGCAGTTTTTTTAACAATGTACAGTATCGTAGGCCGAATATTCAACTATGCAGATCATTTAAACCTGTTAGAAATTTCAAATTTAGAGAAGTGGAAAAAGAGGCGCCGGTAGAATTTAATAATAATGGACCGGTATCTTACCGATTTTGGAAAACTTTTGGTTTCACTATGATGGTTCAGTAATTTTTTTTTATTACCATTGTAATTGATATTTATTAATTTATTATTATTAATTATTATGAATTTTATTTCAGTTTAGCGGAACTTGCATAGTAGGAGCAACAATTTGGGAATATGAGAACATTCGTCGAAAGACCTATAATATAATTAATTTTATGAAACATCGTCAAGTTCCTGTTAGTTTTTGATAAATTAAAAAAAAAAGAATATTTTCTACAATAAAGTTGTATTGAACGGGACATTTTTTTTTTATTTTAGAAACGAGGTTTTAGAGCACAGGCCGAACAATGGTGGAGAAGTTTGAGTCCTGGTGAAAAAATTTTCATACCTATTTGCTTTTTAAATGTTCTCGTTTATCTCGCATGGAAAGTTCCATCATTTCGTAAAACCATGGGACTTTATTTTACTGCCAGTCCTGTTTCCAGTAAGAATTAAATATTATTTTTCTTTTTAATTTACATAAATATTTATGATAAATTAATATTAAATAAAATTTATTTTTACAGGTAAAGTGGGCCTTCCATTATTATTGTCAACATTTTCCCATGATTATTTTCTTCATTTAGCTGTAAATATGTATGTTCTTCATAATCTCTGTGAATTTTCTGTTCAATCACTTGGTACAGAGCAATTTATGGCAATGTATTTAATTAGTGGAGTTTTTGGAAGTTTTTTGAGTCATTTATATAAAGCAACATTGTGGCGAACAACTGCATCATTGGGATCTGTGAGTAATGATTTTTCCCTTCAAAAAAATGGAGATTTTTCTTTTTTAAAAATACAATATTTTCTTTTTTAGTCTGCTGCCGTTATGGGTGTACTTGCATACACTTGTAGTCAATTTCCTTCATTACAATTCAGTTTAATTTTCCTTCCTATGTTTAAATTTACATCAAGTCAGGTAAATTTTAATTTACAATTTCTATTTTATATATAAAAAATAAAAAAAATAAATTTTTTTACAGGCAATTCAAGGAGTAATTGCTCTAGATTTAATTGGCGCTATTATGAGATGGAGGTTTATTGATCACGCAGCGCATCTTGGAGGAGCATTCATTGGAATGTAATTATTTTTTTTAATTAAATTTCTTGTTCTTAAATCTTAGGAATAATTGAATAATAAAAACATTAATTTTCTTTTTAGATTATGGGCAAAGTGGATTAATGAAAATATTTGGTTACAACGTAAACCTCTTTTAACAATGTGGCATAAATTCCGAGAACCACCACGATCTAATTAAAGAGATAAAAAAAAAATTAAAACTTTCGTTACTATGGAAAAATTCTAATAGAATTTTTTTTTGTTCGCTAATTTCAAAAACAAAACATTACACAAAATCATTTATACATATAGAGAAAATAAAAATAATATATGTTTGATTAAATTGAGATAAATTATTCTTCACCTTCTAATTTTAAAATAAACATACGGATAGTCAAGAGTATTATTTATTATTATTATTTATCGAAATATAAACGAAAATAAAAAATATTTTTCACAATTATTATAAAAAAGATATTTTTAATTTTTAAGATATTTCGCATGATGTTTAATGTGATCTTCAATAAAAGTTGAAATAAAAAAGTAACTATGATCGTAACCTTCATGCATTCTAAGTGTTAAAGGCATACTTATACTTTGAGCTGCAGGTACAATACTTTCGGGTAATAATTCTTTACTTAGAAAATTATCTTCTTTACCCTATAAACGGAAACAATTTTTTGGTTTTTATTTTTTTTTTTTGAAAATAGACATATTCAAATTAAACAAATTTATAAATGTAAATAATATAAGTAAAATAATCAACCATAAAAAAATGTTTTATAAATATAAATAATTATTTATAGAAAAAAATAATATAATACCTGATCAATTAAAATATCTAATGGTGGTCCATTGTAAATTTTCATAAGTTCAGTGGCATCCCAATTTTTCCATTGTCCTTGATTTTCCCCCAAATAACCGGAAAATGCTTTTTGTCCCCATGGACAATTTACTGGATTGCAAATTGGCGCAAATGCCGAGACTGTTTTATATTGTCCGGGATTTTTTAAACAACAAATTAAAGCACCATGACCGCCCATACTAATAATTTAATATCACTTGTTAATATTTAAAAAAAAAAAATTTCAATGAAATTTCAAAATAATTTATTTTACCTGTGTCCCATTATGGATTGTTTGTCAGGTATGGCGGGAAATTTTTCATTAATCAAAGCCGGCAGCTCTTTGGTAACGTAACTATACATTTTGTAATTATTTTTCCACGGTTCTTCAGTAGCATCGACATAAAATCCAGCACCAGTACCAAAATCCCAAGATGTTTCTTCACCAGGAAGATTAAGACCACGAGGGCTTGTATCTGGTGCAACAATCATTACACCATGTTCAGCAGCATATTTTTGTGCTCCGGCTTTTTGAATAAAATTTGCCTCTGTACACGTTAATCCAGAAAGCCAATAAATTACAGGCACTGGACCATTTTCCGCTTGTGGTGGTAAATAAACACCAAAATTCATTTTACATTTTAATTCCGTACTGCAAAAAATATTAATTAGAAAAAAAAATTCATTGAATTTAATTTCATATGATAAATAAATTAATTAATTTATAACCTTAAAAAAATAGTAGAAAATTATATATATATTTAACAAAATACCTTTCGTGGGTATAAACTTTTTGCCATCCTCCGAAAATTTTGTTATTTGAAACTAAAGCAAATTCAGTCATCTGTAAATTATCGAAAAACATTGTTAAATAATAAAACAAAAAACAAAAGGTTTTCAAAAAAGAATATGCGAAATGCAGAAGAGTAACGGATAAAAAGATAATTTCTAAACAAGGTCAAATCGTATCTCAAAATTGAGGTTAGAGTTCTAGATAAAGCGCAAAGTCCACATTATAAATTTAAAATACATTTGTTTTATCACTTTTATCGAGTGTATTAATTTGTTTACCTTTACTTATATCTTAATCACAACGAAATTTTATTTTAATAAACACTTTAATTTAAAAAAATTTTAATATTACACCGGTGGGGAGATTATTTCAAATTTTTGGAGTAAACTGTATATAAATACATATATACCATCTGATATATATATATATATATATATATATATATATATATATATATATATATATATGTATGTAAACCTATAAATACTTCTAAAAACCCAATTTGGATCAAAAGATAACAAATATATTATTTAAATTCGCGATACAAACAAAAATTAAACATAATTTGAGGTTATTTATTTTTGTTGATTGAATTTTGAAGTATTATTTAGTGGTTTTAATTAAATTCTTCGGTTTATAATATCAAAAAATATTTTATAAATTATTTTAATTAGATTTAACTTAAACTAATTAAGATATTTACCATTGATTTGTTTATTTATTTATTAAATCACAAAATTGAAATTGTTTGTTGTTGTTTTGAAAAAACCTAAAGTCACATTTCTAAAACAGTCGCTCAATGGAAATGCAAAATTTTAGTGGCGCCATCTACTAAATTAAGGGGATTTAAATGGGATTTAAAAATGGTTCTGTTTTGAAATATGTATAAATAATTTTTGTAAACTATAATAAATATTAATAATAGAAAATTGAACTTTTAATTGTGATTATATATTCAGTGTTACAAAAAAAAACAACTGTATAATTTTATTATTTTGACAACGTTCTATCTACGTCTATCATAATGAAACATGAGTTTTTTGTTTAATCTAATTAGAAGTGTTTTTTTAAGAATGTTAGAATTAATTTGGTCAAGTAAAACTCGTATTTCCAATACTTTAAGTATTTATGTTAAAACAAATACTGGAAAAACTGTTCATGTTGATTTAAATCCAAAATGGGATATCAAGAATGTGAAGGAAATTGTTGGGAAAAAATTGGACATGCCACCAGAGGAATTAAAAATTATTTTTGCTGGAAAAGAATTACATAATTCGACAACAATTGAAGTAATTACATATATATAAATAAAGTTTTTAACTGAGCCTTTGTTTAAGTTTGCGATTGACATAACCTATACGATTTGAATCAAATTACTAATTTATTTATTTTTTTTCCCCTAGGAATGTGATTTAGGACAACAAAGTATTTTACATGCAGTTCGAACTCATCATAGAATTAGTAAATTAAATACGTCAACGATAGAAGAATCATTATCCGAAATTTCTGAATTTAACGACAGTGGAAGTAAACCACTTAATGAAACTTTGTCCGATTTACCCTTGGATGAATCGAATGAATTAGAACCGAATTCAGAAGGTAATTTTTGGTTTAATTTTTTTGTAATTAATTTAATTTAATAATTAATATAATTTAATAGAACAGGAGAAGAATCGAGCACACTTTTATATTTATTGTTCATCGCCTTGTAAATCAGTTGAAGTGGGAAAATTGCGTGTGAGATGCGCCACTTGTAAAAATGGTGCAGTCACTGTCGATAGAGATCCACAATGTTGGCCTGATGTTTTATTAACACATAGAATAACAGTTCAATGTGAAAATGATTTTTGTCAGGCTTCAATTTTACCAAATGATGAAATTGAATCGCAAGTTCATTATGCACAATTTTATTTTAAATGCTCTAAACATATCAGCTTGGGAGAAAATGACGAAGCTGTGCCTTTATATCTTGTGAAACCGAATTTAGCCAAAATCCCATGTCTCGCTTGCACTGACATTAGGTTTGTATTTTTAATTTTTTTTTTTTTTTACAATTTTTATTTTTGATTTTCTTTTTAAAAACAGGGAAACTGTATTGGTATTTCCATGTGAAGCGGGTCATGTCACTTGTTTGGATTGTTTTCGTGATTATTGTTCAGCGAGATTGCGCGAAAGACAATTTCAATTTGACGACACACGTGGTTATTACACTTTACCATGTCCTGCTGGATGTCAAAATTCGTTTATTCCTGAAATTCATCATTTTCATCTTCTACCACCACAACAAGTGTGTTTCATTAAAAAAAAGATTTTTAATTATTAGTAAAAAAAATATTTATTATTAATAACAGAAAAAAAAACTTACAGTATGAACAATATCAACGTTTTGGTACAGAAGAATATGTTCTTCGAGAAGGTGGATTATTATGTCCACAACCAGATTGTGGAATGGGTATAATACCGCCAAAAGTTGAAAATGGATATACAGAGGAAGATTGCCGTAAAGTGCAATGTATCGGTGGCTGTGGAGTAAGTTTTCAATTTACTATTCGTTTCTTTAAAAAAAAAAAAAAAATGTAATCTATTTTTCTGTTCAAAAAGTTTGTATTCTGCAAAAAATGTTTACAAGGATATCATGTTGGGGATTGTGAATCTCAAGCACAATCTTCAAGTAATTTGAATTTTCAATCTGGATACGTTGTGGATCCACTAAAAGCAAAGGATGTGAGTTTGTTTTTTCTTTATATTACCGATTAAATTCAAATTTTTACTCTCTATTAAATATCATTGAATTTTTAATTTAGAAAAGCCAAATACTAATTTTAATAATTAAAAATAAAACAAATTTTTTTTTCACTTATAAAAAAATAAGAAGAATTTTTATCATTTCAGGCAAAATGGGATGAAGCGAGTAAAAAAACGATAAAAATTTCGACAAAACCGTGTCCTAAATGTAGAACACCTACAGAAAGAGATGGTATATATTTTTTTCTCACTAAATTTTTTAATTTAAATTCATATTAATGAATTAAAAATTAATTTTTAGGTGGATGTATGCATATGGTGTGTACAAGAGCCGGTTGTGGATATCAATGGTGTTGGGTTTGCCAAACTGCTTGGACAAGAGATTGCATGGGCAATCATTGGTTTGGTTAAATTAATAAAAAAAAAAGTTAAATTATTTAAATTTAATAATTTAAATTTCATATTTAAATTTCATATTTAATAATTTTTTTTTATTAATTATTTCTCTTTATTTAAATATATATTTAAATATTTCTCTTCTAGTGAATGACATTGTAATATATATAGTTTTCTAAAAGAAATGAAATATTTTATATAACACGTTATCTATTTGTAATAAAAATATTTGTGTAGATAATAAAAATAAAATAAATTACGCTTTCTAATTAAATAGAAAAAAATTATTTTATTTTTTTTTGAAAATTCGCGCCTTATTTTGACAGATCTTGAAATTTTTTATAGATGGCACCAAATACTTCCGTTTCTAGAATTGTTTGACAGTTTTTGACATTTGCTGGTAAAACTGAGAAATTTTTCTATATTCCCACCGCAAAGTATAATTAATTATTATTTAATTAACAAATAAAACTGCTTATTATTATTATAAAACAAAAAAAAGAAAATGAGTTTAATTTCGACGGTTACTTCGCCATCAGTAGACTTGAGTTCCTATCGGGATCAACATTTTAAGGTTAGATTTTAATAGATTTTTCAATAAGAATTAGTATTTAGGCATTATTAATTAAAATTTATATTTTTAATATTGTTTCCAATGATGAATAATTTATTTATTTTTGAATATAAAAATTCGTTTTTTGAATTAAAAATTAACGAATAATGGTTGTAAATTAAATTTTATTATGATCCAGGGTTCCCGTGCAGAACAAGATAGATTATTAAGAAATTCAACGACTCTTTATGTAGGAAATCTTTCTTTCTACACAACGGAAGAACAAATTTATGAACTTTTCTCAAAATGCGGCGATATTCGACGAATAATTATGGGCCTTGATAAATACAAAAAGACACCATGCGGTTTTTGTTTTATGGAATATTATTTGAGAAGTGATGCTGAAAATTGTATGCGATATGTTAATGGCACAAGGCTCGACGATAGAATTATTCGAACAGATTGGGACGCAGGATTTATTGAAGGTCGACAATATGGTCGTGGAAAAACTGGCGGTCAAGTAAGTAAAATTTAAATAAATGATTTTTCTTTTTCTCACATTAATTATAAATAATAAATAAATTTTTTAAATATATTTTCTTGTAGGTAAGAGATGAATATCGATCAGATTTCGATAGTGGCAGAGGTGGATATGGAAAAATTATACAGCAAAAAGTAACTCCCCTTTCCGATTCTTTTGGTCGGTAAAATTTCGAATCATTAATTTATTTAACTCTAAGTTACTTTAATTAGTTAATAATATTTTCAAATTACTTTTCTTTAAAAAAAAAAATTAGAATATTCTTCTTAAAATTTATTAATTTTCAATTGAAAATTTATCATTTCTTCTTTCATTGAGAAAATTAGTTTTTCTCATTATAAATATCACATTGTTCTTTTTTTTTGTCTAATTAAAATTCAATAATTATTAAAGCAAAGAGATAATTGTGTAAAAAGAGTAAATTTTTATTTTAACACTTTACAAATACTATATATATATATATATTTATATTGAAAATATCAATTATTTACATGAAAATAAAATAAATTGTGATATAAAGGCAATGTGGCACTTGTGAATAAACTTAATTAAAACTCCAATAGTGCAAATATAAATTACATAATATATAATCTATATATATATTAGAATTTAAATAAAAAAAATCAATTTCAAAGATCCTGAGATCTTCACGTTAATATGCATGAAATTTTTTTTAAAAAAATTCCATTTACTAAATAAATTATTTAATGACTTACTTTTGATAAGAAAAATTTAATTTTCTTTTTTATCAAAAAATAATATCGTTAAATTATTTATTTTTTAATTAATATATTTATTTATATATGGACATTAATTATTATTCTACCTTTTTCTTTTTTTTTTTCATCATGGAACTATACACAACAAAATTTTTTCGATGACGGTGATTTTAAAACGGCTCTTAGAGCTTCTGTGAATACTTGTTCAAGTCCTTCTTGTTTTATTGCCGAGCATTCGACATATTTGTAGGCTTTAATTTTCTTTTTCATTTTTTTCGCTTCTCGTTGTGTCACTATATCTAAATTTTCTTGACTCCTCAAATCACTTTTTGTACCTGTCAATGAGAAAATAGGAAAAAATATTTAAATTAAAATATTATTTTATTAAAAAAAAAAATAATGTAAACGAAGAAAATGAATGCAAAATGCGAGGTGAATATTATCTATAGCAGATTGTTTTATCTTTTTTTTTTAATACTCGTAACTATCGCAAGAAATGTGGAAACAAGATTTGAGTTTAATGCACCATTTACGTCAAAAAAAAAAAAATGTATTTTACACACCAACAAGAACTATCGGAACGTTGGGACAATGATGCTTTATCTCCGGATGCCATTTACTGGCCACATTTTCATATGAACTTCGAGCACTAACCGAGAAACAAAGCAGGAAGCAATCAGTCTGAAACAAATTTTAGATATTTATCATTCGATTTTTTCTTATCAAAAATAAACAAAAAAAAAAAGATTACTAGGAAAAATAATTTAGTTAAAATTTCTCTGAAAGTAAAATTTCAAAAATTTTATTAATTTTCTCAATGGAGGGTATTAAAAAAAAAGTTAAATGTCTTTTAATAAAAATTAAATTAGTTGTAGTAGTTATAATTAACAATGACAATTACAATTAATTATAGGATTGTAAAAAATTTATCTACTCGAAAATTATTATTGTTGACTCACATGGGGATAGGATAAAGGCCTCAGTCTTTCATAATCTTCCTGACCTGCAGTGTCCCATAGTGTCACGTTAAATTCCTCACCATCCAACATTATTTGGTCCGGATAATTATCAAAACTGTTAAAAATGAAAATCGTAATTACAATAAATAAAAAAAACATAAAATCTTTTCATATGATCAATTATTAATTAATAATAAAATTAAAAATTGTTTATTAAAAATAATTATATTTAAATTTAACGGCATAATGAAAGGCGTGATAAATTCAATACTTACACAGTGGGAACATACTCTGTAGGAAACTTTTTATTTGTATATGTAATTAGCATGCAAGTTTTGCCAACCATTCCATCTCCCACTGCAGTCACTTTAATTTGTCTATTCCGTGACATTTCTTTGCTTCCTGCAATAAAAAAATAACATTATTAAAAAAAAATGATAATTATAATTAAATGAAGATTTCTAAAACTTTATTATTCTCGAAATGAGACAAAATTTGTAGAAACAAAAAGAATAAAAAGGGAAAAGCATTTTATCAAATAAAGAGGGAAAAAAGATATAATCGTGTGCGTAGGATAATAGAGCAACACCCACATAAAAAATTCTTAATTTTAAATTCTTTCAAGCTTAATTTTTCTTAATTATCAAAATTCTACTAGAGGCAAATTTAGATTTGTTTATAAATTCTATTAAACGTATGAAAATTTTAAATAAAAATTTCTATTAATTGGAAATTTTTTTGTTTAAAAATGCAAAAAAAATTAATTCAATAGAATTAAAAATTCCAATGATAAATCGGATAAATGCATTCAACGCTTTCTTTTGTATATTGTTATATATATATTTTTTTTTTGTTATTATGTCCTTTTTTGTTTTTAAATGTTAATGATTCCGTCTATGGAATTGTGTGAATAATAACATATATTTTGGGTTACTGAAAAGGAGGCGAGAGAGTCCAATCGCATCCGGCGACTATTTGACGACTCTCGTACATCAACGAACAAATCCTGAGTGCCAACGTTTGTACCTCTTTCGCATATCAATGAATTTAGCGACTATTTTTGCATTTTCATTATACCATAATGAGATCTACTATATAAGCTTCGTTTATGTCCCACTGTAAATATTAAGCACATCCGTCGAAGACAAAATTTATTTTTGTATACGAAAAAAATGTTTCAACTATTCATTTATTTGTTGACGCGTTTTTTTTTTGTTTCAAAAATAAAATTTTTATTCTATATAAAAAAGAATATTAATATATTAATTGAATAAAAATTAATATATTTTTCAAGTTCTCATTGAAATATAAGATGAATTATTATTATAATTAGTAATTTAATAAAAAAAAAAAAAAAATTATACAAACCACCAGTTTTTTCTCTGCCGAGACACATGAGGATGGCTGGTTCTTTTTCGTTTTTGTCTTTTACTTCCAGTAATAATAATAAAATTCAACTATATATTTGCAGTCTTGTGCCTTATCTTTGAAATTCTGCTATCTGTTTTATCACCTTTCTTAGTACCTACATCATTTGTTCGCACCTAAAAAAGTATATAGAATTAAATACAAAATAAAACATACATAGGATAGAATTTAGTTGTACAAACATTTTTTACCTGACAAAAGTTTCTCACAATTAAGAAATTATAATTCTTTATTTATTACAATTAATTGTTTATTTATTTCATAAGTTTATTTCTAATTGTATTAAATAATAAAGTTATTTTTATAATAGATAAAAATGATTTATTTATAATTATTAGAATTTATTATTTAATTTAGAATTACTTGATTAGTTAAATAAAATCAGTTTTTTTAAATTAATTAATCTAATTCATTTATATAATTATGTAATGTAATTACGCGTATTAGTGTGGATTAAAGGTCAAAAGATTTTTTTTTTTTTATTAATGGACAAGAGAAATTATTAATTTCTTCCTTAGATATAAAACGAATTCTTGAATCATTATACAAAGTCTCGAGAGTTTAATGCTCGATGTTACAATTAGTTAATTAAAACGTGCATGCGAGTCACGAGTCATACACGTATTTTCTAATTTGTGATCCACCCACCATGTATGTATGTCTTTTATAATACAGGAAAATCTTTTAACACACTTTAGTCACGATATCGAGACAAATAATTTTATTAAATAATAAAAATTAATCTTAATTTATTGATTAAACATTTAGCAATTAATTTTCAATTAATCATCTCATAAATTAATTAATAATTAGTAACAAAAACATTTAAATTTAAAAATTAATAAATAATTAAAATTTTAATAACATTAAAGACTCTGAATTTAACATACATAAGAAAGAATTGTTAGAAAATATATGTTAATTGAAAATTACGTGATAATTAAGATTAAAATCGTGTTCAATTTTTTTTTCTATTTATTTATAAAGAAACCTCTGTTTTTGTTGGATTTTTAATTTAAGAGACATGCGCGCACATTACTTATAGTGTTTATGTCTTTTTTCCAATCAATATAAAATGTTTATAACGTCATCGACAAAATTAATCCTTCGATTTTTTTTAATCCTAAAACAATCACTATTATTCTTAAAAATTTTTGACGTTTAATTAATTTAATAATTTATATATATAATTATATTTAAATTAAATTTATAATGGACAATTATAATTAATTTTAAAAAATTTACAGTTATCATCATAACAGATTACCTGCACATTTCTGATAAAGTAATAAAGATAAGATATTTTTGTAACAAAATGGAAAATCCAATTAAATCTGTTTAAGTAAACATTTGTTACGTTGTCCTTGTCTTTTTTTAAATATTAAATAAAAAAATTTTAAAATGAAACTCTATTTTTTTATAATATACGTACTATATGACTCTAACATGTATGACTTATATATGAAAACAATCATTTTAAATGAATGAATCACAATTGAGGACAATTGATTAGATAAATATTTTATATAAATTTAAATATTTCGAGAAGAAAAAATTTGTTAATTTCATTCTTTTATTTATGTAATTATTGTTCCATTCGAAAAATTTTTCTTCAATGACTCATTTTATAATTTGATTTTGATATTGTTTTTGTTTCTTAATTGGTGATTAATAAAATTTTTTATTGATAAAAAATATAAAAAAAACTTATAATAATTATTATTTAGACTCGAATTTATATTTTACGATGTATGTCATAATAAACAATCATATTTTAATAACAATGATAAATAAATACAAAGTGTCTGTTTTCATAGACATAACAAAAAATATATCTAAAAAATGTAATATTAATATTATTTTAAATCTAAATAAATGAAAAAATTAAATATGTGGAACAATAAAAAATAAAATAAATTAAAATATGTAAATAAATAAAAAGAATGGAAAAATGTATATTAAAAATTAAAATAATAAATATTACATTGTATAAAAATTTGCAAAACATACCTGAATGTAAAAATATTGATGGAAAAGAATTTAAAGATGCACTTTTGAATTTCACTTTTCTGACTTTTCTTTTTTTTTATTAAAGAGCGTGTGTGAAAGTAAATATACGTGCGGGGGAAAAAAATAAAACGTGGCACTGAGCTTTGTATTCGTTGAATGTTAACCAAAGACTAACTTTCATTGAGTCAGAATCCGTCGTATGCCCCTGAAACCTCCTCCAGTCACACATAAGCATCCATCAAAAACATGACTTGACGCACACTCAACGAGAATCTTTAATAAATAAAAAAGAGGAAGTGGTTTTAAACCAAACACTTTTTTTTGTAATTATCAATTTGAAATTTGCGCCAACTAAATAAAATAAAAACATAATATTCAATCTTAATTAAATAGAATAATTGAATAAAATAAAAAAAATTTTCTTTAGATTTAATTTTTAAATTAATTAAATATAATATTATATTAGAAAAAAATATTACCTAAAAAAATTCGAATTTTTAAGAAATTTCAGCTGAAAAAAACTAAAGTAATGACACCATAATTTCTATTTAAACAAGAAAAAGGAAGAATTTTCCATCTAATATTTTAATAAAAAATTTGAAACTAAAATTAGACTATTATAGTTACAGAGATATAAACTTACTTCTTTTTTCTTTTATCTATTTATTTTTATACAGAGAATAATTCGGTACAGTAAAATATGTTATTTGTAACATAAATCCTTCTATTTTTTAAATTGCAAAACTCATTCATATGAAAAAATGAAAGATATTTCTAAATTTTTCTGCAAACATTTTTTTTTTTTTAAATTATATATCGATCGTATGTTAATTTTTAAAATAACAAAAAAGTAGTGAAAATTGAGTTTGTCTTTTATGACAAAGCGATACCACGACCTGTAAACAAAAAAATTATTAAAAAAAAAAAAAACAAACAAGAAGAAATAGAAAGAAATAAAATTAAATATAAATAATATTATATTAGGATAATTACCACGTCCAGCAGTTGGTTTATTTTCCCTCGTACTACGACCTCTTCCTCTTCCAGCAGCAACACCCAAACTTGGAAAATCATCAGCGTTAAATGAAGGTCCATTTCTATCTCCAATAATCGCTGCAATTGTATTTGGTGGACGTAGAGGTCGTTGATATTCCTGAAAATTAAATTTATAACAAAAAACTATCAGAATATCATAAATTTAAAAAAAATCCAAGTTTTCTTTATTTAAATATTTCTTTTTACTTAGGTAATATTTTCTAAAAATTTAATTTCTAAATAATTTGCCTAAATAAACAAACGATAAACTTAGAAAAAATTTGTTGATGAATTACTTTTTTTTAAAAAAAAATCGATATTTACCTCAGGCATTGAATTGGAAGCAGTAGCAGCAGCAGAAAAAGAAGTAGGATTTTTTGTTTTTGAATTGTTTTCAGCATAATTAATAACAGTTATAGTTTTCTTATCATTTCGTCTTTTTTGTTCTTCCCTTTCAGTGCGTTCTGAAACTTTCTTTCTATGCATGTTACTCACCTGCAAAATAAAATAAATTTTGTTTATCTTAAACTTATTTTAATTTTTAAATAATAAATAATAAATAAAAATATAATATTTATTATTTTAAAAAAAGGTTAATTATTTAAAAATCAATATATGTAATTTCTTTTTGTTGAACTTACCCCAGTCATGGATTTAATGCTAATATTATCGATAGCCAATTGATTGAATTGTGATTCCAATGATGCGGCAATTTCCTCAGCGTCAACAATCACTTTTTTGGGATAATGAATGCCTTCCTTCATTTCTATATTCAACTGTTCACAACAACAATCACAAATTGTAAATGCCCATCTTTTCACTGTTGACATACTGCAAAATTGACTTGTCCCATCCAAACTTTTATGATACTAAAAAGAAAAATTTGTTAAAAATAATTTCGAATTATAATTTCTCGAAAAAAGAATACTCACTTTACAATCAAGTCCAGAAAAAAAGGAAAATGTATCTTTTATCAATTCATATTCAGCCATGACAATTTTAAAATCATATTGTTTATTAGCTGCATTACGAAGATGAGAAAATAATATCTCCAAATCATAAATAAAAAGAGTATCCTCAGCAAGACCTGAAACAATTTTTTTTTTTTTTTTTTTTTTTTTAATGTAAATTATTAGAATTAATAAATTATAAATTGTCAATAATTACCTTTGCTCTCTGTTAATTTGTTTAATAGAGATCTTACAGGTCCTTTCATTTTTCTCGATGTATAAAGAGGAGGAAATTTTCCATTTACTTTATATGGTCGAAGAAACTTTAACATTTTATCACACATTACATCAAAACGATCCTCAGCACTTGGTAAATCCCATGGTATTTGATGGGTTTCTTGACTTGTTTCCATTGCTTCTCTCGTGTAACCGCAAATGATTTCAGTTCTTATTAATTCATGATATATATTTGTCACTCCAGATTCCAATGAGAATTCAGCGAGAGCAAATTCCGCAGGAAAATAATCAAATTCACCACTTTCTAATGTTCTCGTATAAAACCAATTTGAATGGATAAAGAAAAATTTCTTAACATTAAGATCTAAACAGAAAAAAATTATTTTTACAATTAAAATAAATAAAAAATAAAATTTTTCAATTTTATTTTAATTTTAAAAGAAGCAAATAATTTTTTACCTTGCATTTCCATTCCATTTGCAACGGTATTCTCAATTTCATTATTCATTTCACTTTCAAAATCCAATTCCTTCTTTTTTGCTCTTTGAACATCGTCCATATATTCGCCAGTTCCGGTTTTTTTCTTCGAATCTTGTTTCGATTGTTTCGCCATTTGTGTAAATTTATCCTTTTCTGCTTTCGATAATTGCTACGGGAGAAAAAATTGATAAATTTTCTACTATACAAAAATAAAATATTTTCTTTAAAAAAAAATTTCATTTAAAATTATTTTAATATAAAATAAGTATTTTTTTTTACAAAATCGTGTAAAATACACGATATTTAAAAGTGTTTAATGGCAGTTTACCGCAGAGGTTGATAAGAAAAATATTTTTGAAAATCTAGAATCACTTGTTCAGTAAAATGAAACCTTGAACACAATGGCAATAAATGTATATATATATATATATATCACTGTTGTTGATTTCTTCGAAATCTTTATCACTCACGGCTAATCTTCTGCTTTCAATTTATTTTGAATAAAATTATTTGACATTTTTAAAGATTCATAAATATATATTACAAATAAAATATCAAAACAGATATTTAAAATAAAGATTAAGTCAATTTTTCTTAAATTTACTAAATTATAAAATATCAAATAAATCACAATAGATTTTTGTGAACAAGAAAAAAAAATATTTCCTACCTGCCACTCTCTACTACATTGGGGATCTTCTTGAACGCCTCTTATTCCACCTTCAAAATGACGTCCCCTCTTTTCTTCCCTTTTTTTATAATGTTTCATAAACATAAGAAAACCATTTGGTTTTGGTGCCATGCTGAAGTATTTCAAGTTTCTTATAAAACTGTAATGTCTATGAAGAGTTCTATAACCTTAAAGTCTTCATATATATAATTGCCTTTTCAGTTACTGAAAAAGTCGTTAAAATTAAAATGAAACAAAATCAATGCAATAAATATAAATTCCAGAAAATACGTGAACATTATTGTGATTCTTGAAATGTAACACAGAGATATCAATTTTATGTAAAATTTCAAATCGAACCAATTTTGAAGTTACTGTCTAATTAATACGTGATGGAATAAAGAATTACCTTCAAAAATACATTAGCCCACTGCTAATTTCGAGATGGACAACACAAATTTGTTTAAGTTGTTGTCAAAAACACTTGTTAATAAAACTACTTTCTTTGTCTTCTTGTTGCACGTTTTAACACCTATATTAAAATGGTGGAATTAGCGGCGAGTTGAATTTTGAATTAAAAGTGAGTGAACATAGTCACAGAAGAAAAATCACTTTTTAACTTTTTGTAATTTTTAAATTATTTTCTAATTAAGTTCAAATTTGTAAACAAATTAAAATTCCATAATTAATTATTGATTTCCATTAATCAATATTGTTAATTAACAAATAAATTGGAAATTAAAAAAGAAAAGAAAATTTAATCAAATTATTTCGAGGAATCGATTTTTGTCACGTGGTGTTGTTGCGCGCTATTTAAAAAGTATTTAATTTTTGTTTTATATATTTGAATAATTAATTAAATTGAATATTGCAAAATGAAATTTAGAGAAATAGTTTTTATTTACAGATAAAATAATTACAAATACATAACAGAATATAATATATTGAGACAGATAAATGTCTTCAAATTAAAAATGTCAATTAAATGTTTAAAATTCAAATCTCAAATTTTTTTAAAATTATATTATTAATAGAAAAACTATTGTTTTGTATTTAAAACTATCTACAAATTGAATTTTTCAAATTCACAATTCGCTAATCTTTAAATGAAAATCTATTCTTTTGAATATAAAATTCTTTTTTTATAATTTTTGTTTTTCTTATAATATTAAAAATAAAATAAATTGAAAATATGAATTAATTCGTTGCATTAAAATTGATAAAAATAATTATTTCTAAAATATAAATTGGCACTCAGAAGATTATTATAATAATTAAAATTGACTCTATAAAAATGTTATGTGACTCGGCACATTTCATTATTTTCAACGTCTAAATCAATGTCTGTTGTTACACAGCCTCTGGTGAGGACATTATTGACAACCGCCCTGGCAAGACATCCAGTTGTTAAAGAATAATGAGCAGAAAAAAAAGCTGACATATCTGTAGACTTTCCCAAATTGTGATCCTAAAAAAAAAGAATAATAAAATTTTTTTTTTACAAACTTTCCTCTATATTTATAGTTACAAAAATTACCTTGCAAAAAATGTCAAAAGCATCATCAACAAGTTTATTTAAATCCAATTGTCTTTTGAATGTTAATTCCGGATTTCTCAATAGAATTGTTGAAACTATATTTAATAACTGTAAAAAAAATAAATACTTTTTTTAAAATATATATTTTTTTTTAGAAAAAATATGTAGAGAATTTTTAGGAATCTAATTTTTTGAATTTTTATTTTAAAAATTTTACCTCAACGACAATTTGTCGAAATTCTGCTAATTGAATGTGATGAAGAATAGATTCGACTAAAAGTGCAAAAGTCAGCTCTGATCTTGTCATATTTGATAAAGTTGGTTGTTGAGGTAATTCACGACCATTGACACAAATTCCACCAGGACAACGTAGTAAAACTTCCCAAACTTGATTGTAAAAATGTACTGGAACTCTACACAAACTGCCTTCTATTTTTCTTCTCTCCAATACCGATAGACTAAAAAAAATAGGTGATCAAAAAAATTTACCTTTCTTTTTTTTTTTAAAAAAAAATATAAATTAAAAACCTACTTTTCTGCCGTGGCCCAATCTTTAACAGTAAGAACTTTAATGAGAAACTGTCGAATTTCATAAGGACTGTAATTTTCAATTGGTTTTGGATTCTTTTTAGTCATTTTAAGATAAAGATTCATTGCTTCCAAAACCCATCTACAAAAAAAATAAGTACCAAATTAATTATAAATTACCTAATTTAAATTTCAATTAATTTTCCATTTTGTTATTTTGACATTTTCAAATTATTTCGTTTAACAAGACTAAAGTATTTAAGTGAAATAAATTAGAAAAATTTATACCCAATACGAATTTTTAAAATTCCTTTAAACATTTCGGGATTAGTTCCTATTAATCGTCCACAATAAAGAAGAATTTCTTGTTGAAGAACAGCTTGTACAACATTGTGTGGTTGTATTGTCGAATAAACAACTGATTGAATTTCCGCTGGTGTCATTGGCTTATCAAAAACTGTTTCTTCATGTCCAATAACACCCACAGTTAACTGTAAAAAAAAAATTTTGTTTTTCTAAAACAAAAAACTTTATTAACTATATATATTTAAAAAAATTTTGAAAATTTATATGAAAATATAAATTAATATATAATAAAAATAAATATTTTTTTTCATGAAAAAAATACCTGTTTTCCTTTTACTAAAACTCCTGTTATAAAAGGACTAATACTATCGACAGTATGATTTAATAAACTACTACAATATCGAACCACCATCCAATATCTTAATCCTCCAGCTTGTTGATATAAACATCTTAAATGATCGCCAACTAAAAATTAATATTATTTAATTTCATACAATTAACATATTATTTATTTAAATTAATAAATTACCTGTTTTTCCATTAAATTCATAATTGATACCTTCTCGTTTCATTAAAATTTCATAAAGTTGACATTTTGTGTAAAGACTTTCGGAATTACGAATTTCATTTAAAACATTGTACAGAGGTTGAGTCATAAAGTGCTAAAAATAAATCAAATTAATTAATATTTTTTACAAAGTTCATAATTTATAAAAGAAAGTTTTAGAAACGTATTTTAATTTACTTTATAATCTTGAACGTCTTCTGCGTAGGACAAAGCTCTTGGAACATCAGTGAGACTTTGATAACCAATGTACTCATGTTCCAATTGTTTAAATGGATTTAAATCAATATCTATATCTAAATTACTCAAAAAATCCAAATGTTCTAAAAATAAATTCGTTATTTAGTGATTAAAACTATTTTTTTTTTTTGAAATTAAATTTTCAAAAATTTAACTATAGTAATTTAAAAATATTCATACCGATACACGAGGATGAAATAAGATTTTGTAATCTTCCAATTCGAACTTTAATTCCATCGCAGTATCCTTTTTTCAACATGGCAAATAAATCTAACATTTCCTTAAATTGTGGATCTCTAAATATATGAAAATAAAAAAATATTCAAATGCAATTTAAAATAAAATTTTAATTTTTTCTTTTTAAAATCCTTTGAAATAAAATTATTAATATTAAAATTACCTCATATGCTCCTCTCTGATAAGCAAACAAACTGTTGGTCGTCCAGAAAGTCGCCAATATTTTCCAACAAATTGTAATTCTGTTTTTATATCATCAATCAATAGTGCCATGTCTCGATATAAATAAAAATCCGAAACCTCAAAAATTAGTGGATAACAAAGAACGGTCATTCCGCAAACTCTGTATATCTATAAATTTACGATTCAATTTTTAATTTAATATTTATTATTAAATAAATAAATTTTAATTTAAAGAATTTAACGAAAGAAAAATTTTTATTTAAGTTTATTATTTTACCTTACTGGTACCAAGGGAACCAATTGGACGAGAAGGTCGTCCCTGAAGATTTAATTTACTATTAATTCCAAGTTGCTCGTAAACTTTGACCAATTGAGATGAGGATAAAATTTGTACAGGTTCAACTTCATGTGGTGTTTGAGTTTGAATTCCATAGGTTGCCATCATTGCCTGAAGTCTCATCGATTCTGCTATCAAAACAATTTGTACGACGAGATCCGTATGTGTTCCCTATTTCATAAAATAACAATTGTAAACTTTTATTTATCAAAATTTCAAATTTGAGTATTTTTTATTAATATTCATCTCACAATATATGTATTATAAAAAAAACTATCTAAAATTTTTCATGCAAAAAAAAGCTAAAATATCTGAACAATATTATACAATTCCAAATTATTATTTTACAGGCAAAGTCAATATGAGAACAAAAACAATTATTAAAAATTCATTCTGATTTAATTAAAAGAAAAAGAAATTCTAAGACAAAATATTAGAAATATATTTGGATTAAAGTATTAGCAAAATTATTAACAAAATAAATAACAGAAAAATAATTAGGGACAGATAAATTTAACAAAATATTTGAGACAAAGTAAAATAAATGTAGTAAAACAATAAAAAAAAGAAAAGAAAATTTATGGAAAAAACACTAAGGGAAAAAAGAAAGATTATTAAGACACAATAAAGAGAAAAAAAAACATTGAGCAAATTATCAAGACACTAACTAATCAACTTTAAATTAAATATTAAGATTCTCATTTTTCAAGCATTACGAAAAAAAGAAGATTAATATAGCAAAAATCTTGCATAAAAAAAAATGTTGAATTCGAACTTACACTGCTCGGCTTAGCCTGCGTGGAAGACAAGAAAAAAAGACATTAAAAAAAAATCAACCATTTTAAATAAAAATTATAAAAAATAAATAATAGGAATATCTGAGAATAAATTCTTTTTAATTTACCTGAAAAGCAGAATATCGTCCAGCACGCCTTGGTCTATTATAAGATGGAAGATAACGACGAATTGGATCCAATTCATTAATATGAAGAAGACTCGCAGTTAATAATTGTGCAATAACAAACATTGCTTGATTCCATAAATAAATATGTGGTCCATCATATTCCATGGAATTTTTTCGTTGTCTTTTAACTTCCTCACTTGGTATTCGCATTGTACTACCAGGATCATTTTTCTCCGCTTCGAGATTATCCTCAGGAACGTAAAAATACATCGGAATAATGGGATCTAAATTTTAAAAATCTTGTCTCAATTTTCGTAAAATAGTATTTAATTATATTATTTAATTACTTAATTTATATCTCTAAATTCAAATAGAAAGAAATATAAATACCTCCGTTAATATCTTTGTGTAAACGGGCTTTTAGTAAATTTTGATATTCCTCAACTTGTTCGGGAAAAGATTTGAAAACACCGTCAATTATCATGAAAATATAAAATAATGGCCACTCACATTCGACATTGTCAAATTCCTATAAAAATGGATAATTAAGAAAAAAAACCTTTCAATTACAATCGATGAATTTTTTTTTTTTCTTACTTTAATTTCTCCAGGTCGATAATATCGTCGACTAGGATCTTCGAGAACTGTTTTAAAACCATCTCTACCAAATCGCTTGAATCCATAAACGCCTTTCAATCTTCTGACAATATTTGCCTTTGTCTCAGTGTAAAGTAATTCTTCATGAGTGGCAAATGCGGGAAATGAAATTGTTGGCAATAAAGCCGTATCGACGCTCTGTTAAATATTGAAATTAAAAATTTGTTTATTTATTAAATTTATTTTAATTAAAAAGAAAATTAACCTTTGAACTTGATTCTCTAGGTAACATTGTTTCGAAAATACTTCGATTACGATTGTGTGCATCGATATCGACATAAATCACAGACCATGATGCACCTTTCTCGCCAAAAAGATTACAACCATTTATTGCCTCTAATGCACTTTTTGCCATTCCAATCGAACTTGCATGAATTTCTGGTGTTCCATCATTATAACGACTTCCTCTTTCCCACATTCCATAATCCGGTGTTCTATACGCTCGTTCAACATAATAAACGAGATTTTGTATGAACGCAACTTCATCTTGTGTGTAAATAATTTGCAATCCCGATGTAATCATTTGAACCAAAAAAATTAAATAAAGCGAAACGACATCGATCTAAAAAAAAAATCAATTTTAAAAAATATACAATATATTTTATAAATAAAACTATTTTTGAATTGAAATGTTTTTTTTTTTTTTTACTTGAAGATGATAATAGTCATCGTCTTTAAAAATTTCACTTCCAGTGTCAAGATGAAATTTACAATGAAGAGCAAAACGATCGCATTGATTGCGTTTAAATAATTCAATTCTACTCGCTTGTTTCATCCAACATTCTAAAATTCCACGCATACATTTTACTGTTGATTGTCCCAATTCGTGTGATTTTCCCCGATCATCGTCAATTCGCCTATAGAAGAAAAATAAATAATTTTTTTTTTTTTTTTTTTGTGGGGCTTTATATAAAAAAGATAATATTTACCTATAGGCTTGATATAAACTCCAAATTGCCGCTGCACAATATATACTTTCTCTCACACTTCCTACAACTTTATCACTTGAAATTTGTGGAAAAAGTCCCGTTATACTGCTCTGATATTGTAAAATTTGCCGTTTTACTAAAAAGTTTATTAAATATAATTTACTACTATTTATATTATTTTCTATAGTTTTAATTTAATTATTATAGATTAAAATTAAAATTTCATTTTATTACTTCCTTTAGGGAAAATAATAAAAATAAAGAAAATATAAATTTTATTACCAATTCCGTAATAAATATCAAGTTGTCTAACAGTATCCTCGTAATTTGATATTTTCAAAAACATATCAATATCCAGATCTATGACACTTCCTTGACGAGTTGCGGATCTTCCCACATAACTATATTTAATAAATTACAATTGTTAGAAAATAATTATATTGTTATAAAAAAAACAAAAGAGAAACTATTGCCGATATAACCTATAAATTTTGAAATTTACAAACCTTGTCACTGGAGGTGATTGTTCCATAACACTAGCCATTTTTTTCTGTTTTTAATTAAACAATACAAATCAATAGCCCCGAAAAATAAAACCAATTTCTAAAATAGAGTATTTATTATAAAAACCATTTCTTTTAATGTGACGAAGTTAATGCGTATAAAACGTGCAAAGATACAATTTTCTTTTCATTTTAAAATGAAAAAAAAGTAAAGTGTCACTTACATTAATTAATTAAACATCAAATATAAATAACAATTTAAAAATAATTATTTGTAAAAATTATTTTTCATTTTGAAATAAGGTTAAGTTTATTTTTGACAGAGGTGACATTTAACAAATGACCTTGAAAGCAAATATATTTCAACCAATAAATTTTTTTTTAATTTTCTATTGGTTAAAATGTGGCGCATTTATTTGAAAATAATTCAAAAACAATAAATTTCAAATGTTTGCGCGTTTATTTTGACCAATCAAATTATTTTTGCTTATAAACGCATGCGCGTGAAGTTTAGCAGACGAATCTTTCCCGTCAAAATAAGTTAAAATGTAAACAAAAAGTAATGAAATAGAAATTAAATATGAATAATACAAGATGACAAATATTGAAATTTTAGATAGTGCAATTATTCCTAATTTAAAAAGTGATTATGAATTAGATTCTCCGATTAATGTTGACGAATTTTCGTACAATGCATTTTTTTCTAAATATCTTATTTCTAATAAGCCTTGTATTATACAATCAAACGTGACAAAAAATTGGTTATGTCGAAACAATTGGATTTTAAATGAAACACCGAATTTTCCATTGTTACATGAATTGTTTGGTAAATTTTCTATTTCTATTTTCTGGTAATTCTATTTTTTATTAGAAATTATATAGATTTTTAATAGTTCTAATAAAAAAAACAAAAAATGTTTTTGTTATTGAACGCAGGCAATTGTGTTGTTCCTGTTGCTGATTGCAATAAAAGATATTATAATTCACAAGAGAAAAATGAAATGATTGTGAAAAATTTTCTCAATTATTGGCAAGAATTACGAATTAATAATTATCCCAAAAATGCATCTCTTCTTTATTTAAAAGATTGGCATTGCAAAAAAGATCATCCTGAAATGAAATTTTACGATGTACCGAAATATTTTGCATCCGATTGGCTTAATGAATATTTTACGGGACAAAAAGAATTAAATGATGATTATATGTTTGTTTATATAGGTCCAAAAGGAACATGGTAATAAATTTAATATTCACGAGAAATTAAAAAAAAAATAAAAGAATTTAAATTGAATTTTTTTATTTATAGGACTCCATTTCATGCCGATGTTTTTTCCTCCTACAGTTGGTCAGCGAATGTTTATGGAAAAAAACGTTGGCTCATTTTTCCACCTGGTGAAGAAAATCATTTTCGTGATTCATTTGGAAAATTAATTTACGATGTATCGAAGGATGAGAAATTAAAAAGAAAGGATAATTCTGTGAAATTCTATGATATTATTCAAGAAACCGGGGAAATTATATTTGTACCCTCGGGATATTATCATCAAGTTTGGAATTTGGTATCTATTTATCTATACAATTTAGAATTATGTGAAAAATTTAGTTTTACAAACTTCAATTTTTACAGGAAGATACAATTTCGATAAATCACAATTGGGTGAATGGTTGCAATATTTTGAGAATGTGGATGGCATTAAAAAAGGAATTATTAACAGTTATGAAAGAAATAGAGGATTGCAAGGAAATGGAAAATTGGACTTCACATTGTCAACTTATGTTAAAAGCTTCCTATGGAATGAATTATTCACAATTTTTTCATTTTCTTTCCTTTATTGCCGAAAGACGAATAAATGCACTAACTCACAAAATTACCAATGTATCATTTGATATTTGGATTTTGGGAGAAAATCACTGTCTCTTTGATTTACGACAAATAAAAATTGTCCTCGAACATTTGACCAAAGATGCAAATGACAAAGGAATATACAATCTTTTATGGAAAAATAATGAAGTGGAAAATTTATTAAAAAACATTGTAAGTAAAATAAAATAATTTTTTTTAAAACTAATTTTATATTTTTCTTTTTTAAATATAAATAATTTGTAAATTCTTTTATTTAATATTTTTAAAAAATTTAATTTTTCAATTAAACCTTTCTTTATAAAAAAAAAATTTGTGTATGTTTTAAACAAAAATCGAGGATAATGAACGATTAATAATTAAATTTCTATAAATAAGTTTCTTTTTTATTTTTGTCTCTATTCATAACATTTTTTATGATAATTTACATTGTATTAAAATTTTTCGATCACTGACAATATTTCCAAATTAATAATAATATTTTACAATCTTTAATCTACGTTACAGTTAGATATTTGCCTGTTATATAAAAAAAAATTAATTCTACTTAAAACAATCAGATATATAATGCACCTTTGCTGTTGTGCCGTATATCTTAATAAAAAAAAAAAAAAAAAAAAAAAAAAAAAAAATTGTATGTTTCGTTAAGCAAATATTGGGTGAAAACAATATTTTATTTAATTAATGAAACACTCTAAAAATTAAAAAAAACCTTATAAATAATTTTTTTTCTATTAAAAAGTTTAAAGACTTTTTTTGTAACAACTTTTAAAATTTTATTTTTTTATAATTGCCAAAATATATCATTCAGTATCGAAATTTTTCGAATTTTTTTTTTTTTTATAAAGAATTATTAAAAAAACAAAAGTCAAAATTATTTCAGAATAACGGAAAAAGAAATAAAAAGAATTACAAAAATTCTTAATATAGCTCTCTCTCTCTCTCAAATTACTAACTAAATCTTTGATGACTAATTAAAAAAAATTTTAGTACGACTCATGATTATTTTTCTACGTTCGAATTTCATTAAAAAGAAAAAAAATATGCAAAATATACAAAATTTTAATTGGAGATGTGAAAAAAAAGAAATTATAGAGATTTGAAAAAAAAAATTATAAACATAAAAATCGAAATATGAAAAAATATTTAATTTCCAGCCAAAGAAAATAAAATTTTTTTGCACTTCTAAAGTATAAAGTCAAAAATAAATGCTACTTTTTTCGTTATCGGTAAATCACTTTTCATGTAGTTTCTAGAAATATATTTATATATATATATATATGTATATCTATATATAGTTTATGTACACACGTATATGCTACACAGTCAAAAAAAAAAAATCAAACGCATTTAGTTGCCAAAGAATATGAAAAAAAAAATAATTCAAAAAAATGTGTGAAAAAAAAAGTTTCAAAAGAATTTATCGGAAACGGTAATTTTACCCAGGTGAGCACAGGCACTTTTTTTTTTTTTTTTTTGTTAAATTTTACTGCGTTTGAATTAGAATTATTTTTGTAATTAATTTTTAAAGTTTTCTTAAACAATTTGAAAATTAAATTTCAAATTGAAATGAAAAATAACTGAATGTCGCATAAGCAATTGCACTCTTGTCACAAAAAAAATTTTTTTTTAACACGTGTTACACACATTTATAATTATATACTCTTGAGAAGACAAACTTGTGGAAGAGTTCGAGCTTAGCTATCGAACAATTAGAAAGAACAAAAACAAAGCTAGTATTTTCAAAAAAAAAGATCACCCAAAATTTCCTTCAGTTGCTTTTTTTTGCAAAATTCAAGATAATTCCATCGAAACGATTGTTTTTTTTTTTTTGACAAACGTAACGTGATTAAAAACTTTCAATTTGGACTTGAAATGGTCCCGAATTTCGAGAATTTCAAAATAGACATTTCTTTTAAATATTTAGGTACTTTAATTATTATTATTTTTATTTTTATTACTTGCTTAATTTTATTCTATCAATTACTATAAGTTTTATTTAATTACTATTTTATTAATTAGTATTTTTATTTTACTATTAATATTAGCTATTAATTATTTCTAATTACTTTCGATGGAATTTTCTTGATTTTATATAAAAAATCTCTGACGCTATTTACTCTCTCTCTGTTTTTTTTCGCATAAAACATCTAATGTTTCATTCGAAGTTTTACATATTTTTTTTACGTATTGTCTTATTAACTATCAAATAAGCATAAATATTTTTAGGCATATATTCTTATATATATATATAATATATTTATATATTTATGTATATATTTATATGTACCGCAATTTTTATTTACAATGAATTACTATTAAAAATTTGTAATTGTACAAAATCTATATACCGTGGAACTAGATTTTATAATAATTTTTAGCACTCAGCAAAAGTGCAAATATTTTATTTTATTTTTTTTTTTTGTTTATTTAATGAGGCGAAATCTACTTTTGTAGAATATGAAATTTGCTGTGAATTAATCAAATATATTTACATAAAATATTTATATTCTGAAACTTAATGTTAATATTTTTGTGCTGAATCTAATGAAATCATTTCAATTATGAATTTTGTGTGATATGCACTGTTCACACTATTTTTTTAACACTCAGAAGACAATAATAATAAATCTCTAATTACAATATAATGTCTTCAGTGTCGATGTCAAATTTGAAGTGAACTTTTCTAGATTCTTTTTTTTTTCTTTTTTAATCTCTAACTGCATAATATTAACAAGCGTTGAAAAATCGTATTTATAAAATTGACATACAACTTTACATCGTATTTATAAATTTTTTTTTTTTACATCATTTTCATAAACGAGAATTTTTTTAAATAAATTTTTTTAAAAATAAAAATTAACTTTTATAAATAAATATAATTGATTTTATGTATATTTAAAAATCGAGATCGATTAATTAAATTAAATTTTTTTTTATATTGCTAATCACTTTTTTTTAAACTCTCCATTGCATAATTCTTTTTTACCAATTTTTTAGGGGTTTAAATATAATTTTCAATGATAATGTCAAGTTATGAATTATTTTCCATAAATTAATTTACAATAACTGGCATTATTTTCGCTGATATTAATAAACAAAAAAAGAATTTGAAATTTCTTTTATTTTTGCAGATAATTGTCTCTGTGATGAAAAGTCCACAGTCAATTATTGACGATTTAAATTGTTGATTAATACTTTAGCAGAATATAGAAAAATCTTTCGAGAAAAGTTAATAAAAATAATTCACAATTCGTTAAATTACAAAATAGAATAGACACAAAATTCATGTTTATTTGTAATTTTAGAAAAAAAATTTTTTTAAAGCAATCAATTAATGTTCAAAGGGAAATTTTAAATTTATAGTTCCTGTGAAATTAATTATCATAAAAAATTGTATTTTCTATGAAAGTAAATTAATTTACAGTGCAATTCTATGAGGCGGTTTTGTTTTTCTTTTGCAAAATAAAATTGCAAACTATCCTTCTTAATTCTAAATAATTTATATGATTATCCCATAAAAATCATAAATTTGAATTTTTATTTTAAACTAAAGAAAATGACTGTAAAATAAAAAAACTCTGTCAAACAAACATTCGGTAGCTAAAAGTTTTGTTATATGTAAAAATTCGTATAAAAAGAAAATCTGTTAAATTTTAATTCGAAAACTCATCTAAAAAATAATTATTTCTAATAAAATTTCTAATTAATGATTTTTATTGGAAATTCATGCGACCTATTTATATTTGAAAAAGAAACTGTTTTTATATTAAAGATTACAAAACCTCTGCTAAAGTATTTTTTCAGGATTAAAATATACTTTTTTTTCTCATTAAGGTCCACGACTACGATTGGTGTCAAATGATGAAAAATATTCTCAAAAAAAGGAGAAAAAAAACTACAGTTAGAAAAAAAGTTTAATTACAGTTTCAGTTAAATTCGTTAAATTGTACAATCAGTAATTTTTCGAATATAATTTTTGAGTTCCAAAAGAATCAGGATGAAAAGAAAATTTTTATGTTAATTTTAAATTTGTTTGAGAAAATCCTTTATCATTGACACCAAATATAACGAAAATCACACACAGCCTTAATAAATGGAAATAAAATTCTCAAACCTGATTTTTCCATCGCACAAGAAAAAAATGTTTTTTTGTTCTCAAATTGGATGAGTTGAGAGCGTCGTTGTTGTTAATGGTGTCAATGTTTGTGTAAGTGGTTGTGATTGTGACAAGGATTGATTTATGGGTTGATTTATATTTTGATGTAGTGGTTGAGTTTGATGTAACGATTGAGTGATTGGATGTAATGGTTGTGTTGTCATTGTTTGATGTAATGGTTGCGTTGTCATTGTTTGATGTAATTGTTGCGTTGGCATTATTTGATGTAAAGGTTGTGTCATCGTTTGATTTAATGGTTGAGTGACATTTTGATTGAGTGGCTGTGTAATTGTTTGATTGAGTGATGGAATCAATGGTTGTGATAATGATTGTGTGAGTGGTTGATTTAATGGTGGAATTGTAGGTGTTGTAGGTGTCATTGGTGTCGTTGGTACTGTAATTGGCGTCGAAGGCATTGGTTGATGTGTTTGCCTTGGTGGTGACAGTAATTCCTGACGATCACGTTCACGTTCACGTCCAGGTCGCCATGCTTCGAGTAAGGCCTCAACGCGTTCCTCAGTTGGTCCCCATCTTGCAACGCCCGCTGTATTTTGTAGCCAAACCACTAAAGTTCCGTGTGTTGCGCGAATATTCACCTCTCCCCTTAAAATAAATGATTATTTAAAAAATTATAATTTTAATTTTGTTTTTGATTTTAAAGGTAGAAAATTTACTTTGGCAAAATGTGTTGAAATCCATGTCGATACTCGTGTTCCATGGCGGGGACAACAACTTGTTTACGTTTAAAATGACTGCTCTCGAGTTTGAGAAGTGCATTTGGCGCTGGATCACGCCATTCAGGTAAAAACACAACAAACGAAAGTGGTTCCGCCGAGTCGGATAAAAGCCTCTCAAAATGATTCACCATTGCTTCCATGAGTTCCTCGCAATATGGTGGATTCGCTTGAAAAGATCCGCTAACGGGTCTAAAATCGAGGAATGGACCACGAGAACCAAAATATGAATCAGTGTCAGCGAACGCGGAACAATATTGTCTAAAATAACAATTGAGTGGCGAGGCGAAACATTCAAATGTCACGCCAAATGAACGTTGTAGACATTCAAAAACAGTGACCGGCAATGCCATTTGTGTTGCGTGTCCTTCATTGATACCAAGATATGTTTGATAGCGTTTTAACATTGACCAAACGCGTGGTAGAAACATTTCAAATTTTTTATCATCGAAACAATTGTACCTGTATAAGTGTTCCAATTTTGTAAGATGCATATTATTGATACAAACAGTATCGCCATGGAAGCGTAACATTGTCTGTTCACGTTCAGGAAGATAATCAATTTGTGATAAACGTGGTGCGGGAAGAGAAAATTGCACTGGATAACACCAAACTTTTCGTTGTGTTGTCGCTGGACCACCTAGAGGAATCACATCACCAAGGCCACTGTCTTTCAAAATTTGAGTATTTTTATCTTTCACTTTTTTCGCATACTCCGTTGATAAATGATAAATCTTGAGACAAATTCCCTCGACACTTGCTTTCACAGTTTCTGTCAAGTGCGGCTGACACTGTCGCTTCAAATGCGCCAGTCTATCCTAAAAGACGAAAAATTCAATTAAAAAATAAATTAAAAAATTAATTTTAAATTTTAATTACTTGAAAATCATCAAATGTTGCGCCAACTGTCCTCCTGAGCCATTGAAAAGTATCCTCGGCATTCCATTTCACTACTTTACGACTCTCAGAAGATGCGGCTCTTGATTCAATCATTTTTTTAGCCGCCTCAGCATAACGGGACAATTGTTTTCTGGCGTCACCGGTGAATTTGGGACGTACCAATTTTATTGGTATATCGTTCATTATTTCACGATACATTGACATTGATATTTCGGGAAAACATTGACTTGGTAAAAGTGGATCCGAACCGCAATCAATGACTTTTCTTTCCATTAGCCAACGATTAAATGAATCTTTTGGTGCATCTATTGATTCACGATGAAAACAAAGTTCCTGATAACATTGTCGTAATTTTGCAAGAAGACTACAACGTAATGCTTCTGCATCAGGATGTACGTGTGCTAAATTTGACGGTCCTCTTTCGTAAATAATTACATTTGTTGGTATTTCCAAATCCCACGGACCACTGGAATTATTATTTATTTGTTAGGTAAAGAAAAATAATTTCAAATTTTATATTCTTTTCACTTACGCCAAAACAAATTTTTTAACAGCTTGTATCGTATTCCCATCTTCTGAGGCACGACGTTTAAGTGGACCACCTGGTGTACCGGGTGTAATTTGTCCATTTCCCGGTACAGATGGCACCGATGGAACTCCACAAATTCCCAATGGATCCGTAATTGGATCAAACTAAAGAAAAAAAATTAAATCAAAAAAAAAAAAAAATATATTTTTCTATAAATAATTAAAAATATGAAAATCACCTGTGGCTTTAGCGATGGTAACACCCATAAAGATTCACCAGTCAACTTATTCCAAAAATAAGGCCGATTTTCTCGCTTGCTCCAAAATTTTTTCCATCCTTGTTGTTGAAGTTCAATAGAAAGTTCAGGTTCAACAAAAGCATTTGGCATTGGTGACTAATTCAAAAATAAGTTTATATTATTTCTATTTATAGAAAGAAATGAAAAAAAAATAAAAATGTAATTAAAATTCATTTACCTGTGCAACAAGAGGTGGTTGCTGTTGCATTTGAGTGAGAACAGAACAATGTTCAACATTTTGTGGTGGTGAAAGAATAGGAGCTTGTAATTTAACTGGTGTAGGAACTATAACTTGTTGAACAGGTGAATTTGAATCTTGCTGCGTAGGTTGATGACGATGATGATGATGAAGAGGATGATGATGATGCATCGCCGGTAATGACGACACGGATTGTGAAGCTAATGCTTCCCAAGCAGAGGTACTTGCAATTTCCTGTTTTCCGCCACTCACTTCATTCATTGTAAGCACTTGATTTTGCACAATGATGAGACCCAACTGGAAATGAAAAAAAAAACAATATAAAAACTAAAAAAAAAATAATAGTTCAAGTAAAAAAATACAATAGTATAAACTAAATACAATGAATGTAAAAAAAAATTAACTAATAAACCAAAAATTAAAAAAAAATTACTATAATATCAAAAACTAAAAAAATTTTAATAAATTAACTAAATATAATTAACATTAAATACTAAAAACAGCGAAATAGTAATAAAAATTTAACACTAAAAACATTGTTTATATTAATTTTGTTTTCTCACAATTGACATCTGTTTTTTTTATTTAATCAAATCAAAAACAATTAACGTGATCGATATTTTAATTCTATTTTATTAAAGCAAAAAAAGTTTCAAAGCAATTTGGCAACAATTACCAAAAAAAAATAAAAAAAAAACAATGCTCGAGTGTTTATAAACTTCCACAATTCTATTTTCAACCGGTGTTGCAGTTTACTTTTGTTTTCTTTTTTTGGACGGAATTTTTTAAAAAATAACACCAAACGAATTGAAACATCATCTTTGTACTTGTTGCCGATATATAAATCAGCAAAATGAAAAATTAAGAGGGAATTCGAAAGTAAATTGTGTAAACATTTGAAAAAAAACATGTTTTAAATAAAAAGCGGTTAACCTTAAAAATTAGAAAAAAAACAATTATCATTTATAATTATTTAAATAAAATGAAAAATTACCATGTCTCAATTATTGCTTTTAAGCATAAAAATATGCATTTTTCACAATTTGCAAAATCTGTGTTTGTTTACATACCAGGTTGTGAGTGCATAAGAATAGTACAATTACATGCGTTGACGATCAAATTGTGATATGTAATATCATTTGTAATAAAATTAAGACTTACCACAATGGGATTATCTTTGAATTTAAAATGAAAACATAATCAAAATTAGAATTCAGTCATGATTTGTGAAATTTGACGCAACGAACTCCACCTGTAAGACGCCATTTCCTTCCTAACTGAAAATCAGAAGAAAAAATTTTGGGAAGGAGAAGAATATACGCATGTGCAATAATTGTCAGTTACACGCATGCGCGATAATTTTTGAATCCTGGACAAATTATTTATTTAAAAAAAAAACACTGCGAGTAAAAACTATTTTCTTAAGGAAAAGTTTTATTCAAGTAAATTTATACAATATTATATTAAATAAAAGATTAATGATAAATATTTTTTTTTGTATTTATTATGTTTACATTAGAAATAATTTTTATTTTGAATTTACATATCACGTGATGCAGAGATGTGATTGGTGCACGTATGTGCGACCATTAAAAGTTTTGACCAATCAAGTAATGTCCTTTTTTAAGCCTGAATTTCAAATAGTGATTCATAGAAACTGTCTTAAATAAATTTTTACAGAACATTCGAAATGTGACATATTTGTGTAAACAATTTTTGAAATTTTTTAAACAATAATAAAATAACAATTGGAAAGCAATTAAAAGATCATTGTATAGTGATTTTATTTTAATTAAATTTTATTTCAAAATAATAAAAGGTATGTTATAGTTTGTCAAATAAGTGAAATCCCATTATACCCGGTGTATTTTTTGGTTATATTATTCATTGTTTTAGTATATACATAATAAATAAATAATATAAAAAGTTTACAATATTTTTAGTAAAAAACTATAAACTAATTTCTATTGTAATTGTTGAATATTTTATTAAAAGTAGTTAAAATTAGTATAAACGATATTCAATTTTAAAAAATGAGAAAAATCATGACTTCTAATATCTATTTTATGATAGTTACATTTTAAAATTTTTATTATTTTACAGTTTTAGAATACAATAACAGTGCCACGTATTAGTAAAATGAAGATAAATTGAATTATTTAGAAAATTATATGGTATTTATTATAGTTTGGCTTTTTAAAATTAACCTAGCAACATGAAAACTGTTGTCTTTTTGATTATTTGTCTTGTTGGCAAAAATTATGCTGAGATTGTTGATAATGATATTGATCCTGAGAATAGTATTATTTGGGGACCAGGTTTGAAACCTGAAGAAATTGTGATGAAAGTGAGATATATTTTTTTACAACTGCAGGACAGTAATGGTAAAAAGTAAGTTTTTTTTATAAATAATTAATATAAATTTAAATTAAATTTATCTTATTTATAATTATATGAAATTATTTTTATTGATGTGTTTTGAATAATTGAAAAATTTTACTTTTTTTCATCTAGTCTTACAAAATCTCCGGGCCAGGGAATAGTTTCACAACAAATAAAAGGGAAAAATGTAAAAGGTGATTTTTGTCAAATTCGTACACAAATAATTGATTGTACAGATGGCAGTTTTATTATACGTTACAGGATTTTAAAAACTTGTTTCAATTTAAAGATATCTATTAAAGTAAAAAATACTGAAGTTGTAAAAGTACAATCAGAATTTAAAGGTGAATTTCTATTATTTTAATTTAATCAATTTCAATGTTATTTTAAAAATTTTATTAATATTAATTTATTATTTAATTTTAGGTCCCGTATTTGAAGATGAATGTAATTGTCCAGAATCGTCATTAACTAAATGGCTAGAGAATAATGAATGCAATGAAAATAATTACAATCAATTATTTGAAAATCTTAAAAAATTTCCGTCTGTTAATTTTGATGATATAAGAAATGATATTATTAAACAGTACAATAAACCACAAAGCGTCAGTATTTGTCATTATGTTGTGAAATCGAATAAGGTAATTCTTTATTGAAATACTGCTATATATAAAAAAAATTTGAATTTAAATTTAAATTTGAAAATAAAGATTTATAGAAACTGTTACGGACAACATGTGGGTTTTAAAATGTTTATGGATTCGGTTTTAAAATCATTCACACGAAGAGTTTTACTACCCGATATTGAATTTTTTATGAATTTGGGTGATTGGCCATTGGTGAAGAAAAATGGGAAAATTTATCCTGTATTTTCTTGGTGTGGCTCCGATGAAACGGCAGATATTATTCTTCCCACTTACGATATCACAGAATCTTCATTGGAAGCTATGGACAGGTTTTATATTAATCTAATTATAATAAAATAATCATTATTATCTAAAGATATTAATTGTAATTAAATGACAGGGTAACAATGGATATGTTATCAGTGCAAGGAAGTACGAAACTTTCATGGGAGGAAAAAATAAATAAAGCTTTTTGGAGAGGTCGTGATTCACGTAGAGAGAGACTTGATTTGATTGATATTGCAAGAAAAAATTCAGATTTTATTAATGCGTCGATAACAAATTTCTTTTTCTTCCGCGATGAAATGGATAAATATGGTCCCGGTCAAAAACCAATTTCGATGTTTCATTTCTTCGAGGTGAATAATTTAAATTTTCTTTTAAATATTAACTTTATTGGAATTTTTTATTATTAAATTTTTTTTTTTTTTAATTCACAGTATAAATATCAAATCAGTATTGATGGAACAGTAGCAGCTTATCGTCTTCCATATTTACTGGCTGGTGGTTCTCTTGTATTTAAACAAAAATCAAATTATTTTGAATATTTTTACGATAAATTAACGTCCGGAAAGGAATTTATTTCAGTAAAAGAAAATTTATCCGATCTAGTGGAAAAAATTCAATGGGCTCGCAACAATGATAAAGAGGCAGAAAAAATTTCCAAAAATGCTCGACAATTTGTACGTGATAATTTAATGCCCAAGGATATAATTTGTTATCACATGTCTCTTTTTAAGGTTTGTATTATTTATTATTGATTCTTTTATAAATAATAATTCATTTTTAAATTGTCTTTCGATATTAATTGTATTTTCATAACTCAGAATAATAAAAAAAAAAAAATTTCTATTTTATTAACAGGAGTGGAGTAAGCGTTTGAAAAATGAAATAAAAATTTTGCCGAATATGGAGGAAGTTCCACAGACTCCGTATTCTTGTGATTGTAGTACTCAAAAATCATTTCATAAAGACGAACTTTGATCTTTTATATAATTATTTAAATAACTTTTAAAAAAGTGAATCAATTTATCGCACCGCAATGAAGTACAAAAAAATTGCATTTCCAATTTTTAAGTATACACAACCAACCGAAGAAGCTGATCGTAAGTTTATTGAAAATATTAATTTTTTAAACTAGAATAAAATAATTTGATTTTTTTTGAGAGGGGGGAATGTCTGAAAGCAAACAAATACGTTATGAGTTATTTTATCTTATAACCTTTATTATTAAATACGTAATCTCGCATTACATTCGACAATTAATAATTATGAATTTTCGTGACGAAAATAGTATAGTTTTGTTTTATAAACATAAATAATACACATATGTTTAAAAAATTCTAAGTATCCCATCCATGCGTCTATTTTAGTACAAACAAAAAAATCAATTCATTCGTTGATTAAATTTTTCTCAAGAAAGAATTTAAAAAATAATCAAGTTTTCTAAATTACAATGCGTCTTATATGTATTATTCCGGGTCGCGCTTTATATGTATATGGTAAATACATAAAACTGATATATATAATATATAAATGAGATTACTTACAATTTAGTTATTTTTATTACTCTTAAAATTTGTTACACTTTCATAATATATATATATCTTAAAGGTAAATTAATTATTATAAAACTAAACATAATAATCAAATTCATATTTCAATTCGTCAATAATAATAAAAAGAGAAAAAAAATAGAATAATGTCCAAAAAGAAACTTATATATAAAAAAAAATCTTAATTATTAATTATGAGTTGAATTTTTTAAAACTATTTTATAATAAACAGTAGAAAAAAAACTTACAGAATAATCATTAAAGTTAAATAAAAATAAAAAAAAATATGTAAAATAAACATCAACTCATACGAATCCTAAAGTAGATATTAAATTTCATTAATATATTTGGACAAATAGAAACTAATGAGCAGGCCTGTTTAAAAAAAAACATTGTTAAATTTTTGCTTATTAAATTTTTCATTAATATAATATATATATATATAAATGCAAAGTCCTAAAAAATGTATCAAAAAAATTAAAGAGTTAGGTAATTTACAAAAGAAAAAAAAAATCATTCTCTCAAAATCTATAAAAAAAATTGAAATAATTTTAACACAAAAAGCCTTTTTCTTTTTAGCAAGAAAAAGAGAAAAATGGAATGAAAAAAATTTTTCTCCCACTTAAATAAATACCTATAACAAAAAAGTATTCTAAACGTTTGTAAGAAAAATTTTCTAAAAAATAAGAAACCTTTTCGGATCGATTTGACAAAAAGAAAATATTAATTCAGTTCAAAGAATGATAATTAGAATGTTTGAATCATAGAATATTTTTATGATAAAATTTCATTCCATTTTTCATGAATTGTCTGATTTCTTCTTTTTTTTTCTCTCTCTCTGTCTCTTAGGTGTATGTATCTATGATTTAAAACGTTTTTACAGATCCGTAAATGAATTTGAGGTAGATCTGAAACGGAAGTCAGTATAATGCAAAAAAAGTCATATTTTTGAATCATTTAAAAATTAATATACATTAAATCGCGAAAAAAAGAACTCCTCTATTGTATATAGAATATTACCGCCATATTTTTCTAAAAAAAAAACCTGTTTTATACAAATCAAAACATCACAAGAACTTGTGAAACTCGCAATTGCAACTCTTGAAAAAACAAAAATTAAAAATAATATCTTTGAAAAATTGTTAATGAAAAATTTAATTGATCATTTCGTTGATTAGAGCGCATGATTATTCCCTAAAAATAATTAGTTAGAATTTTCATTTTAAAGAATTTTATTAGTTATTAGTTCTTTGAAATGAAAATTTAATGATTTTTATGGAATAATCATAAAGTTATAAAAAAATAGAACTGATTGTTTTCTTAATAAAAATTCATATTAATTTAGTCAAAGAAAAAAAAAATAATAATATTCACGTGAAATTTAAGAAAATAAAATTATTTTGTTTGCAATATGGAAAGAATAACAAGAACTTTTATAATACCTAATAATAATAAAAAATGGACAGCCATTGAATTCCTAAATTTCCATGTTTACTGAGGAGGTGGTTGATAACCGTATCCGTATTGATTGGGCGGAGGTGGACCCTGTGGACCAGGTGGTGGCATATGACTACCAGGTGGTCTTGGTGGATACTGTGGATAACCCTGTCCACCAGGTGGTGGTGGATAACTTTGCGGCGGATATTGCGGATGTCCATAGTGTTGTCCACCTTGGCCAGGATGAGGTGAATAGACTTGCGGTTGTCCAGGACTTGGCGGTACATAAGTTTGTGTCGTTGCCGGATGTGATTGCGGTGGTCCATAGGGTTGTGGTTGAGGTGGTGGCGCTTGTCCCTGAGGTGGTCCTGACGGTGGTTGAAAACCACTTGGAGCAGGACTTGGCGATTGCTGTTGTTGTTGTTGCTGCTGCTGTTGTTGTTGGGATTGTTGAGACTGCGGAGGTGTTTGCGAGGGTTGTTGTTGTTGTCCCTGTTGTGGAGGTTGATGGGGCTGATGTGGAGGATGAGGTTGACCAGGATGGGGTGATTGATGGGGAGGATGTGGTGGACCTTGATGCGAGGATTGATGAGGTGGACCTTGATGAGGAGGTTGATGTGGTGGACCTTGATGAGGTGGACCTTGATGAGGTGGACCCTGATGAGGTGGACCCTGATGAGGTGGATGGGGTGATTGATGGGGAGGATAGCCTGAGGGAGCGGGTCCGGGTGGAGGATAATTGCCAGCTTGTGATGATGGTGGTGGACCACTGCTTGGAGGATAGGTTTGAGTTGATGCTGATGGTGTACTTGTGGGTTGACCGCTTTGGGCGTAGGTGTTTACGCCACTGACGGGAGTTGTGCTGAATGGAGGCGATGTTGAAGTGGGACCGCCGTATTGTCCTGGACCGGGACCGGGACTTGGTTGACTGACGTAATTTGGTTGAGGACCACCGCTTTGTTGAGGACCGGGTTGTGGTGGTTGTTGTGTTGCGTTAGAAGTCGGCGGCGGAGGATAAGATTGAGGTGGCACACTGTTGGGATAGCCTTGCGATGGAGGTGGTGGATAATTTCCGGATTGACCTGAAGCATAGGCGTTTTGTTGTGGGGGTTGAGAGGGTGGTTGTTGATAATTGGGTTGTGGACTTGGACTTCCGTATTGTGCACCTGGTTGTTGTTGTTGCTGTTGTTGTTGTTGCTGCTGCTGCTGTTGTTGTTGATTTGCGGATGAGAAACTTTGTTGTGAGGCGTTTGGTGGTGGATAGCCTTGTTGATTCGGTGGTGGTGGTGGTGGTCCATAACCAGCTGGAGGTTGATTCGAAGGTGGTGGATAACCGGGTTGAGGTCCATAACTATTGACAGTTGTCGGCGGTCCATAATTTGGTTGATTGGAAGCAGGATATTGTTGTTGACTTGCATTTGGAGGTCCGTATTGATTTGGTTGTCCTGGAGTATAGGAAGATCCTTGTGGACCTTGATAATTGCCGCTTGGTGTTTGATTAGCGTAAGGAGTGTGATAACCTTGTTGAGCTGGTTGCTGAGGATAACCTTGTGGTCCGCCTCTGTATTGTTGCGGTCCGGGTCCAGCGGATGGGCCTAAGAAAATTTTGTTCATTAATTAATTCATTAATTAAAATCTTATTTATTTAACTGAAATCGAAACTTACGATTAATAGCAGGAACTTGACCTGGCATAACAGGTCCTCCTCGATATCCACCTTGACCCATACTTTGTCCTTGATTAAAGCCCGACATTGGCATCGGTTGTTGAGTATTGGGAGGTATTTCACCTCCAGGTCCAGGAGTCGCTGCAGGTCCACTCGGTGGACCCTGAGGTCCAATTATTGGATGCTGCGGTCCATTAGTTATTCCCTGCGGCGGCTAAAAATAGAATAATTTTTATTAATTGCAATAATTATTATCATTAATGAAAGGAAAATAAAACTCACCGGTAATAATGCTTGTATATTCTGACCAGCATCGGCAATAGATGCCAAGTAAACTAAATTTCTATGCAAAATTTGCTGATATCTGAAAAAAAAAAACAAGAATTATATATTATAAATATATATAAACCATGTGTAATAAAAATACTTACTGCATACACTCCTGAACTTTCCCTTTATTTTGATATTCTTGAATAGTTTGTATGAGATGACTATTCTCATCAAGCATCTATAAAAACATTTCTAGGTTAATTTCAACAAAAACAATTTTCCACCAAGAAATAAAATAAATTACTATAACGGCTATAATATTCGAAAACAAATAATGTAAAAAAATAGCTTATATACGATAAAGAAAAAGGACGCCAAACATTTATAAACCTAACAAAAATGCGAAATAAGTTACAATATCTTTGTCCGAGATAAATAAAATCAGGTTTCTAAAGGACTCAGCAAGAATTGCTTTTTTTCAACAAAAAAAAAAAAAAAATAATAAATACATCTCACCTTTTGAATTTGTGTCGAAGTTGGAGTTGGTCTACCCCGTTGAGCAAAAGTAACAGACATTTTTATAAAGCCAGTTATATTTCTTTATTGTGTCAAATACCGGCCAAATTTTGAAAAAATAATTGTCTTAAAACCTTGAGACATCAAACATAAAAAAAAGACTGAGTTGCACAATTCATAAATGACCTTTTGCCTCTTGTTTATTTCTTTGTGTAGCTTCGTTTCAACACAATTTTCACCTTCTCAATTTCAATGACTTTTTTTTGCAACAAAAGCAACAATATTTATCAGTCTTGTTTTTTGCAAAAATACAAATGTCAATTTACAACGACAACGGATAAACTAGGACACAAACAACAATGAAAGTTCAGCGTAGTTCAACTATTTTCAAAATGGTGACTCTCGATCGTAACGATCCTAGTGGAGATAATACAAACTATCAGTTTCTATTTGTCCGATTGAGACAATAGGCGGTAATTTCAAATAATACAATTCAAATGTTTTTTTAATTCACTATATTCAATTTTTTTTTTTTTGGTTTTATAATGCGCAAAGAAAAGAAATCAAACTGGTGGAAATCAATTATGTGTTGTTCAAAAAAAATGTTGAATAATCAAAATACTGAAGATAAATCGGAACCGTATGATTATGTTCTGGAAAAATTAGTTTTGCAACGTGTGCCTCTTGGCGTATTGAAAACAAATTTGAGCAATTCGTCTTCATCCTTTACTGAATTATCAAAAATAAATTCCGACAGTTTGTACCAAGAGAATAATAATATTGAAAATTTTCCTGAAAATATATTTACTCCTCGTAATTTTTCCAAGTATATAACAAAATATATTTTTAATCCATTATCATCAGACACGAGGATTTGTATGGAAAATGAAAAATTAGAAACACCAGAGAAAAGTAAAATTATTTCCAAAATAAAATTTGTTGAAGCTCCAGTTGAAGTTCATTATAAAGCATCAAATTTACAATTGAAAAAGAATACAATGAAATCTAAATCACAAATTTTTACATCCTCTGATTCGTGTGAGAAAATTTATTCCGATCGAAATATTACAGATGATTCCTCTGAAACCACACTTAGATGGAAAATTATAATTAAACACAATCAAACAACGGAAAATAAAGATAAAAATTTCAAAAATTTCTCTTTTGAAAATATTTCAAAATCTTTTTAAGAATAATCACTTTTAAACAATTTATTTTCAATAAAAAGAAAAGAGAATAAAAATTCTATTGCAATTAATAAATAAATTTTTGCACCTTGTTTTGTAGAGTAAATTAATTTTTAATTAATTTCTCAGTTTGAAAAAACAAATATTATTTCTTATTGTAAAAATAATTAAAATCTATTCTAATTAATGAAAAAGTAAATTTAAACATTAATTAATTACTTATTATGATTAATTTTCTGTTTCGATTTATACAATTTAATGAATTGAATAATCTTAAAATGAAATCAAGACGTATCAGAATCTTGGGGGCTTGAATTTTGTAAAACAGCTAACCTGAAAGAAGGAAAATTTAATTAATTATATTAATGAATAAAATTAAAATATTGACATTAAAAATAAAAAAAAAATTATATTAAATTTCAAATTAATATAAAAATATTTTACCGTGGTCGTTTTGAATCTTCGGTGGTATGTTCTTTAGATAAATCTGAAAACAAGGCACGACGAGTCTGTAACAAAAAAAAGTAAAAATATTAAATTATTATATTATAATTTATTAATTGTAAATATGTACTTTTAAAACAATTTTTAAAATTATAAAAAAAAGCAAGTCTTACACTATCGACAATTTTGTTTTGACAATTTTCAGGATTGCAATTACAATTACTGCAAGCTAATTCATTTTTCCGACAACTGCACAAACGAGTTGAGCACTTTGTTTTGCAAGCACATTTAATTTCTCCCTCTGATGATCTTTTTGGTGCTGCACGATTTTCAGGGTTTATATTTTTTGTAGTGTTCTGCATAGGATAAAATGCCAATTAGAATAATGTGAATAAAATTTAAATTTAGAAAATACAAGAAAATGACAAATTATAATAATAATTTTTCAAAAAATTATTATTGTTAGATTATTAAAAAAATAGATTACCATGAGTTTTTGTATTCTACTATAAAGTGGAGTTTTTGTCCAATCGGGATCATTTTCAACATCGTCGTCGGCAATACTGTCGTCTGAGAACAAAAAATCATTATAATTTGGAGTGCCTGGTATGGGCTTCTTTTTCATCTTTGTTTTTTGCTTCATAGAATGTTGTAAAACAGTTTCAAGTTCATTGCAACGGTTTTTATAAAATTCAATATCCTCTTGCTCTTTAGGATTTTCTTTTTTCACCGGTGCCGGTGAATTGTACATCATCATGATTTTCTGTTGTTTTTCACGATTTTCTTGCATTCTCAATGTGTCCTTTAATTTATCGATTTCATCCTGAAATTAAATAATTCATTTTTATTTTAACTTAAAAATAAATATTTTAATAAATTAATTAATGTAATTAAAACAGTATAAATTATTTCAAACCTTCAAATCATTAATTTCACATTTAAGTCCAAAGGTTTTCTTTCTATCTTCAGCTGAGAGTTCAAATACAGCATTGAGAGCTAATTTTGCATCTCTAATTGAAATCAAACTTTGCCATCTTTTACTGGCTTGATTTTCTATGAATAGAAAATAAAACTTTTAAAAATATATTCTTAAAAATTAAAATATTTATCAAGTATAATAAAAAAAACATACCTTGATCAGATTCGACGATTTTTTGTTGAAAATCAGAAATTTGTGTATTTCTTAATTCAATGAATTCGACAAGTTCAGTTTCTTGTTTTTGGAAAATTTCCCCATCATATTTATTGTCACGAAGTTCTTTCAATTGATTAACTAAAAGTGCACGCTCTTGCATTAATCTTTCTAATGAGCATTCAGCATCAATAGTACTAAGATGAACATCCAATTCCTGTGAAACCCACGATTGAATGTGTTCTTTATTATTTCCTTTTTCCGAACGTTTCTGTTGTACTTTCCTCTGTTTTTCTAATACCTCTTTTAATCGTTTATTAACAGCGTGTGCCTCCTCCATTTTTCGTTTCATTACATTTTGTTGTTTATTATGTTGTGTTTGAAGTTTTTTCATTTCATTTACACGTTTACGATCTTGATCTTTTAATTTTGATAATTCACGTTCACGTGAAATTTTCCATTTATGAAAACGACTTGTTTCGGTGCGCATTTGTAATATTAATTTCACTTTTGTTTGTTTCATTGAATTTATTTCATTGGATAAATTTTTTATTTGTTGATCGGATTTCTCTTTTTGTTTAATAACTTTATTTTGTTCCGTACATTTGCGTTGAAGATCAATAATTTTTTTCTCCAATTCTTGTACTTTTTTTCGTCTTGTCTCAGCTAATCGGGCGGCAACTTTATTATTTTGTGCACTATTTAATTGTTGTTGTAATTCTTCTTTTTCAGCGTTTAATTTTGTTATTTCATTCTCCATTTCGTGAACTGAATATAATTGTGCCGCGTCTTCAGCAACATTTTGTAATAATTTTGAGACTAATTCTTCTTTAATTGCAAGTTCACGAGTTATTGTTTGTACTTGATCGATTGTTTGCGCTTGACGTAAAGTATGTTCCTCGTGTTTTTCATCAAGATCATAAGTATCATTTGCAATATTATTTTCCTCTTCTTCGTCTTCAATTTTCATTTGCATCGATTGTTGTGAACCCATTGTTAAATCATGATTCACTAAATCCTCCTCGGTTTTCTTTTGATTGTTTTGTAAATCTGAAAATTAGGTTTTAATTAAAAATTTGCTTTTTTAAATTACATATATTTAAATACATACTGAGAATTTTTAAACGAATTGATTGAAGTTTCTTGTGATGTTCCTCCGTGTCATTTGGAGAGATTTCGAATGATTTAATAAGCTCGTCACATTCATCCATTATATTTGTCATGCCAGCTTTCATTTTTTCTCGTGATTGTTCAGCAAGATCAGTGCGCTCATGCATGTGAATTAATTCAATTAATTGTGCGCTAAGTTTCTCCGTGACGCCTCTTAATTTTTTTTGTAACAATTGATTTTTCTCCTCTAAATCCCGATGCTCTGGTGGACAGCTCGCGAGACCTTGAATCTCTTGACTCAAACGTGAAACTTTCATTTCTTGAATAATATTTTTTAATCGATTTATTTCCGCTAATTGTGGATCTTGATTGATCACCGGCTTGTTCTTGATTTTACGCGCACGATCCGCGTATCGAAGTGTACTTAACGATTCATCTAAATTGTAATCTGTAAAAATAAAATTATATAATAAAAAGAAAAGAATATTTATAAATTTCTTTTTTTTTGGATTCTGACCTGCGGGACTCACGCAAGCGATCATTAGAGTCATTGAATTTCCTCCAAGGGAATCTTGCAAAAGTCTCGTGAGTTTACTATCACGATAGCCAACGTAAGATGCAGTGCCACATTCACCTAATTGTGAAATAACATTTCCTAGAGCTAGTAAACCTTTATTTATATTTACACCTTCCTTGAATCTTTCGCCAGTTGCTTGTGTTTTTTTACTTCTCTCCGAACCGGCTAAATCAACTAACTGAAATTTAGCCGTCCTTGCAATTGTTCTAAAAAAAATCATCAATTATTTGTTATAAAACTTAGATTAATTTAGTAAATAAAATACTTACGGATCATCTTTCTTTTGTTGATGAACGGATATTGTGAAAATTGCATGACTACGACTACTTTGACTATTCATTGCCGTTGCACCAGTGGCACGACAAAGTGAACCATCAGCCAAACATTGTAATGTTTCCTGTGAATTTGTCACCGTTCTTTCAGTGATACCGACAATTTTAATATTTTTTGCATCCTCACGAATATCGACAATACATTGATTTCGTTGTTTATTCGCAAGTAAATCGTAAAGTTGTTCCTGATATAATTCCATAAACGCCACAGTAACTTTATAATTCCAATCTTTTTTCTCTTCTATCGTCTTAAATATATCCTGAACAGCTTGAGGAATAACTCCATTTGTTTCATTAGTTTCCGAATAATTTGTACCCATTGAATATGTTTTGCCACTACCAGTTTGTCCATAAGCCAAAATTGTAACATTGTAACCTACAAGAAAAAAGTTTCTTTCATAATTCAGAAAAATTTAAAAATAAATATTCATTTACCTTGAAAAATATGAGTTATCATTTTTTGAATTGCCGTATTGTAAAATTCAGTTTGACCAATATCTGAATCGAAAACATAATTAAATGTAAATGCTTTGTCAGTGGGTTTTATTTGTATTTGATTTTCCCCAGGAATTACACTCAAACATTCTTGACATCCTTTTTCTATTTCTGTCGAAACAAGCGGTCTAATTCTCACAGCCACACGAATTAAATCGTCTCCCATTTTTTAAATCTAAAAAAAATTATAGTTATCATATTGCAAAATGATTTATTATTAAATTGTAAAAAAAAATATAAGCAAAGAATTATTTTCTGTATGTAGAAATAATAAAAAAAATAAATTCACACTAATTATAAATAAAAGTAAATAAACACTTACCAAAAATGTTTTTGACACTCAAAGGTAAAAAATACACTTAAGTTTTGCACAATGAACCCGACGCCACAATTTCAATGTTGCATAGCGTCCGATCAGAGGTAAAAATTAATCTATTAATTAATTGAATTTATCTTAATTCACACTCAAAGAACTTTAAAAAACAAATTACAACTTATAAAATAATAATTAAAAAACTTATTCAGGTGTTAAAAGTCCATAAATATTCTAAAATACAGCACCTGTTTGATTCAACACTTTAATACCGTTTCTAACCAACAAAAAACCGGTAAAGAATTAACTGGCAATTTCAAAATTCATTAGTTAGTTTTTTAATCACCAGGTGGTATTTTTGTGGACAAGATTCTCTAAACAACCAATAGAATATCATTTGAAAAATTTTGATCAATTCTGATTGGCTATATCTAAATTGGGATTTTTTTATAATTTGTAGGTTATGTTAATATTTATACTAGTTTTCTTATCTTATATCTATTTAGTTCAAGAAGGCGAGGTGTAAACTATAATCCCATGATTTGTTTAATATTGTTAATATTAAAAAAAAACTTTAATAACTATCGTTTGCTCAATAGTAAATTAATTGTTTAATAAAATAATGTCATCACAAGATGAAATTAAAGATGTCTCGAAAAAAGATGAAGAATTCGAAAAGTTGCGAAGGAAGCTAACCGGTAAGTTGTTTCACTGGTTGTTTTCGGCGTGTCAACAAATTATGATCTTGATCATTCAATCGTGTTTAATTGCATATTTTTTTCATAGTTTTTCTTATAGTTTAAAATTACACTTCAAAACAATTGAGCACCTTTTTACAATTTGTATTATGATCCGTGGTAAAGCCGAAAACATTGTTTACATCTCGAGAGTTGAAAACAAATCAATACTTATATATAGCATCACGTAATTGATTAATTATTAGTCATTTTCCTTAATTTTTTTTCTTATTTATTTTCACTTTTTTTTAGATGTCGGAATGTACGAAGAAGGAATGAATCTGGATAACATGAAAGAATTAATAAAAGTTCTACAAGAATCAAAAGAAATGCACGAAAATGTAAGTAAAAAGTCAAATGTAAAAAAAAAGAAATTAGAATTTTATTTTCCATAATGATATATTATATATTTGAAAAACAATTTCAGAGGAATTCGCAATCTTTTCAAGCACCAGATTCGCCACCAAAAAATACCACCGAAAATAATAATGAATCACCGAAAAAAAGTTATGCAAATTCAATAAAAAAGCCATCATCCTCTGATAATGTTGACACTGTCAAAGAAAATAAGGAAATAAAAACAGATGCATTTTGTTCAAATGAAAATAATTGTCGTTCAACTAAATCTCTTTTGGAATTCCAAAAAAAAGCGTTTAGAAGGAGAAAATATGCCATGGATCCATTACAAGGAAAAATTCCCGAAAACGAAGAGCCATTAAGTCGACCAATTAATGAAGATAGTGAAACAATTGATGATTTTTGGAGTAACGTTGATATTCCAATTAAAGAGAGGGTGGAGGAATTAAGCGAATTTTTACAACAATTACGAGATACGTGGATTATGGAAAAGTCAAATGTTGTTGCTGATTCGGAATTAGAATGGGGGTCACCCATTGAGGTGGGTACCTCCGCCCTTTCCTTTTCCTATGATCTATCCTTTATTCCCTCTTATTATCATTAAAAATTAATTTACATTGATCTTTCAATTTGCATTCCACTCAATTTTTAAAATTCGTGAATTCAAAGACTGACGAATACTCAACTTGATTTTATTATAATTTTTCCATGTTTTCTGTTATAAAAAATTCTATGAAAAAAATTTATTTTTACAAAACAATTTACAGTTCTATTTTTATAAAAAGGGTTTTTCTAGAATTAAATTCATTAAAATTTAGAAAAAAAAGGGAAAAGTTAGAAACATTAGATTAAAAACATTTTATGAATCCGTAATTTTTTTGAATTAAATATATAGAAATATACTTTTTTCAAAAATAAATAAAAGAAATTTTGTTTGTACTTTTTAACAATTATTTTTATTTTCTATTAGACTTGCTTTTTTTGCGTTTTCTAATAATTTAACAATTTCAATATGTTTTTTAACGTTAAAAAATCAAAATGTTAATAAATATGAAATAAAAATAATTAATGTTAAAAAATACGAATTTAAAATTTAATTATAAAATATTTAATATATTTAATATTATAAATACGTATAATTTGAAAGACTTTATTGCGATCATATAAAAAAGTGATATTTTGTTTTGTGATTTTTAGGTTTGGTAATGTTAAGATTAAAAAAAATGACTTTAGTTTAAATACATTCAAAAAATAGAGTAAAAGTGCTTCCAGTTTTGTGACATGATAGATAAAATTAATTTATTTTTAATTGAAATTATTTTTTTTTTTTTTAAATGAACATAAAAATAATTAACGATAAGAATCTTAAATATGTATTTTTTTAAAAATGAAATTGTATTTAACGATTTTTTTTTACATTTTTTCAAAAAAAAAAAAAATATATATATTACAATTATTAACGAATACTTTTAAATTAAATAAATAATATTTATTAACATTTAAATTAAAAATAAAAAGTAAATTAACGAATTTGAATTATTGATTAAAAATCGAGGACAATTTTTAATTTTTATATACAATTCTTTAAAACGTATTTTTATGCAAATGTGCAATAATTAATTAAAGGCTGCAAAAGTACAAACTTTGTCTTTAGGTCACTGTATATAATAAGCAATTTTTCCAGGGATCAAATAAAATAGAACGTACAAAAGAATTGTTCATGTATTTTAAAACAATTTGAAAGAAATTCTAATTATTCATACCTTACAAGAAAATTATTAATTATTTCTTTATTAATAATAATAATAGTAATAATCATAATATCATATACAATATTATCATATTAAGTTATTATTATTAATTAATAATAATAAATAATTTAAGTAATAATTATTTATTTCACGAATATTTTTTTTTTCCAAGAAAATTTGTTATTTAAAAAAATATTAGCTTCCATTAAATTTTTTATGCAATTTATAAAAAAAAAATCTTTCTAATTTATCTAAATTCTCCAATTTTTAATTATTAAAATTATCCACTTTTAAATTTATCCAATTGTCCCATTGTAAATGTTCCAATTGTCCAAATATCAGTGATCGAATCCAATTTTAAATTCCAAAAAAGGGTGGATGAATCTCAAAATAGTTTCCATGAAAAAAGGGAAGAAATACAGTATTTTTTATACTCACGTTGTCTTTTGATATTCAACCTCCCTTAACTTTTAATAATATTGTAAGAAAAATGAAATCTACATTTTTAAGTTTCTTTAACTTCAATTTCTTTGTGAAAAAGAAAACAGATTTTCGTCAACTACTTTTTTATCTTTGTGAAATAAAACGCAATTTTTAAATTTGACGTGTTAGAGAAAATCTAACAATAGATTCGAATTCAGCGTAAAAAATACATTAAGAAACGTTCTTACTTTTTTGGGTCGAAAAATTGACCCGAATTTGTTTTCCAATGTAATTTTAATATTTAAATAATTTTACAATTTAATTTAAAAAAAAAAATCTGTACACGATGAAAGAAATTTTTGAATAAATTTTATTTCTCTAAAAAAAAGCAAAAAACAAAAAAAGCTAAATTAAGTCTACCTTTTCTTTCTTATTCAATTTCTAATTGTTTATTTTCAAAATATTTTTTCTGTTAGGTGGGCAATCATCGCTTTAATTTGGATAGGAAAACAACAACAACAACATCAACATCAGGACAATACGAGCAGGAACCAACGAGGGAAGTAATGAGCCGCGCCAGTAAACGTAAGGCAACTACTCTTATTGCAAATATTAGTAAAAATTCCGATAGTGATACTGAAGCTGATGATGATTCGGCTTTGTTGAAAAAAAGAAAACCTCAACAGGAAAGAAGAAAAAACAACAACGACACAAGCACAGACGGAAAAGATGTGCAAATGGATGTAGATTTCGATAAGTTTGTTAAAACTTATAATAAACCACAAACACCAAGTACATCATATTCAACAATTAACACAGCGAATGAAACAAATATTATCGATTCCGATGTAGAGGATATTTTTGATTATAAAGATGATAAAAAATCACCCGAACCACAAATTTATCCTCGAAAAATTCAACCTCCAATTCCAGGCACTAATAAAGCACGAAGGGGTAAAGGACGAAGTAGTGGTGGTGGTAAAGGAAATTTTAAAGGGCCACGTGCCAAAAAAACAAATAATGAAAATAAAATCGATGAATCGGAAAAAAATGTTCCATCATTAAATCGAAAAGAAACACCACTTGAAATTGTTTTAGATTGTGAAACATCTGAATTACAGGATATTTCACCGCAAACCGATGTGAAAATGTTAAAAATGCCATTAACCGAAAGAACACGATTATCAAAACAAAAATTAATTGAAATAGAAAATAGAGAGAAGATAAAACAAGAAGAATATAATTTAAATGAACAAAAACTTGAGGATGAAAAAAATAGAAAACAAGATGAACTTATTCAAAAACGTTTAGCAGAAAAGGAAGAAAATGAAAAATTATCGAAAATACGTGAAAAACATGAGAAAGAAATGACAAAAAAATGGAATACTGTACTTCAGGATAAATCGAAAACAAAGTCTAAAATAAAAGATAATAAAAGTTTGTCCGCTGATGAAATTCAACAGGATTTATTAGGCGAGGATGATATTGTCATATGTGTTAGTATTATATATTTTATCCAAAAATTTATCATAATTATTTTAAATTAATTTTCTTTTTTTTTGATACCTTATTTAATTTTCTATTATTATTATCATTATTTTTTTTAAATAAAAATATGAAATTCCCATATGCACAGGATGATCGTCCTGCAGGTCAATCAATGAAAAAAAATGAAGTGGCGTGTCCAATTTGTAATAGATCATTTCCTGAAAGTGATATTGTGGATCATGCGTCAGAATGCAATCAATTTGAAATTGAAGAGACGTCAAGTCATACTGTCGGTAAACGGCAGAGAAAAAATAAAATGATTTGTAACGTCTGCAGAAAATATGAAACTGCAAATGAAAATGATTATTTCGAACATGTTCAACTTTGTAATGAAGAGTATCGCGGACAAAGGGACGCAGGCTTCTGTACGTTGCTCTAATTATTCTATTCATATTTTTTAGGAATATTTTTCTTTGCATTTTCATATATTTTAAAAACTAATATTTCTAGTTAGTTATTAATAATTGTTTTTCAATTTCTATTTGTTAATCATTAAATTTTTTATTTTATTTCTATTGTTAATAATTGAAAACTTAAAATAATTAAGTTAAGTATTTATTAATTAATAATTTATTATATTATTTTTTATTATTAATTAATAATTTATCCACTTATTTATTTTTTGTCTTATTTATATTTGAATATTTCTATATTTTCATATTCTTCCATTATTATTTTGTATTTTGTTTTATTTTTTTCATTAAAATTTTTCAATTATTTTAAGTAATTTAAAATAAACAAATATTTATTCGTTAATTTCAGCTTTATAGTACTTTTTTTTTAATTTCCTTTTTATCATAAATTATAAAGTTTATTTTACCCCAAGAAAAAAAAACAATTTGAAATTTTTCTTTCTAGGGGAAAATAAGACTATTTTTTTTGATAAAAATGAATCGAATAATTATTTCCAATTTGTTTCAGCTACAAATCAGGGTGATAATCAAGGGAATTATAACCCAGAAAGGAAAAATTTTAATTTACGAAGAAGATCTTAATTAACGTCATTGAACTTTTGCATTCCAAAAGTGTTGATACCTCAAGATCCGATTGATTCGGTTTTAAGATAATTATTTTTTATAATTTAGGCTTCTCTATGTCTTCCTTAATCACATTCTGAGAATTTCTTTGAAAAAAAGAGTTTTCTTTTCTTTTCTTTTCTTTTTTTTTTGGTTAAGATTCGTTTTTCCATAAATATTAATTCAGGTTTAAATCGTTAAATTTTATAATTAATTATTATATTTATAAATTTAAATTTATTGTAAAAATTTAGATAAATGTGTATTTCACATTTTTAATCAGCAAGAAAAATTCTTCAAGCGGAAGGTAATTTTTTCAATTTTTTTTCGGTTATAAATTGTATTACTCTTTTTTTTCTTTCAGTTTTATTAATTTTAAATTTAATTTTTTTGAATTAATTATTTTCTATTAATCACTTTGTTTATTTTATGTAAATTTCTCTTTTTTCGTGAATTTAATTAATAATTTCAACAAAGTTAATTGATCTTTTGATTTATCTTTTCATATTATATTGAAGAATGTGTTTGTAAAAAGAAAAAGAATTTTTTTTCACAATATTATAAATATTTATATGCACAGTTAAAAGACAACGAAAAGTTAAATCTACATGTTAAGTGTTTTTTTATCATTTAACATTAAAAAAAAAGAGTTGATTTTATAACTTACGTTTGTTAACTCAACTTGTGATTTTAAGAGAAATGTACAAAATACACAGAAATGTACTACTCTTAATTCTAAGTAAATTGATGCAAGATTTGTGATATATTCTAATATAAATAATGGATTTTTGTAATAAAAGAAAATATTCTACCACTTTCTAAATATATAGTTAATTATATTTAAATTAAAACTAAATTTCTTTATCTTAAAATTAATTTTTCAGTTTAAAATAAAAATTTAATTAAATTATTATAATTAATTGTTTAAAATTACGAAAATTATTTCTCTAATTATGTAATAAAATCATGAATGAAGCAATTGATATTTAATGGAATTTGTTTCAGTATGAAACGTACATACACATACACGAAGTCATATATTTTTATCTACATTGAATTATCTTCAGAGTGAAAATGAATTGACAAACATAAACAGACACAATTTCGTTTCAAGTATTTATAATTCAGTAGCGAAGGAGACATTGATAGAGAAATATATATTTTCGGTTCTTTTTTTTATGTGAAACAATTCTTGTAATTTATTTTATAAATGAAACACAATTGAATTTAATTCACAAGGTACTTCCACTGTTAGTCTCCTGATTTTGGCCTTGAAGTGAATTTTTCTTCAATTCCTCTGGGATTTTAGATAGTTTAGCCTTTTAACAAAAATGTTATTTAAAACATTGTTTTATTAAAAAGTGAGTATTTAATTTTTAAAATATGATTTCATTTCAAATTAACACGTTATAATTTAATATAATATATTATTAACAAACGACAAATTTTGCATGTTTATTAACTTTTATTTTCTTTTACAGTTCAATGTTTTGCTGAAAGTATTTGTTTCAATTTAAAAAATTTTGATATCGGCAAAAAAAAGAGAGAATGATGAAAAATGTTTGTTTGTTAGTTTTAATTGTATTGACGAGTCAAATAGAATCTTTATTACTTCATGATGGATGGATTGGAATTATTAATTCCACGGGTGAGATGAAAACTTTTTTTTTTTTTTGTTGATAAATTAAAAATTATAATTAAAAATTAAAAATACTTTTTCTCTTTAGGACAATCATTCCCAGCGACAATACCAGGTGGGATTTATACAGATTTAGAGAAGGCGCAAATTATACCGAAAAATTTGATAGGATTCAATGATGTAAAAAATCGATGGATTGCTAAGGAGAGCATAATTTATTTTACAAAGTTTCAAGGTAATTTTATATTAAATTTTAATTTTATTAATCCGATATCAAAACATCTAAAGATTGTATATATATATAAATCATTTTTAAATTCAGTACAAAATAAATTTATATCATGTGTCACGCTTGGTACATTTTCCTATCTGGGTAATTATATACATGTGCCATTCCATGAGTTTTTTTTATCACTTTTCGGTGTAACCTCACCAAATTAAATGAAACATTTTTTTTATAATATTTATTAATATAAAAGTCCAATAATCACTTTTTAAGTATGTATATATTTTTTTTTAAAATAAATTTAAAATTTCAGTGACAGAAGAATTTTTAAAAGCATCTAAAGTTGCTTTAGTGTTTCATGGTTTGGATACGTTTGCAAATATATTTTTGAATGATGAACACATTGGAACTACCGATAATATGTTTGTGAAATATAATTTTAATGTGAAGACTCAATTGAAGGTATCTAATATTTTTTTTTTTAAATAATATTTTTAAAAAAACTAAAACAAAATATAAAAACACTTTGTCAATTTCAGAAAAAATTGAATTCAACAAATAAATTAGAAGTACGTTTTGCTTCGCCGCTAAGAATTGCAAATCTACTTTACAGAAAGCAAAAATTAAATTACGAAGTTGTTCCAAGGTGTACGCCTGAAAAATATAATGGAGAATGTCATGTTAATCATATTCGAAAAATGCAAGCAAGCTTCAGTTGGGATTGGGGTCCAGCTTTTCCCTCGATTGGAATTTGGTAATTATCTTTCAAGAACAAAAATTCAGAAATGATTAGATTAAATTCAGATAACGTTTTCTCGATTCATTTTTTAAATATTATCATTTTTGAAAATATCTTATTTTATATTATATATTTTCTATTTTATCATCTTTTTAAAAAAAAAAAAATATTTGTTACATTTTATTAAATTTTTTCTTTAATTTGCGTTTTCATCTTTCCGCTTCATAGAAAGTTAAAAAGAATTGTATTATTTTTTATTATAGTATTGATTTTTGTTTTTCTATAACAGTGAATTTATTTTGCAGGAAAAATGTGGAATTAATTCCGGTGACTGAAGCTTATGTCACCGAAGTAACAGCAGATATTGTCAAAAAAAATTCCCATTGGGAAATAAATGTTGGTGTATTTTTCGATACTTTATCCTATGAGCGAAATATAAATTTTAATGGAGTTATTCAATCAGTATTAGAACTCGATGATGGAGAATCAATTATGAATTATACAGAATTTTCATCAACAGCAGAATGGAAATATTCAAATTGTTCTGTTACTTTACAAATTCCATTTGTAAGTTGAAAAAAAAGTATTCTAATTATAAAAATCTAATTATTATATTTTATTGTAAACTATTTTTTTTACAGGAATCAGTGATGTTATGGTGGCCAAACGGATACGGAGAACAAAAACTTTATAAACTCGTAACTCATGTTCAAATTGACAATTACGAAATGGAAAATATGAAAAATATTGGTTTTCGAACAATTGAATTGATACAAGATCCTTTGGACGAGGGTTTAACTTTTTATTTTCGTGTGAATAATTTGCCAATATTCGCTAAAGGAAGTAATTATATTCCAGGTAGTATTTTTCCTGAATTAAGTACAAGGAGGGAAATTATATTACCATTATTGACATCCGCTAAAGAGGCAAATATGAATATGTTACGTGTTTGGGGCGGTGGAATGTATGAATCAAATCTTTTTTACGAATCAGCCGATGAATTGGGAATTTTAATATGGCAAGATTTTATGTTTGCTTGCAATATGTATCCAACGAGTGATTCTTTTTTAGAAAGTGTTGCAAATGAAGTGTCACAGAATGTTAAACGATTGAAACATCATGCAAGTATTGCACTTTGGGCGGGTAATAATGAAAATGAAATTGCAATTTATGGCAATTGGTATGGAACGGGAGATAAGGAGATTTATAAGGATGATTATATTAAATTGTACGTGAATCTTATTAAAAATTTAGTTGAACAATTGGATACGACAAGATCGTTTGTTGTGTCAAGTCCTAGTAATGGATTGTATAGTGATAATAATGGTTATCTTGGAACAAATCCTGGATCGAATTTATACGGAGATGGTAAATATAATATCGTTTTTAATTTAAACATTTTTTTTTTTTTATTCAATTAAAATAATATAAAATTTTCCTTTGGCAGTTCATTATTATAATTATTTGCAAAATGGATGGGATATGAATCATTATCCAAGAGCGAGATTCTCTTCAGAATATGGATTTCAATCGTGGCCATCGATAGAGACATTGATATCTGCTGCTGAATATGATGAAGATTTAAAACTTGGCAGTGATTTTATGCAACATCGACAACATTTACCGGGTGGCGATGGATTTATGAAATTATTGATTGAAAAAAATTTAATTATTCCCGAAAGTAATAATACAAGACGGGATCTTGAGGATTTTATTTATCTTAGTCAAATTAATCAAGCGATGTCAATTAAAATGGAAACAGAATTTTATCGACAGGGAAAAAATTCATTGGAATCGAATGGTGGAGGTTATACGCGAGGTGCACTTTATTGGCAATTAAATGATGTTTGGCAAGCTCCTTCCTGGTCCTCAATTGGTATGAATAACAAATTTAAAAATAGAATTATTCACAATTTATTTTGTTTTTTAATATTTTGTTTTTTCTAATACATTTATCATTTCCATAATTTACTGAGTAATTGTAAGAGTAAATAAAGATATTTGTAAATCACTTCTCCTTTGAGAAGAAGATTAATACCAATATCAAAATCAATAAGATAATATTTTACTGTCAATGTTAAAAGAAACATTGTTTTTTTAAAATTTATAATTATTGAAAATAAATTTTAGAAAATGTATATTATTAATACACAGAATTTGGTGGACGTTGGAAGATGTTGCACTATTTTGCGAGAAATTTTTTTGCTCCTGTAATTGTGAGTTCACGTTTATCCAATGCTCGAGATTTGACAATTTACATAATTTCGGATTTACATCGTCCTTTAGAAAAACTTTCCTTAACTTTAAATATTTACAAATGGGATTCAATTAATCCAGTGTCAGTTCAATATTTCACGAATCTCTCAGTGGTGAGTATTATCATAATCTATATTTATTTATTTATAAATTTCTTTTTAAAATTGAAAAATAAAACTTATCATTCTTACAGAAAGCCGATGAATCAAAATTGGTAAAGAAACTTTGGTTAGACGATTTTTTGGTGAAAAATAAATGTGGAATAATGGAATCGGCAAAGATAAATTGTTTTTTGGAAATTTTGCTGAGAAGTGAAACAGAAGGCAAAATTATTGATGTAAATTACGTCTATCCATCTCCTTTGAAAAAGGTTTCATTGCCTCCTGCTGAAATTGAAGTAAGTAAAATTTTTTAAATTTGTTGCTTTAATGAATGAAAATTGATAATTAAATTAATTTCTCACTTTTATAAAAGATGAAAGTCAATTCGAAAACAATGCCTGGCGAGAAAGCAAATTATTCTGACTATGAAATTAAATTGACAACAAAAAATATTGCACTTTTCGTTTGGCTAGAAATGGGACCATTGAAAGGCAAATTTTCCGAGAATGGCTTTCACATTTTGCAGGGTGAAAAGACAATTATTTTACACGCTTTAGAAGCAATGACACCAAAGGAAATATTAAAAAACGTTTACCTGAAATCACTGTCGGATGTTTATAAGGTTTGAGGGGAAAAGGAAAAACAAATTATTTTCAAATATTGTGGATAAAGAAAGATGACAATTAGAAATTATGAAGGAAAATAAAAGTCCCGATGTAAATAAATTTCAAATCCAATTAAAGCAACAAGCATGACAAATGCAATTCCACATATCATATAAATGGTATCAATCATAATTTTTTTTTTACTTAAATTACTTTTATTCTAAATTTTTTAAATTTCGATAAATTAATAATTCAGGTATTTCATCTTCATAAGATTTATTTTAAAACAAATTTTTTTTTTATTAACCAAAGGTTAGAAAACACTTTAAATTACATTAAAACATCTTGAAGTTTGTTTTATGAAAAAAAGAATATCGATTCTTTATGAAAAATTTGCGCATTTCTTAAAATTCCTATTGGCGTTAATAATTTTCTTCCTTTATTTTACATTAAAAATTTTTATATATAAGCTAAATATAAATTAATGTACACAAAATTTATCAGTCAAACACTTGTAACAAGCGTAGCTTTTCAAACAAACTAATAATCTCTCGATAGAGAAATGTCAGTTATTTTTTAAAAATATATCTTTTCCTTACATAAATATAATATTTGCAAAAAAATTATTTTTTAATAATAGAAAAAATAAATTATAAGAAAATATTTACAGATATTTTCTATCAAATAAATATTCGTAGTTGACTAATTAATCACAATTTTTTTTTTACTATAGAGATACTTATAAAACTATAATTTCATTTTCGGCCGGATTTCGATAATATAAAAATATATATCTTTATATTTTGTAAAAATATTAATTATTTTTTAAATGATGAATTTGAGATTTTATCGTATTTAACGTCTCCTCGGATGGCGAATACATATAACGTCGACTCAAATTAATTGCAACCATTATGCAACATAATAATAATGGACCAAAAATTGCTCCCTCTACTCCTAGACAAAAAATTCCTCCCGCTATCGATAAACCCGTGAGATATGGATGACCACCTCTAGAATTTACAATTAATAATAGTAATTAAATTTAAATTAAAACAAAAATAATAAATTTAAAATATAATTATTAAGAATAAATTATTATTTAGAAAATAAATTTTATTTTTCTATATTTATAAATAAATGATTGCGTACCCTTTAATTTCTTTGTAAAATTCCGTGACGACAATGTTGCAGGGAAGAAAATGAAAGAAGAAGAAAAGTGTCGCGATCATTGGTCCGCGTGTAAACCAGAGTTCAATTGTCACCGGTATACAGGCGAAATATGCATCGAGAAATGGAACAGCGCCCAATATCATTGCAAAAACAGACGGTAAGTAGACAATTTTTACTTGAAATAAATTATGAACAAACCACGTCCATAAACCAAAAAATGATGCGAGTTTAAATGTTGCTGCAAATACGCCAATTACTGATTCCTGCAGGGCAACTGCAAATCTTTAAGAAAAAAAACAAACAAACAAATTAATTAATGACGGAAAAAAATCTCTAAAATAATTTTTATTGAAACGAGATATTTTTTTCATACCCTCCAAATTCAGATATGCTTAGAAATAAAAAAAAAATGTTTATTAGAAAAATTGAAATACAAATTTTTTGAAAAACAAAACTAATTTTTATGTGCAAATTTACCTGTTACAACTAATTGGACTAAAAGTTGTTATTGCCTCGATTGGCTTATAAGTTACTCCACTAGAACTCAAAAGGTAGAAAAGTGCCGTGAAAAATACAACCTACAATGAAATATTTACAATTTTTGTTTAAAAAAAAGAAAAAGATAATTTCGCTTTCATATTATTAATTTTTAATAAATAAACTAATACATACCATACTGAGAGTAAAATTAAGTACCGCTGATCCACTAATTAATACAATATAAATCAATTCGGTCACTATTCCTAAAATAACGGACATATTTCCTTTGACAATACTCCAAATTGAATCCAAAACCGACATAAGAACACCAACGTTTTCCTTTGCGAAATTTTGAACGCTGGTCATATTAAATAATTCTGTAAAAAAAATTTTAATAATAAGGTACTAAAATCTAATGAATTTTTAGTCTTTTAATTATTTTGAAAATTAAAAAGTAAACTTGAGCATTCTACTAACGAAAAGGAGTTTTTCCAAAACTATCCTTAAAACTTTCCCAAACAGAATCCATATCGACTGTTGGACCAATTAAATCTGAATTTTCACTTGACATCATCCAAGCTTGATAAAATCTATCCCACAATTCTAATACTTTTTTCTCCATTAATTCCGCTTTAGCTGGTTCTAAATTTTTCACAAGACTTTTCACCTTATAAATTAAAATAAAAAATCAAATTTAATTATAAATTATTTATATTCTGTTGAAATAGTAAAAATTTTTGTTGAAATCTTATTGACTTGAAAGCAAATTAAATAAATTAAACTTACACCATCAGAAATTGCACTTCGTCCATAAGTATAAGCATTATCAAGAACACTATTTACTGATTCTTCCCATTGTTCAGGAACCCAATCAATATCCGGATTATTTACAAGAGAAGAATTAACAATTTCTCCCGTGACTTGAATTAAATGAATTCCCTCCGCGTAAACCTGAAAAAAATAATTACAAATTTTTTAAAATAGTTTATTAACCATTTGAGTGGCAAATTTGTAAAATTTTTATTCACCTGCATTGTTATAAAAATTGCAACACAAGTTGTGAAAAAAAGTAATCCAAGAATAACGGCAAATGTTGCAACTGAATCAATAGATCCTTTTAAAATAGTCGTTAATTTTTGATCGATAATAATAGAAACTTTATATAATCCACGAATATAAACTGGTAACAATGCATCGAGTCTCTCATCGCACCATTCATTAATATGATTCCAAATTCCTTGAATATATTTTTGTATTTTTGTCCATATACCAAAAAAATTGCCCATTAATTTAATAATATAATAAGCAACCGGAAAAATAAGAATATAAATAATCCATTTATGCTTCCATATTAACATTCCAGTACAAGCATAAATTGTCCCCTTCATATATTTATCCGTATCAACTTGATCGTCCTCAATGTCTAATGACATACGTAAATCGGCTTTTAATTTCCACAAAAAATGTCTCTCGGGTAGGGAAAATTTAATAGTTGGCGTTACATTCACTGATGATCGTGATTTTCTTGAATTCATAAAAATTGATCTTCCCGAATCAATTGTCATTGCTTTTGTTGTATCTTTTAATTTTGGTTTAAATTTCTCCACTGGTGTACTTGATGCTTTCTCACCAATTGAATCCATTGGTTTTGTCGTTGTTTCTGAAATATCGTCTAAAAAAACATCATCATCTGGCGATAATGGACGATCAATTGATTCTGTGTTTATAAATGTTCGTGAATAATCGTTTAATAATAAATTGATAGCAGTTTCCATAAATGATAAACAATTTCCTTCTAATTCCTCATGTTCAATGATTGTTAATACTTCATAAATAAAACCAACGACGAAAAATAATTGTAGAGAACAAAAAACAATAACTGGATATGTGCCAAAAATGTTTGATATATACAAACTTACGATTAACCATATCGCATAGGATGAAAAATGAAAATATAATGAATTCTCCGGTCGCCAATGAAGATAAAGTAGTGAAAAATATCCGATCAAAATGAAGGATATCTGCAAAAAAAAAAAAAAAAATTGAATTTTACAATCTTCGGAGGTTTATATCAATAATAATAAATTCTTACCATCCAAATATTACAGGAGGAGATAAAAAATTCAAGAATTGAATTTCCAATTGTTATAATTTTCCAAACGAGATAAATAAGAATACTTGGCATATAATTATAAATTAATGTTGTAATTGTTGAAACAGAAACAGCAGCAATAATATATTTCAAATGATTTCTTATAAAAGATCCAATAATTTCCGATGTTTCATCAACAATATGGAGAGGAATTATTGTTAAATGTAAAACAAGTGGTTTATTCGATTCTTCTGTTATATTAAACCATGATTTAACCATAGTCGCTAAAGAATTCTTGAATGGAAATAAAACCGATCCACACAATAATGCCCATATTAATGGTTTAACAAAAGGACTTAAAATAATATAAAGTCCATAACCAGCGACACAAATAAATGATAATAATAAAAGTGCCAAAGCATTGTAAATTCCTTGTTTTAAAGCTTTTTCATGTCCCACACTAAAACCTGACAACTTGTTTAAGAGGTTATCCATATTTTTCTAATTCCACCATTTGATAATAATGAATAATTTATGAATTTTTTCTTTACACGAATTAACCGGTTATTTTAAAAATGTGTCCTTGATTTTTAAAACCACTCAATTCAATTCTTAAAGACGATATTATTTACTTATTAACTTAACGCGAAGTTCTACGAGACATTTTTGGACATTTTGTTTGTTTACGTCATTTCTGATTGGATGCGCGTTACGAACACGTGTCATCACTATTATGTCATCAATGAAAATAAATACAAAACTAGTTTTTGAGATTATGCCTAATTTTTAAAAATATTTTCATAAAAATTAAATAAATAAAACTAAGAGGATAAATCAATTTTTTTTTTATTGAATAAAATTGACGTACGTGATATATATTTAATTAGTATTAGGAATATATTAATATAATTTATTAAATACATATACATCTAAAACAATTAAGTAATCTATTTTTTGACACTTTTTTTTTTTAATTACAATTTGGCTTGAATATTATTACGAATATTTGTAATTAAATTTGGTGCAATATCAAAATATGATTTTGCTTTACATTGACGTAACATATTATCTAAAATTGTAGTATACATTGATAAAATATTTTTTTTGTTTATTTTATAAATTGTTTTTTCCGTTCTCTCTAAAATAGTCACAACACCAATTTCAATTAAACTGACAATTGTTGTTGAATATAAATCAATTGACAATGAATATGGATGCTTAAATGTACAATCTTCTTTATAAAGTATTTCCTCCATTAATTTTTGACATTCCTTTATTATATTTTTCTCGCACAATTCATTCATTATCATTTCATCCCACTGAAAGCAATTACAATTGTTAATGGGAAGAAAATTAATTAAATTCTATATTTTTATTAGAATAAAATTTTCTCCTTACCTTTAGTAGAACATTACAGGTAACATTGATAGCTGCAATATACGGTAAAATGAGATTACACAACAGTGAATGTAATTTTTTATTCGATCCCATTATTAGCGTATCGCCAAAATCGCGAACGCAATTTTCTCTTATCATAAATGATAATGTTTCCCTTAATTCGGATTTAGCAATTGATTCCGTGATTTCCGTTTGAAATGCAAATTCTGTGCTCAAGAGTTTTCGTAATAATAAATAATGTTCTAATACTGTTTCTGAAAAAAATGTGAAAACAAAATTAAATTATTATTTCTTCATTAGTTAATAGAGGAAGTAATTTATTACGAAATAATTTCGTAGTAAGCCAAAATATATTATAATAAATTATAATAAACTTAAGGAACTTAATGATACTGAAGTTTTGTGAAATCAAAAATGACGCAATGATAATTAAGAAACAATTTATAAATATGTATTTTTTAATATCAATAAGGAAATAAATCAATAAAAATTTCCGGAACAAATTAAATTGAAAGAAAATAATATTCTTACCTTTGGAAATGGTACAATTTTCATTTTCTCTTATACAAACTGCTAATATTGCATGTTTTGCTAGAAAACCCAAATTTGGATTCACATAAATAGCAAGTGTTATTAATGGCACTGAAATTCTAATCGTCTCATCATTTAAATAATGTCCCTTGACATTAATAACTTTATCTGTTTTAACAATTTTATGCCTTTCCTTGAGAAACAAATTATTCGATGAATCAATAATTAATAAATCTCGATGAATATGTAGAGATTCAAGAATTTCCTCCTTATCTGTTTTCTCACGTGCACTGTAAAAAGAAAAAGTTATTAAAAAAATTCTTTCTTTTTTTTTTTTTCTTGTAAATAATTATAATTGTGTAAATAATTACCCAACGTCTTTGGGAAATACTAGAGCTCCAATTGAATTGACTAGAATATTTTTTATCCAACTATAATCTTGAAGTAAACTTTCAAAACTATAAATTTCTCCAGAATGTGAATAAATTCTCTCATTAAATAAAAGTGCAATAATATTAAATGGCATAAGTACAGAATTTTGTTTGTGTTTATCAATAATTGAATAAGCAAGTTTTTTTACAGTTTCCGTTGGTAATTTTGCATTTGGCGATAAGGCACTTGATTTACGTATGTGCATATCTAAATACTGTCTAGCTGATATTGGCTCAGAAAAATTAAAATAAACATGTCCATGAGCAAATGATTCACGTAATATTGAGAGTGATTTTAATAATTTTGTTGTACTCTCCGTTGGTTTTGGCACACCAAGTAATTCATAGGCAAATAAATTTTCCTCCAATGGACGATCATAACTGATACTTATTGGTATAAATTGTATATCAGAAACGTCACTTCGAAAAAGAACATCCAAAATCATTGACAGCAAACCTTTTCAAAAATGAAAAACAAAAATTTAGATATTTATAAAAAAAAATTTGGAATTTTTTAAGTACTTTTTTTTTGTAAATTTACCAAATTTAGGAGCAAGACTCTTTTGGCTTCTACTACGTGTACCCTCGATGAAAAATTCAATTGCTCGATCACTGTGAGCAACTATTGAAGCAACGTAACCGCGAAAAATCTCTTTATAAAGTTTATCAGTGGAAAAAGTTCGTCTCATATAAAATGCCCCAGTTTTTCTCAAAAGCTCCCCAACAACTTGCATTCGATAAAAATCCATTCCACTGGCAATATTCGGTAATGCCATATCGTAAGAAAAGAGAATATATGACATCAAAACAAAGTCCAAATAACTTCTATGCGATGGTGCATAAACATATTGAACTTGAGAATTGTTCATTTGATTTTTAATACTAAACAAAAATTGTTTATTTAAATGCACACTTATTAGAATCCGTTTCATCACTTTAGTGATAAGTAAACCTGTCAAAAGAATTGAAAATTAAACAATTATTTTTTAAATTAAAAGGAGTAAAAAGAAAATATTAATATACCTAGCCAACGAACAGTGGGAAGATGAGCTTTGCTGGCCATTTCCTCGAGCATTGCACGAGCCTCTGCGACGATGATGGATTTGTCGACATTACGTGCAGCAGCTAAACTCTCAATGACCATGACAACTCGTGGATTAACAAGGGTTGCACGAATTGTTTGATTACGTGAATATTTTAATTCTGGTGGTAATTTATGTGGTGGTAAAGGATTTGTTGGACGTGATACCCAAAGTATATCACAATCTTGTCGCCTCTCGGTAAGCAAATCGTGAAACTCCATTTGCTTCATTGCAACGACTACTGTTTTTCACTTTTTAGAAGCAAAAAAAAAAAAAAAATATTATACATACACACTATACCGCATTCAGATGATTAGATTATCCTTCTCATTTTTCTATATTCATCTCCCACCTAATAGGTGAACACACCAAAGTAAACTCCAAAGATCAATGCCATTTCCAATGCAAATTACACATATGTACACCTTTCAAAAACACTTTTGTGCCGGACTTTTTGTTTATATTGAATGACATTCGAGGTTATGGGTTAAATTTTTATTAAGAAAGTTATACAATTAAAACTTGGATAAATATCAGTAAAAATTTGGTTCAAACTTCAATATTATGCAATTAAATCACATAAACACTTGTTATTTTCAATAATAGAGTTGACGATAAGAAATAATGAGTTTATTGACAGAAACAATTTTAGCAGACGAATCGAAAATGTATTTCAAATTCTCTTTGAAATAGTTAATGGAAAATTGAAAGTAAGTTTATTTTAAAGTAAATTATGTACTGTTTTTTTTTTTTATTTCTTAAAGTTATTTAATAATTACTGGTCTGTCAATAGTCATTAAGTTAAGAGATAACCTATAATTAGGTTACTTTCACTTTTCTTAATTTTTATAAAAGATAATAAATAAATAGCTGACGATAAATTTCTACCAATAAGAATGTCTATTTCCAAGGTTCTTTGATAGCTTAATGGTAATTGGTCATTGTGGTTTATTTTCAAATATTCCCGCACTTTGCTTTGATCAATCAGAAAAGTGATTTCTATAACTCACTGTGATTGGCTCAATCCAACAGCTCCAACAGTATAATAATCATAATAATGGTTATCAGTTACAGGATATAAAAATACTAAAACAAAATTTAATTATAAAAATGTTTAAACAAAGTTTAAAACTTATCACTCCAGGAAATTTAAATATATTTTCCGGTAAGAAAATAATTTTATAATATTTATCCGATAGTTTTCGTTTATTCATATACGATGTAAAAGTTAAGAACGTAACCTCAAAAACTTTTACTCCAAAAGAAGTATTTATTTACATTCTTAAATGTAATTAATTTCTTTATTATTTATGTCTTTTTTCCTGTATTATGATATATTTTTATATTGTAATAATAAATAAAAATATGGAAGTAATAGAAAAATTTGTTATTCTTTTACAGGTTGTCTTAAACATGAAACCTATTGTACAATAACAAGTCAATCAACAAAAAAATGGGATTTATTAAGTGCAGTTTGTTTAGAACGACATCCAATTATTACTAAACCAATGAGTGAAATGGAAAGGAAATTTCAAGAATCTATCTATGAAATAGAGCATGAGAAAAGTTTTAAATCAAATCACGAATTAAGAATAGAAAGAGAGGAATTGGAGAAAAAATCAAAAGTAAAAGTGTTAGATGAAAAAGAGGATAGTAAATTAAAATTACAATCTGTAGGAGAATATGAAGATGCTTGTAAGCAGGAGCTTGAGTCTTTTAAATTTGCTCCTAGAATAACAGGTACTTGATTTATTTTTCTATTAATATTATTATTATATTAATTATATTTTATTGCAGAGGCAGATGAGAAAAATATTACAAATACATTTAAAAGAAAATTGGATCGAACGTTGCTTTTGTTAACTGAGCAAAAATTTGGTAATACTTTATTATGGAAACCACCACAAGGAATTAGAAACGATGGTGAAACTATGAGACAGGTAAGGGGAAAATCCCTTCTCTCTTCTAAATATTATTTTAATTATATTGTATAAAATTTATTTCTAGGCAGCAGAAAGAATTTTACTTGACTCCTGTGGTTCTGATTTAACTGTTCAATTTTATGGAAATTCTCCCATTGGTTATTATAAATATTTATATCCAATGGCGGTACGAACGGAAAAAGCCGATGGTGCAAAAGTATTTTTCTATTTAGCTAAATATATAAAAGGAAATATTTCCGATAAAGTGAAACATCAATGGCTCGATAGAACGGAACTTTCTCAAGTATTAGGAAAAGGAACACGAAGAGTTTTATTTCAATTTTTGATTCCCGAATGAATGTAATTTGATGAATCATTTATAGATGAATGCCAAGTGTGTAAGAAATATAAATTTCTGTACATATATTATTAGGCTGAAACAATTTATACACTTGATTTTGAAATTAATTTCGTAAGTAAATTTTTTATTTCTTTTTTGTTTACGAGTAAAATAATTTTTTTTTTTTTTTCGTTTTTCAGAGGCACTTTTATTTTTTTCCTTCGAACTATGTACAGTGTGAGAAAATATAGTATTGATATTAATAGATAAGTATTTTTTTTTTCAGAAACGATCACCTCGATAACGTCCGGTATATTTTGTATTTGTCCGAACATCTTTGCCCTGTCTCTTTCGTCGTTCCTTCTTTTCTAAAATCCAATCACGACTCTTTTTAAGTGGTTTGCCTTTTGCCTTTCTCATATTTTCTCTAAAAATGAAAAAAAAAATTTTGTTAACAGTTTCAAGGACTGAAAAAAGGTAAGACACTTTTTTTTTTAAATGTAATAGATATAAAACTGACCTCTTTGAATTGTAATTAACTTGATTAGAATCTTCTTCAGTGCCTAGACCTTTAGGGAGAGTGGTTACTCCACCGGTCATGAGGACTAAAAAAAATTTCTTTGCCTTTGTACTGTTTGGATAATCAACGACAACTCCCCCATAAAAACCGGCTTTTGTAGCTTGTGTTGTGACTAATTCAATTTGATCACTATTCTCGGGATAAAATTGAAAAACAGCTCTCGCTGATCTTGATAAACAAGCGAAAAGTGTTGAGAAAAATTTATATAATCTTTTTACGGGATTGTGTGATGTTTTATCTGCGTTGCATAACCATTGAAGGGCAGAAATACTCACAGCACCATCAAAACTTCCTGCTCTGAATGACATTCCCTGACCCATGTCATTTAAGATTAAATCACCTTCAACTTCTCTTTCACGAGCAACATCTGTAAAAAAAAAAATTGTTTATTTAAAGTAAATCTTAATTTGTTATCTATTTTTAAAAAATGAAAATATTTTCTCACTCAGCATTGAAGGAGAAATATCAACACCAATCCAAACGTGTCCCTGATCTTCTAAAACACTGCCACTAAGTCCAGAGCCACATCCAATATCTAAAAGAAAACAAGATTCATCCTCAGGTAAAAGAAGAAGTTCTATGGCTCTTTCACACATTTGAACTTGAATATCCATCATTCGTGAACTGAAAATTAAAATGATTTAGAAAGAGAATATCAAAGATTATAGAATTAAAAATTATTTACTTTTGTGTGTATTTCCGAGCTTCTTCATCATTGTAAAACTGAAATTGATTAAATTGATATAAATTGCATGAAATTAAAAAACAGAATCTAAAAATAATTTTTGTTAAAAACTTTTTGGATATCAATTTCTTGTTTGAAACTTACAACTTCTGGAGGTGCTAAATGTTCCGGTCGACGAGACATTTTTATAAATTACTTTTTATTCTTATTATAACAATTAAAATTGTGACAACTATAAAACGCACGTGTTTAAAGAGGTTATGTTTTGTTGACAGATTTTTTGACATGCTGATTCCGATGCAACTGCACTCTGGTGGTGGAAATAATTTTAGGTGATTTTGAATTTTTATTACAAAAAGAAATAAATTCTAATATTATTTATAAAAGTAAAAAAATACAAAATATTCTCTATTTAGAATTTTATTTTTGTGTTTATTTTTTTAAATAAATAATTATTTATCTATTTAAATATGTTGGAAATCTTTCTCATAGGCGTCGCTGCACTCGCTGTTTACTGCCCTTCATTCAGTATTTCGGCGCCAACGGAAGTTGTTGTTTCATAAAACAGTAATTTATTTTGTTGAGAAAAAAAGTGAGAAAACTACATTTATATGACGTGAAAAATAACATCATGTTTGTTACCGATCTTCCAAATGATTTTTACAAAGTAGTACGAGGAAATGTAAGTAATAATATTAAAATTTATCAAGTTTTTTTCACCATTTTCTCAAAGGGTGTTTTGTTAGGTTAAGTAACGGTTATTGACATCCCTTTAATTTAAAGGGTTTCGGAAAAACTTTTTTTTCTTTTCAATTATTTCTATTTTAATTTCGAGATTAATATTTGTAATTTCAATGACCTTTCAGAAATACTTTCTATTTTGTCAATTTTAATAAGGTGAAGAAAGGTCATGGACACTAATGTATGAACTATTGTCTTTTAATTGTTAATTCTGCCATTAAATCGAATTTGTTTTATATTTTATTTACTATTTATAAGTTCGAATAAGTGGTAAATTAATATTTTTAAGCTGAAAAGCAATTGTAATAAAACAGTAATTTTGTCAAAGTGGTATTGATTGCATTTAATCCAAGTTCGATTTGTTAGCATTTATCATTCTTTTAAGTTGAATAATAATATTCGAATAACATGAAATCGATGATTTGAAAATAAATTACTACAGCAATTTATTCATTTTAAATACATGTTCATCGGAAATTCGTTAATCGCGAGAAATTATTTTGCAATTTTGAGGTTAATCCTTAAGTTGCAGCAATGTCATAAAAATAATTTCGAAATTGAAATAAATGCTATTTAAAAATAATTGCAAGAACTATTTAATATTAAAAAAAAAAACTGTTAGAATCTTTATTGTAAGAGAAGGTAAATAATTCTATTTATTATTTCAGCGGTGCCTTCTTTTAGTGAACTTTGACGTGGATGCAATTTGTGCTTCTAGAATTTTGCAATCTCTCTTTAAAAATGATAATGCAGTTTATACATTAGTCCCTGTGCAAGGAGTTGATGATTTAGTGCAAGCCTATGCGGAAAATTGGAAAGAGGTAATATTCAATCATATTATAATTTAATGTAAATTTTTAATAAATTTTTCTATTTTCTATTTTTATTTTAGACAACATTTGTTATTTTAATAAATTGTGGAGGATGTGTGGATATAACACAACTATTGGAACCAGATGAGAGAATAATATTTTTTATAATTGACAGTCATCGACCTTATGATACAGATAATATTTATTCTGAAAGTCAAATTAGAATACTCGGTAATCTAGAGGCGGAGGATTCAATTCCGGAATATAATGATATTTATAGGGATGATGATGTGAGTAGACGCATTTCTTCTTTTTTTTTTTAGTAAATTTATTCTATTTTTCTCTAATATGTGTATCGTTATTTAGTCTGATGAAGAGAATTTAGTTCCAACTGATGATGAGGATGCAGGTGACGATGAGGATGGAGCTATTGAATCAAATCAAGCTAAACGAAGACGATTGAATGAAGAGATAATATTAAAAAGAAGAGAAATGAGAAAATGGGAAGAAAATCGAGAAACGATTTTGTTCAATTATAAACAATACAGTTATTACGGCAGATCTGTAAGTTATTTTACTTTTTTGATTAGTGAATAGATTTGATTTTATTGTAATTGAAAATTTGCTTTTTTTAGAGTGCAGTACAAATTTTTGAAATGACATGGAAAATGTCAAGAGATACTTTAGATATGGCGTGGTGGGCAATAATTGGAGCTACAGAACAATCTATTCTTAATAAAATTGAAAATCAAAATAGCATTATTGAGGCAGCTAATTTACAAGGACATATTTCAAGACTGAGTCATATGCGAGGAGTTACTGGAGATAGATTGCAACAAAGTTCAATAAAAGTCACATACGATAATGAGTATCCTTTTGAAAAAGAAAAATGTTATTGTGTTAACAATTGTGATTGTTAAAACACTTTTTTAAATTAAACTATAATTTAAAATTGTTTTTCCTTAATGAAATACGCTTTTAGTCTTCAATTGGCACTTTATAGGCATTGGACTGTAGAGGCGAGTTTGAGACATTCAATGACAACGTCCGTTTCATTACGTTTATGGTCGATTAAAGGTGAACAGCGTCTTAAGGAATTATTAGCCGAAATGGGATTGCCATTAGCACAATCGAAACAACAATTCTCAGCAATGGATCTTAATCTTCGACAAGAATTTAAAGAAATGGTTGAAAAAATATCGGCTAAATATAATATGGACAATGTAAGGGGAACAAGTTTTACTCTTCAATATGGATATAGATTTAAATATTGTGCATCGGATGTCGTTTACGCTATGCTGGCATTGCTCGAATCAACTGTAAGTTATATTTTTCTTTTTTTAATATTAAAAACTTATTTGTAATGCGCTCTGAAGAAAGAGACCTAAGAAGCAAAAAATTATATGTTATATTTTCTTTATAGGGAAAAAATAGATCACCACAACATTGTTTTATGGATGCATCGGATTGTATTTCGAGATTAAAGAAGGATGTTTTAGCGAGAGGAATTGAAAAGGCAAAGGAAATGTTGTGTAATATTTATAAAACAGCACAGGGTATATTGGAAATGAAACAAGTTATGAATGCAGGAAGATTTCTTTATGTTGTACTTCCTGGTGGTAATCTTGATAGTCATTTGTTCTCTCATCCTCATGCTCTTATGATGTTGGCACAATTTGTTTTACAAGCTTATGTTGAAAGTTCGAGAAGTAGACGGGCCCTTGGATTGCCTCTAGTTGCATCAGCGACTTATAATACTGAAACAAATATGTGTCTTGTCATTGGAATACCACCGGTTTGTGAAGATCAACCGAGAAGGTAATTTCAATTTTAATTATTTACAAAAATAATAATAACTTTTAAAATTGAAGATTAATATTAAATTCATTATTATTTTTATATTTCTAGTTTGTTTGGCCTCGCATTTAAAGGAGCAGCAGAAAATACGAATTCTTATCTTGAAGAAGATTATTTCGATGCTACAAGTAAGTTTTTTTTTTACTTTTTAATTAATAAATAATTAAAATTTTAAAGAAACAAATGTTTCAATTTTATTGAGCTGTGGATTTATTTCCAGTTGTAAGACTGAAGATTGAACATCGGCCGAAATTTTTCGACGCTCTGGCAGCGTTGCTGACGTGATAAACGAAAGTTTTTTTTTTATAGATAATAGAGAAGTGTAAGACTTAGCACCGTTTTGTATATAATTGATACATTTAACTAGGTATAACTTCTATTTCTGTTAATAACTTATGTGACCGAAAGTGCGTTAATTTTAAGGACACAATTTTTGATTGCATGGTGTCAAGGGTGTCTAATTTTTTTTTTTTTTATTTTTGTTTTACAGTTAGTGTTCGTAACTAGATATTATCAACGACACAAGACTTGTGAAAGAAATTAATTATTAAATTTAAAGGAAACAGTGTCAAAAAACGTTCATATAAAAAATAAGATAAACTACTAAAATAAATTAGAAACTAAGTTTAATTTTTTGTTAGTTCCTAATTTTAATAATTGACATTTTTTCCCTTAATCTTTAAATTTGATTAATTTCTCTCATATCAAAAACATGTAAATATAATTTTTAATTTTCTTTTAAAACCGTCAACGCACCGAGGTTTAATTGTAATCTTATTTTGTGTATATATTAGTATAGTTTCTTTCAAAAAAAATACTTTCTACATGAAAGTTAGACTTATAGAAATTGAGTTTGTTTTTTTTAACGAAATTAATATTTTAAAACTTTTTTTATACACAAAGTAATGAACTAAAAACATATTTATGAATCTTCAATCGAATGAGTAAAAAAATAATTTTCTTTTAATTTTAACTCGCAACGATTAATTTTATAATAATAGTAATTAATTATTTTTTTTTTAATGACGAAAGAAATATTTGACACACGAATGCAAGTCACATAAGATTAATAATTACCAATTCTGCCGAGCAGAAAATTGTTCAACGTTTAGAAAAGTGTATTTGTTTCAACGATAATATTTTTTTTCTTTTTTTTTTAATACCACATGACCATTAATTATTGTATAGCGATATAAGAAGTTCATAATAAGAATGAATTAATAGACAATCCAATGAAAACTCTTTTCGACAATATCTGCCGTAAAATATTTCGCTCCTTTCTAATTCCAATAAACTTTTAATATGGTTTGGGAATTAAATTATAAAATTAACTTTATTTTTACATTTCTACTCAACATTAATTTATTAAATATTATTGTTACTTCATCTATATATGTTACATGAATGGATTAATTATTATAAAAACATTTTTTTTCGGTTTCTCTTTTTTTATACACATGTTTTACAGCAGCAGTACATTTACATAATTTCATCACTTTTTTTTGAGTTCTAGGAAAAAAGAGTTTTTTTTGGGGGGCGATTCATACATACACACATACACACACACACACACACACACTCTCTCTCTCTCTCTTTTGTATTGCGATTTTATTTTAATTTGATATTTTTTCCGCTCGTGCCGATTTTCGTACGGTGGCAATTTTATTTGTAGGAAGTTTATTATTGCGATAACGATCGACAAATTGTTGAACTGACTCGACAGTGATTTCAGCTCCGTCTTCCATAACAGCGTAAACTCCTCGTGGAATGTCAATTGCCGTGAGCAACGGCACCGCGTCATCTAGTCCGACAAACTCACGAAGTATGTCCGAGGTCTCGCACTAAAAAATTAATTATATTTTTAAACAATTTCGAGAAATTTATTTTTAATTTCAAATCTATTTTAAAAAAAATTATAATGTAAAAAATAAATAATTCAATTCTTATTGAATTATTTATTTTACGAAATTATAATTGTAAAAAATAATTTAACGAGCATAATTTGAGAATATTATTGTTTTAAAAATTGTTCTCGTTAAATTATTTCATAATTGAAATTTTTTAATTTCATTAAAATGTAAAATTGCGTAAAAATTTTTTTTTTGGTATTTTATTTACAAATTTGGGTAATAATTTTACGCAATTTGAAAAACATTATTTTTGTAAAAATTTAGTAAACTATTTCCGGTGGAAGGATATTTATGATCAAATATACATTCGGAGGAATTTCAAAGAGAGAGATAATTAGCATCTATACTAATCGATATGAGTAGAATTGACATCCAGGTAATTGGAAATTTGCCAGAAATTTGTCAACTACAATAGATATAATTATTTTCGTAATTATGCCAATTAATTTCAATTATTTATTAATTAACTGGTTTATTTCTCAGAATATAAAATCAAAGTTATAATTAAATTTTTCCTTTTTTCAGATTTTATTTTTGTGCAAGATATATAAAAAAAAATTCATTTTTAGTTACATTTTATAATAGTATCAAAAAAGAAACCAAAAAAAAACTTTACTCACGTCCAGTGCAATAAAAAATTGAAGCATATCGTCCAGATCATCGAAATTCGGATCGTAATCCGGTCTATCTCTTCTGTAAGCATCTGCAGCCGGTAGTAAAACTGTTTCTCCAAAATGTATTTCACAGTCGTCACCCTCTGCAAAAAGAAAAGAAAATATTTTATCGATATTTGAAGAAGAAAAAGTATATAAAAAACTTACATATAGGTAAGAGAAAGAGAATTACCATTAAATAATTCGAATTTATTTGTTTGATTAAAATTTGTAAACTTATAATAAAAATTACAATTTTTGTTCTTCAGCTTACCAACAAAAAGAATAATGGCCGGTGCATCGTGTAAAGAAGTTGCATATTTTTCTGTTAAAATATTCACTAAACGACTCGTCCATGGGAAATTCTGTGAAATTTATGTTGATTTTATTCAAGAAAATTCTTTTTCAATAAGACGTGAGGAATACGAGAGCATAGAGAAATTTAAATAAATCTTTCAAAGTCAATCAAAAGTGTTATAAGATATATCAGATATGAAAAAGAAACTTCATGACTCTTTCAATTTTATTATTGAATAAATGAGAGGTAATTTTAATTTTTTTTAAATTAAATGCTGAAAAATTCTATAAAATATTTTTAAATAAAAAACCAAAACAGTAGTGGGTTAAATTAAATTTTGAATTTTTTTTAAAAATATTTTTGTCAGGCAGAAATGATAATGATAATTTTTTTTTCATTAATCTAAAAATATTTTATTGCTAATGAAAATTCTAATGAGATCCTCTTTATATTTTTTTTCGGGTAATATTTACCAGCCCCTCGGGATCTTCTAGGAGTTCTGCTCGCCCTTCCAGAGTGATTATGTTATCTCGAGGGTCGAGAATCACCAATGTTGGAATCGCTTGAACGTCCAAGGCCCTTGCTAATTTTTGTCTCCTTTCTTCCTGAGAAAATGGTATTCTCAACCAGGGCATCGATCCCGTGTAAATGTTATACGATTCTTCACTTCTGTAAGTAATAAGAAAAAAATCGCATCAATATTTTTCAATTCGTTTTAGAAAAAGAAAAAATTTTTTTTCGTTAACATTAAGAAAATGTTTTTTAATTTAAATATTTATTTAATTTATAACAAAAAATTAATTTAAAAAAATATATATTTTAATTCTCGTAAAGAATAAAAAATTAGTTTTCTATTTCGAATTTATTGAAAATAATATTTTTAACCCTATTTAATTAAAAAAAAAAAAAAGAGAATTTATTGTAATTCTCTGTCTAGAGTACTTTTTCTTTCGCACCCTCTTGTAATTTTTTCTCTTTTTTTCAACCCCTCCCTCCCCCTCTTGTTGCTCTTCTTATCCTCTTTGCAAAGAGTTTGATGCCCGAACGATAGTCGATCGATTTTCCATAAAGGTTTATGAAAGCCGTCGTGGCACGATGAACCTTTTCTACTTTTTCTTGTTGAAGGGGGTGGGATTTTTTTTTTTTTTTTTTAGTTACACCTTTTATATATATACACACACATTCATTTATATATATTGTTCACTGCCAAGGCAATAATCCGCCTACTCTCTAACATTATCTGCCATCTCGCTATATCTAAGAGAACAGAGTCGTTACTTTACGGACTGACACATTTCATGACCCAAGATCGTAAAAAATTCTTTGTCCGCACTGAAATATCTGATAAAACATTTTACCGTAATCTCGTTAATTTTTCGACAACTTCCGCCCTTATTATTGCGATGATATTAAATATATATATTTTTTAATTAAAAGAAAAACTAAATAAATATTAAAATTAAATAAATGAATTATTTTTGTATTAACTATTATTGAATAAATTAAATAATTTTCATGAAAAAAAATTTAATAATACAATTTTTGTTGTAGAGAAAAACAATTTGTAAAACGGCAATCATGAATGTTAAATGGAGGTGAAAAGAGCTTTGAGATTTTTTTTTTAATTCAAAAACTGTGAATCTCAGCGGGATTAGGTAAGTGCTTATTTATTAAAAAAAAAAAAGTAAAAAATAGTCTCTTCACATATCCTTTGAATGAAAAAGTGCATTATAAGGGTCGAGGGTGGTTGAACTTATAAGGAACATTATTCATGTGACTTTTCATGAGGTGCCTTTTCATGAGTCTTTTCTAAAATCTCAGTAAGCTTATGCCGTGTCAGGAAAGTAATCTCTTTCTCTCTCTGACATGCGAAGTTCAAGTAAGTCACGTTTATGTCAAAGAAAAACCTCGTCAAATTTTCCGGCTTTAGATTTTTCACATTTTTTTCAACTTCTCTGTATTATTTATTCATTTTTTTTCTCCCTCTCTCTTTCTTTTTATTCAAAGCCGTTCACAGCAATTGGCTTCGTTCCAGAAAAAAAAATCCTTTCTTCATGAACGCTCGTCACTTGAATTTAATAATCAGATTATAGGGCTCAACGTCAAATTCAAACTTTTTTATCGTAAAAATGCAAAGTAGACAAGTTTCTTCATTTACGATGAAATTCTTCTATTATAGTAAAATCTTTGTTAAGTTAAAAATTTATTTTTTAAAAACATTTAATTTTTCTTACAATTTTACAATATATTATTCCCCATCAATTTTCCCTTATCTTGTTTAAAAAATTTAATTGTTTAATATATAAAGTCCAAATAAGTAGTTTTTATTTTTCTATTATAAGTAGTATTTAGTTCAAATGTTTTTGATATTTATATTATATTTATTATTATTATTATGAATTATTACAACTTTTCATTTTGAATTTAAATTAAAAAATTACATTAATGATATTTTCTATTCGGTTAATATATTTCATTTTTTTATTAATTTTATAATTATAATAGAATATAGGTAAATATAATATAAAAAAAATTTTAATTTTATTATCCTGTTTACTTATAAATAAATTAAATATAATTATATTTATTATGTTTTATTTATATAAAAACGGGCTTATTATAAATTATTACAATTTTTATTTTATATATTTAAACATTTTATTTCTTTATTTTTATTTTAAATTAAGAAATTTATAACTTAAAAAATGAAAGAGAAAAAGTTTCATTTCATGTTTTCAATCTTTGCATTTAAATTTATGAATGTTTGCCGCCTTTTAGTGTAGCCAATCGGAGAGCTGTATTTCTGCCACAGGAAGTTGTTACTATTCAAATTTTCATTTGTGTTTAGAAACATTTTTATGGAGAATTCTTATAATATTATTGATAATTATGTTTATAAAACTTGATAAATAAATCCTAATTAGTTATTAAATTATTAATAACAATACTAAACAAGTATTAATAATAATATTTATCAATAAATGGATTTGAACGATTTGTATGAACAAAATGCGTGTGGTCACGTGATACATTGAATTTCGATCACGTGATTGGTACTCATTTCCTGTTGAGCGGGCGTAAATTGCAGTTCGCGTTCTTTTTGTATAAGTAATTTTTTCACATTTTGCTCAGTAAATTGTGTTTTTTTAAATAAATCTATAAAGTTTTCTTAAATAAATAGAGAATTTGATAAAATGAGATGTCTAGAATCTAAATATTCGACGATTAGTGTGGTGAGAGGTTCACTTGTCGTTCAGATCGGCAGTAAGTATAGTCATATTTTTGCAAATAGAAAAAACGAAATTTAATTTTTACTTAATTTATCCTTAATTATTACTCTTAATTTAATGTTGTGAATAAATATGGTAGGACATTAAAAGTATTTAGAAGGAGGCCAAAACTTGCTTCCTCTTGTAAGGGTTGTAGAGATGATTCAGGGGCAAGGTCAAGAAGGCAGAGAGTCAACATAGATTTTCCGGTCACTACTTTGTAAAATCTTTCTTTAATTATATTAATTTTAGTTCGAATTTAGAAGTGTTTTTTATTAAATTATGGTTTTTTTTGTATAAATTATGTTAAAAATGTGATTTTAGGTTATATATTTTCGTAAATTTTTCAATAACAATTTTAGAGGTTAGGGCTCAACTTTTTTGCATGTAACGAAAATAATTTTCATTTTTAACGTATATATTAACGAAATTTGTTCAAAATTGTGTTTTAGAGGTTAGAAAAAGTGACAAATATTGAAAAATCAAGACGAATGATTAAATATTCATTCTAATGTCCTGAAATTGAATTCATCGAGCATATTCATCCGAGGTTCAAAATTTTTAATATCTTGGGTAAGATTTTTAATTTCAGCTATAAAATGTTTGTTTTCAGATTATTTTTATGGTAAAACAAGAACAATGAGTTTCATGAGTCAATTTTCTTTAAATTCATTGTAAAAAAAATTTATTGTGTTCAATTATTATGCCAAAAGTAATTAATCTTATTTAACACAACATCTTTTTTTAGAGTGCTTCTAAAAAAATAGTTAATTTCTTAATTAATTCTAATAATTTATTTTTTTGCAAATTTTTAAGTTATAATAGTTTAAAAAATTATTTACTTCCTAATGGAATTTTATTAATTTTATAAATTTATCTTTATAGAAAAAACTCAAGGAAACTAGTCTATAATCTTCCTGGAAGCACTGAACGTACTTTTTCTACTTCTTCTTTGTTGGCTTCCGAATGGGTCTTCACTTCTCTATTTGTATTATTTCTACAACATGGGACCACTATTCCTGGACTGAAGAATTAAATATTTTGCTGACAAACTGGGAGGATGATGAAAAAGCTGCAGTGTGGAAATCATCGATTGGTGAGTCCCCATGTCTCCAAAAAATGATGGATTCAGGTTGTATCAAAATTAAAAAAAATTACACAGTGACTGCTAATTGAATTAAATTAATAATAATTAATATCAAATTTTTTTTTTTTACACATATTTGAATGATTAAAATTTTAATAATTAAACTGCATTTAATGGAGTTTATTTTGTTGTTTAATAAAAAAAATTTTTATATATACTAAATATTTGGTAATTGTTTAAATCTATTATATAATTAGCAAAAGTGGATTTTCATTGTTTATGATTTATTATTATTTATTTAGATTAGAAAAAAAATAATTTCTTTTAAATTTATTAATGTTATTGAAAGTAAAAGTATGTTTTTTAATCATTAATTTTTTGCTACTTAAAAAAAAATTTTTAAGTAAAAAAATTACATATTTAATTCCTGAATTAATACAAATATAAATTAATTAATTTTTTGATAGTAAAGATATAAATTCAAGTAGAATAGGATGTTTAATGTATTTTTATTTACAGGTTTTTTTGAAAGGTACTCTTATTTATGATATTTATTTGTTTTCTTATTAAAAATTTATTATTTTCGAATGATAAATTTTTGATAATTTATCCACTTTGTCACTGTGTTATTTTTTTATATATATTATATTATTTTTTGCTTTTAATTTAAAAATTCAATCAAATTTGCAATGCGAGGTTAAGAGAAACATAAAAAAAAGTAGGGATAAAAATAGAAATAAGTGAAAGTTTAATAGTAGGAATATAAATATATTTCCTTTACTTGATGGAAATGAAAAAACTTTTTCATAACTTTTAGGATTTTCTCACTTTTCATAAGGAAATATTGTAATATTTCCTCCCCTAATCTTAAAACGGCAAAGTAGTAATGTCCCAGAATTTACGTTGACAAGACACGCTATACGAGAAATTCAACTTTTCACCTTAAAATACACTATATATTTTACGCTTTTGTTTTACCGAGCATTTCATGAGTATAATGAAAGTTTATTCAAAAGTTTATATTTAATTTCCTTTTTCGGAAAGAATTTATTGAGATCTCTTGCAAAGATGCGCAATGAAATATAAAGTAGTTTCTTCATCTCACGATATTTGCGTGTAAAAAATATACGCGCAATCGTAACTCATCCAAAACATTTTATATTTTCTGTTATATTCTCTTTTTTTCGAACTTATCAAATTATTCATATAACGTGAAAAAAAAATTACAAATAAAAGAAAATTTATCACAAAAAAATTGTAAATTTTTTTTTTTTAATTTCACAATTAAATTCTATTAAAGAAATTTTATAATATGATAACGAGGAACTTAATTGAACAATGTATTTGATCTGAAAAACAAGATAAAAGCTTCTTGAAAATCTCTTCGTAAATTTTTGGCAAACTTAATTTTCAAAAGGGGGAGAATCTTCGATAAAGGGATCCTTTGAATGTTACACCTCCTCGAGGGAATATATATATCCCCTAATTTATTGGCAATAGCATTAGCGGAAAATTGGGGAACTATTTCTTGAACGTTGTAGATATGTATATTGGTCGAATTTCCATTTGAAGCACTACCGCTTTGCTTTAAATAAATTTCCATTAGTATTTTTTTTTTTTTTTTTTGCAACAAGAATACTAGTCGATTGTTATTCTTCCATATCGTAGTTTATTTTGTGTTTTATTTCCATAACAAGTTGAAAGAGTGGTAGTTAAAATTTGATAGTGATTTTTGTCGTTTAAATTTTTTTTTTTTTCTTTAAAAATTTGAATAAATAAGATGTAAATAAAAATTAGATTAAATTAAAATTGATAAATAATTTGTGAAACTTATAAATGTTATTTTGAATTTTCTCTTTAATAATATATAAAGTAATGAATTTTTTTTTCTTCTTCTTTTCGTTTGTTTCCACGTGATTTGTCTCCTGGTTTTCATCTATATAAAATGGGGAGAAAAAAACCCCCTTTTGGTAATAAGCAATAATTTTACTTTCTCTCTGACGTGAATCGCACGGGGATCGCAAAAGGTTCTTTATCAGCTCTTACCACGGTCATTACCCCGTGGTGCAGGAGTTTTCCCTCTGAATAGAATCAAGCTCCAGACATTTCGAGTTTCTCATTCCATGGAATTCAGAATAATTTACCTCGCCATAACATTAATTTCTCTTTATAATTAAAGGTGTACACACCATAAAATTTTCAGAATGGCATATTACGATTTTCTCATTAAAAAATTTGTACAAATCTTGTTTCATACAAGTTTTATCATTTAATGGGATTTTTTAAAATAATATTACAAATTACATTTCTTTTTTTTTTTTTTTATTTAAATAAGAAAATATTTTTTAAAAAATATTTTGAGATTGTTTGTATAGGAATTAATATTGAAAGCGTATATCTTTATTTAACAAGAAGGAATTTCTGATATTGACATATAGAGGTACATGTTGTGGGAATAAAGAGTTGGGATTCGCAATCTCTTCACTGGGGAGTTTTTTCTATTTTTTTGTATAAAAAATGCGTTCACTGCGTTGCCTCTGGGGGCTTTCGTAAAGAGAAACGTGAAAATTGTGTGTATGTGTGTGGGGCAATAGGGATGAGAAAAACCGGGCGAATTTCAAGGAAATTTACTTTCCGAACCATTATTTACGACCCTCTTATCCCCTATTTCGTACGTATCCAAACTTTTTCAAGACCATAAATTTTTAACAAGATTTTTTTTGACCGTAATAAATTAATCTAGGGAACAGTGTCAAACATTTAATCATATAAATGAAAGGTGTTTTTGTTTCTTTCCGTCAAATTTACACGTCAAGATGAATTAAATTAATCGTTAAATTTAATTTTGATCTTTAAAAAAAAAAAAATTCTAATTAAAATAATAATTTTGATTTGATATTTCTACAGTATAATTTTTTGAAAATAAATATTTCTTATTTGGACGTTTATTAAGAGAAACCAATTTTTAAATTATTTATATATTCTTGAGACGAGGAAATGCACTTAGAGAGAATAATTTTTTATTGTTATATATGTGTGAAAACATGAATCTTCACTATGACTTTAACAAGTTTTATGTGCTACTGGAAGCTGCTAAAACTTCCTGGTAAATACACACATGGATTTACATTTTATTCTGATGTATCCTGACACCTCAATGCAATATGGTTTTCTTCGTATAAACATATATTCGCATTTTTGCTTAGAATTTTTTGTCTTTCAAAAAGTTTTTTTCTTTTTTCTTATTCGCATATATTTTCTATCTACGAAACATCAAAATGTAAATTTATTCACTACTCCAATTTTTATATAAGTTCAATTTTTTTCCCTAAGAATATAAAATTTTAAAAATTCAAAAAAATTAATAATTAAATAATTGAAAGTGAAAATATATCTACTTATTTAAAAGAATATAATATAATAATTCGAATTGAAGAAAATTGTGTTTATTTTAAAAAATTAATGTTAATATTAATTAATAAATGAAAATCAAAATTAATTAATTATATTAATTATTAAGTGATTTTAAAATAAAAATTTTATATTTTTTAAAAAATATTTAAATATTAACTTACCTATCTGAACTGACAAAAATGACCTCGAAATTGTGTCCTCTTTCTCGAATTCTTTGATATGTATCTACCAATTGAGGTGTGAAGGCTTTACATGGTGGGCACTGAAATGAAATGTAATTCATGATTATCAAATTATTTTTTTGTCTTTTCGTGATTGAAAAAAAAACGAAATTCTTTTTTTTTTATTTTCAACAAGTGCATAAATTATTATTATGATTATTAACGAAAAAAGTCAAAATTATAAAAAAAAACATTATTTGATTCAAATAATTGCTTACTTAATTATTATCAAATAATTATTGAGTCAATTAAATGGCAATTATTTCAAAAATATAAATGTTTAAAAATTGGTTTGAAAGTTTTTTTTTTTGCTATAAAAATGAATTCAAATTTAAAAAGTACAATGTATACAAAAAATTTATTTGATTCAAATATTCGGTTACTTGACTATCAAATAAATATTTACTTGAACCGAATAATTTTTATTTGAATTAATAAAACTGAATCAATAATTTTTTGTATTTAAAACAAATAATATTTGATTTTAATAATTATTTAATACAAATAAATATTTATTTGATAATAGTCAAGTAATCGATTATTTTAAATAAAATAAATTCTTTTTCACTATATATCTTACTTTTACTGTGAAATATCTTATTAAAAAAAATGTTTTAAAAAAATTTATTTTCGATATTTCTTCCTTTCTATTTATATTATTCTCTTTGTGCAAAAAAAACCAATTGTCTTCTTTGGAATAAATCTTCGAAAATAATTTATTTAAGCAGATAGTAAAAAAAATACATTCAAGGTCTTTCTCTGTCGATATTCATTCCAGGAAAGTCATCGTCGGCGACCAACATTCTTTTAATACTATTAATATCACAGTACGTGACATAAAGGAGTTTCTTATATATATATAGCTGAACTCATTGGTAGATTGGTACTAAAACTCAGATGACGCGAAATTGTCATATGTGACTCATATGGCGTAAAATGTAATATGTACATATATTTATATTGGGTAGAGGAATTTTTGTTTTTTTTTTTTCACAAGAAAAATGAAAACCTTTTACGAGCTCTATCTTGTCACTAGAAATTCAAACCACGTGGCTGTGTAAATCGACCAGACAATCCAATATGCAACGTGTATCCAACGTAGCGAATAAATGTGTGGCACTTGTCGTTGGTGGGTAGCGCAAAATTCAATGATATCCCAACCCCATGGGGCAAAACCGTGATGCATGTATCCAATTCCCTTGGAAAAAAATTTCTTGATTAAATTTCCAAGGGGTGGGGGGGGGGGGGGTGCAGTACCCTTTTTGCTTTCGGAATTTTTTTATTATTGAAAATTTACATCTTTGCGAAATACATCTTTTGGACATTATAGGAATTATTTTCAAATCAGTTTAGAAAGATTGTATTTTAAGTCGT